GCAGAATTGGGTACCTATAAAACCAAGAACATCAACAACAAATTAAAAGAGAGAGAGAGATATTAAAATGACATACAAATTAGATCCTTTTTTAATTACATGTTAGCGTTAAACTTATATTTGAGTAGTGACAATAATTTTTTGTTACTAGATGTATTGGAATAAGTCAACGCGTCAATTGCGGTGTGAAGTTGCGGCTGTACGTGGATGAAGTTTAGTTTCGAGCGGAGAAAATGGTCTAAACAAGTTGGGTTATATTTATCTCATTTTAAATGAAATAAATAACTCTTCTATACACACAAAAAGAAGTTGGATCTTATCACTCTTTTTTCTTTCTCCTTGGGTTTCACTTATACTTTTATTTCAACAATATGAGATAATTTTTTTTCCTACTACATAACAAAATATATCCCAAACAAGTTTCACGTTTCATGTCAAATTGTCAAGGATTTATTAATATTTAATGCGGCCACCGCTTCTTTCTTTTAATTCTTTCTTGTTCGTACGTTACCCATTTATCCAAAACTTCAATGATTAATTTTAGAGTAAATATTGTTTTGGATCTCTAATAAAAAATATAAAATATAATTCCACTTTAGTTTTTTATTAAAAAAATTATTTTTGAGATTCTTAAGAAATTTAAAATGGACTCATTTTAGTTCTTTTGAAGAATTAATGTAAATTTTTTTGAATTTATGAGGACCATAATTTTAACTAAATAAGTTCACTTTAAATTTTTTTAAAACCTCAAGAGTAATTTAAGAAACTAAAATAGGAATCATATTTTTTATCAACGAGCCAAAAGGTATTTACTCATAAGTTTAAGTAAAGGTTTCATTTTCTAATAGAAGATAGAGGTATCTTATAGACACATCTTATATGATATCTTTATTTATTAAAAAAATAAATTATAATGAAAATCGAAAAGTGACTTATAATAGAAAATAATTCTCAGCGACATAATAATTGTTTTCCCCTTGAGTGAATCGACAGGCAGTAAGAATTTATCCAAGGATGCGTGTATTTGAGACAATGTCAAATATGTTGATATTATTTTGCGTGAGACACTTAACCAGTTAACCTCCGATTTTCGTACCTACGATGACGTACTAATAATTCTTTGTTGTCTGTCGCTGTTCTTCGTCCCTTTTTTTTTTTTTTTTAAGCGTTCTTCCTCTCTCTAGGTGAAGACTGAAATGAATCGTTCCTTTTTTTTTAATTTCATATTATTTTTATTTTTATTTTATATTATGTAAATTCTGTTTACATAAATTTGTATTTTTATATCTCATAACCAAGTACTAGTTGTTTTTGGCTTTTTGCTTCTGTACGACTATGAAAATTGAAAAAGAATTAATTTTTTCTTCTGTTTAAAAGCAATTTGTATTTTTTATTCTTATGATTTACAATAATTGAGGTGTTTATCAATTTTGTATTTATAATCTATTATTTATGTTTGTGATTTTTTTTATTATATTTTGTTAATGTATAATATATTCTGTATTTAAAATATTATTTAATATTAAAACGTATCAAAATATATCGAAATATTAATACTTTTGAAATAACACGAGACACAACTACCGGTGCTTCATAGATGTTAAAGTGCATGGCAGGGGATGCAATGCAATTATGCAACCAATGGATGAGTGGGGGTGTTCGCGGTCTGGATTGGATCAGTTTTGGAAGTAAAACTCATCCGATCCAATCCCTTCAGTTTGATCATATAATCATCCATTCGGTTTATATTTTTTTCAAATCCGATTCGATCCAATCCAATTTTTTTCGGTTTGGATTGGATCGGTTTTCGGTTTTTTGAATATCCTAAAATTAGTTTCGTGATTATTGTGCAAATAACATCTTTTGTATATATTGACTTTGTAAAAAAAACTAAAATTGAAATACAAAAATATCAGTAAACAATACTATAGTTGATGAGAGGTGACTAAGTTTTTTTTTTGGGTTTAGTTGATGAGTTAATGGGTCTTGAGTTTAGAAATTTTTGGGCTATGATTGAAGAAAAGACAAGTAGGTAGAGGATAATTAATATATTGGATCAGTTTGGATTGGATCGATTTTCATCAACCCATCCGAAAACCGATCCAATCCAATTAAAATTTGCGATTTTCTTTCGGTTTCCGATTTTTCGATTTTCGGTTTATTCGGTTATCGATTTTTTGGTTCGGTTTTCGTGGTTTGAATCGGTTTGGATCGGTTGATAAACACCCCTAGCCATGGCAAGAGAAAAACCAATACTTCAAATTAGTCCCGGAACCTTAAAATCTCAATTTCTAAATTTTCCCCTATTTCTGTTGCCATCTTCTCCAATCTAGCGATTAACGTGCATATGGTATCATGGCCTTATAGATTTTCATTCAAATCCAACAATGTTCGAGATTTCAAGTTAGTCCAATTATTAGGTTGTTAGAAATGTAACGCCCACATAATAGAAATCGCATGAGTCTAGTTGATGTGGCCCAATTAATAATAACGGCTATAAACTTAATGCTTTTAATTAGAAGCAATGATTATAAAGGGTTACAAATTCAATGCATTTGATCTCAAACGTTGATCTCAAATATGATGGACGTACTAAATTAAAGACAATTATATATTAAGATTGGTTTTCTGTCCCTTTAAAAAAAATATTATTCTTCCATTAAAAAACACATAATAAAAAATAAAACTCGGAGAGAAAAATCAACCTAATAAATATTATTCCTTCAGCATCGCTTCCTCTTATGTTTTTATCCTTGATATATATATATATATATATATATATATATATATATATATATATATATATATGATAATCATGTTTTTCCAAAATCCTTTATCATGTTATTATTTTAGAATTTATTAACTTTTTCATTTGTGCATTCTAACATAATTACTACAGACAAATGAGATTGTTACCCCTCAATCTGATTCCAACAAGAGAACATAAGGACTTAGAGTACTATCAATATAAGTTTGGCAAATTAATATAGACAACTATTGGCAATTGCATTTTATTCCCTACCAACTTCCCTCTCAACTCACAAGGCTAATACCAGTCCAGGAACAAACTAGATTTGAAGAATAATTTAACCCACAAACAAATCCCAAGAGTGCCATGACTGTAAAGGCGCATGGAATACAAATATTTATATCTTTATTGGTCTTACGATTATTACAAACTAAACTGATTATATAATAGCAATATAGCATCCGCCTCTGAGCTGTCCTGTTGCCCTCGTATTTATGATCCCCAAGCATTAAAAGCTGCAAGTACAATAAAAGATTATTATTTAATTAGAAATTTGAAAGATCAAAAGAATTGAAATTATGTAGATCGGTATATTTGTATGATGGGATTTGCATCAATCATTGCAATAGCAAAATAAAAAAGTTTCCTACACATATAATTTTTTATGGTTCTATATTTTTTGAAGAAAAAAAATTAAGGTACAAAAAATGAATCTCTATAATATTACAAGTTCATTTTTTTTATAGGGATAGGATATTGTGACAACCAAATAATGTTACTACCAATGTTACTATCACATCTTAATCGTTGATTTCTGTCAATCAACGGTTATCATTTATCGCGAATTAATAATTAATTAATGAGTTTAATTTAAAAAATAATAATCGTTGATTGACGAAAATCAACGATTAAGATGTAGTAGTAACATTAATTGATTGTCACAATATCCTATCCTTTTTTATAATATAACTTTTATAAAATCTTTTGTATGATATACAAAGCTAGTTTTAAAACTATTCTAACTGCAATATAGAACATCACATGATTATTCCTAACGGCATACAGTTTTCTTTAAATAAATTGTTGTTGAATTTGATATGGCATACGCAAACTTGTATCACACATAAACATTGAAAAGTGTGGCTAATAAATAACATATATTATTTACACATTAAAAAAAAAATCAGTCATCGGCTCTCTCTTTTTTGCGAGGAATCTAAATTTACTTGTGTGTGTAAGTGTAACTATCTTTACCCTTTGAGATATTGTTCTTCGCATGATGTGTGCGGAGCTGTTTCATATGTTTTCGTTAATTTTTTTTTTTTTGATTACATCCGGTATCCCCACAGCCGATAGCCATGAGACTAATCCCTCGTCCAAATATCTTTAGAGTTTAAAGTATCATATTCCCTCAGCATAATTATTTATGGGTTAGCTTTTTCAACGATCAATCAATGTAGATAATTTATGGATTTGAATTTTTTCATATGAAAAAATGGTCATGTAATCAATGTTATTTGATCACAGTTATTCATTTCCACTCATTAACGATGAGATAAGAAAAAATATATGATTTTTAAATAAGTGGTTATAATCAAATAACATGACCACATGACCACTTTTAAACATGAGAGGATCCAAATTCATAATTTATCTACATTGAACACAAAACGATGTCGTTTTGTGGCGAAAATCAATGTATTTTTGTAATTATAATTTATTTCAAGGTTATAATAGTCTTTTTCATTATAATTTTTTAATTCTTTAACCAAAAACGATATCGTTTTGAGAGCAAATATAAATAACTTATTTACGTTGACTAACATTAAAGCGATTATTTATCCGCCACAATAAGAACTTAAAAAAATGTATGCGTTGGCAAAACGCTATGGGATTTTTATTCCCTTGAATTTATTTTTATCCTCGACTTTTTCTTCCAATCAAGGGCAAAAGGTACCCATAACCAAAGACACGTTCAAGTCAAATTACTCTTTCACTATTTATAATATTGCAGACAACACGACCCCAAATTCTTAACTGCTTACCACCGGAATACTTTGAGACATTATCTTATGTTACATACAAATTAAACTCGTAGTTTTTAAAAAAACAATAACCACAATTTATTTAGCAAAATTTCAATATTTCATCCGGTATAAGATTTTAGCCATTAGAAATATAATACAGACAAAGAAGAACGTAGAGAAACAATTCATAGTAGCCATACAGAGCCACTTATTTTTAAAAGAGTTTAACACAGAAAAACATACTGATAAACTAAAGCTATTAATGATGTGTAACGATATTCTATTTCATTGCAAAAAAATTGGGATATAGTTGCAGAACATAAAACTAATTCATAGTACTCACCAGTTTTAGAAAGTGTCCAATTGTCGTCGTCAGAGTCAATTTGCCAAGCAAAATACCCAATCAATCCCTTTTCTTTGGCATAATTAACCTTTGCAGTGACACTCTGAGTATCATCATAACCAATCCATGTTGTCCCAGAATAACAATAATCTGTGACAAATGTGGAGTCATACACAGTCTGTGCCATTTGATCACTTATGAATTGCCTGATATCCCCATACCCAATAGACCCTTCACCAGAAGTTGCTTTAGCAAATAATCCATGGTCATCAGCATTCACCAAACGCCATGAATAGCCATGAAATGGTAACCCAAATGCTAATTGATTTTTAGGCAATCCTAATTGAATCCATTTTGTAACCCCTTCATCTCCACTGAATTGGCCTTGTGGGTTTTCCAATGGTGCATGTGGTTGTGTCTCAGCTCGGTAACCATCTGAGGTGAAAAGGTCATAGACCATCACGTTAACCCAATCCAAGTTGTTAGCAATTTCTTGAACTGGGTAATATTCCAGTGGAGATATCTGATCAGAGCCTGCCACTGCTGCAGATAATAACAATGGAGGGTTACCAGAGTTACTTGACTCTTGAGCAATAGCTTCTCTCCACTCCTTGACGAGTAACCCAAAGTTGGTCTTGTCTGTGTTTGATGATGGGTACTCCCAATCAAGATCAAGACCATGGAAGCTGTTGCTTCTAGCTACTTGTATTGAAGAGTCTATGAAGGACTTACGGCTACTGGCTTGGCTAGCCATTGCAGCAAAAGCTTCTGCTAGGGAAGGACCTCCACCACCACCTATGGATAGAAGGGTTTTCACTGAAGGGTTCTTTTGCTGAACGGATTGGGTGAAGGTTGAGAACAAGGGTGCATTGGAAGAAGAAATGGTGACTTGGTTGGTGTAGCTATCAAGGTCAGCAAATGCACAAAAAAGATGAGTGAAATAGGAAGGATCAATGTCAGATGCTGCAAGCCCAGAATCAGAATACCAATATCCTCCTTTCACTACAGTTTGTGCAGAGGAGAAAGAGAGTTGGAGCATGACATGGATAGTGAAAATCAGAAATGAAAGCCTTTTGGAGTTGGCCATTGTGTTCCTTATTTCCTTTGATGAATGTGATGGGAATTCGAGTTTGATTATAGCTTCTCAACCAGTTCGGTTTAAATGGATGGTTCAATTGATTTAAATGGTCGGTTGGTTCGGTTCGAAATCAGTTCGGTTCGGTTTGATTTAAAACCAATTTGGTTCAGTTCGGAAGTAATTCGGTTTGATTCGAAAACAGTTTGGGTCAACCTTATTCTATAAAAAAAAATTAAATTTTTTTTTAAAATAAAGTAATAAAAATCAGTTTGGTTCGGTTTGAAAGCGGTTCGGTTCTTAAATTAGTTCTAAAAACCGATTTGGTTCATGAAATGATTCTTTAAAAATCGGTTCGGTTCATGAATTAATTTTTAAAATTCGATTATTTTAAGTGCAATTCAGTTCAGTTCATGCTTCAATTTAATTTTTTGATTATTTTATACATCCTCAATACTTGTATCTGAGTCACCAAATGAGACTCACAAACAACATCATCAATTCATCATCTTTGATGAGCACAGCAATAACATTACTTAAATCACTTCCCACATTCCCCCTTTGCCAACTCTTATACCAAGCCAATTCAAGCCTTTTAAAATCCCCCAAAATTTGCAACCAGCGCTGAATAGTAACCTATTTTATAAGTGAACCCGCCTAAACAATGACCAGCATGGTTCTGCAACAACTCTCCACATGTGGCAAGACCTTGATTCCCTCTTGAAGTGCCATTTGCATTGATTTTAACCCAGTCTTCATCAGGGGAGTCCAACCACATAATTTAATATTTTTGATTATGCGAATAAGATGTCAAGTTCATTAATTAATGTTTAATCTCATTATTAGATGTAAATGTACAATTTTTTTATACTCCCAGTACACAAAAAATTAAATTCTAAATTTATATATTATGTATAATATGATATAATATATATTTTTTATGAAAGATAATATGCTAATATTTTTATAAACAACGTAACGTGTATAAGAGTAACTCCTATGAAAAAGTCAATTTATCGCATGCAAATGAAGTGATGAACTAACTTTTGTTGGCCTAATGAGTCATGTGTAAGAAATTCTTATGTGCCTCTGGAGCAAAGAAATCTATTGCAATGAATGGTTAAATATGTAGAAATTAGTCATAGCATTGGACCATATCAAAATTATGGGCTAGGTCCATAACTGTGTCAAAATCAATCGTCAAACTTGACTTGAACCTATAGCCACCCTTGTACTGGATCTAATTGAACCACATTTATCCCGTTGACAAGTGATAAATCTTTAGTTTATCTTGTTTTTATAAGTTAAATTAATATAAATTATCAAGTTGAACAAGTCAAAAACTAGGGTTTTAACATAAAATCATGAACATTATCTGATTATGAATTAAATAAATTATATTAGCTATTTTGAAGGGATTTGATGATAAATGGAGTAAATGTGAAGATATGATAGATGGAGATCTAAACTAAAAGATACGAGGATCTATCCAAAGAAAATCACGATCATCAAGTTGTTGAAGAGGAGACTTAAGCCCCCAAAATATTTCAAATAAGCAAATAGCCACGGCCTCAGGAAGCTTAAGCCCCAACTCAGGGCTTAAGCGCGGCCAAGAAAGAAAACGCTGATGCGAATGAGCAGGCTTAAGCGCCCTGAAAAACCCAACTTAGGCCCACTTGAAGTATCTGTGCCCGACCGCTTCAAGAATCAATGACTATCCCCACATGTAACACCCCGTTCTAGAACCGGTTTGTTAACATTGCTTTATGATATTAAGCGCAGTTACAATCACATTGATTCAATTAAAACCTGGATAAATTTTTCGTTTTCCTTTTTAAAACTTACTTGTTTTTCCTTTTTAACAACGCCAAGTTTGAAATAACCAATTGCGTGACCATAACCTTATACTTTGCGGAATAATCAAAACTAAACTTAACATCATATCATTATTTTGTTCGAGTTCAATAATAGACTCTCTTCACTTTTTATTAAATTGGAATTTCTATACTTACTTTATAGTTCTCATCTTCCAATATGTTATATATCTCTTCGTTATCTACACGTAGGTTCAAACCGCGCTCAATTCGGAGCACTGTAGCCCAAGTTATGAACTTTCTACGTAACGAGTGCTGAACCCACTGTTTCCGGCGCAATTAGCGTGAAAACGGCGCGATTAGCGTGAAACAATAGAGTATTTCCCTGTATTTGGCGCGGTTAGCGCCAGACTGGCGCGATTAGCGCCGAGAATACGTTCCCTCTCTGTCCCTTGGCGCGGTTAGCGCCAACACGGCGCTAGTAGCGCCAGATTTCTGGGGACAACACCAAGCTTGAGTGTTTGAACCCTAACTAGAGTTGTACACCTCCAAATTACACAATCTTTGTCTCAATGGAAAGCTAAGAAAAAGATCTACCACTTCCATTAAGACACAAGGGTCCAAATATATCATATAGGATACGAAAATTGGACAACAAGACGGGATATCTTTACTTTTACTTGGATTTTCAACCCAAAGGTCTTCTTTCACCTAATTGACATCATATAATCCTTTCAATACATGAATTCTAGTCTTTCAAGGTACTCATACACTAAGAGAGGCATGCATACCATTTCATCATACATATATCTTCATTAATTACAACATTACAACATCATCAGGTCTCAATTACATCATTGTTCTTACAAATTTCTCATACATGCCAAAGGACTTAGCTACAAAAGGAACATGATCAAAGCTATAGGTCATTTACAACAAGGTATTCACCATTACAATGATCATGCACTAAGTCCCTCAAAATACATAATGAGACATCAAAATATACATATAGCAATTCTAAATGTGCAACTCAAAATATCCAGCTATCAGGTACAATCTACTCATACTTCTTGCCTCGATCAACCTCACCTCTATCAGTACCTGAAATGATGCCCCACAACACGGGGTGAGATATACGAATATATCACAGTAAACCAGAGGTCCTTAGAGATCACTCCACCCTAAGGTTCACTTTCGATGTACACATATTCATAACAGTTCAACACATTCTTATCCATAACCATTATATGGACTTCCAAGAGAGATCCTCAAAGGGCTGTTTCTCTTAGGCTCTTACCACATGGAGATCCACCTAGGTTGTTTCCAAGGGAAGTCCTTTCCTCAATCTAGGAACCTCCAAGAGAGATCCACATATGGTTGTTTCTCTTAGGCTCTAACCACATGGAGATCCACATAGGGCTGTTTCCAAGGGAAGTTCCTATCAACCATTCTCATCATAATTCTATCAATTATTCCTCAATCCCTATTTCTACCTCTATCAACCATTCCTCAATCACTCTTAAACAATCAAACATCAAGTAATCAATCATAACATTTATCAATGCATGAATCAATGAATGGGCATACTATTACTATCATAATTACACATCACATCTCATAAACCATTTCTCCTCAACGAAGTATGGTGGAACACTCAATGGGATCAACCCCAAGGTCCAAAGGTTTACCTTGCTCTTGAACTTTCCTCAATTGCTCACAACCACAAGGGTTGGTCACTCCACTTGGTCCCCTTGCCTCAATCCTATCAACACAAGAAATACAATCAAACAATGCTAACAACGCAAGGAAATCCATAGTTCCAAGCCTAGATTTCTCCAAATCTCAAAGCATACTAAAATAACACTCTAAACTCACTTCTACCGATTAAACGTCATTCATAGCATTTTTCATAACATACACTAAGTCTCAATCCTCCTTGAACATAGCCAATCTACTCACATTAACATAAAACCCTAAAACACTATTCATCAAAACCTAAACTCATGAAAACCTCAAGGAATCAAGTGAAAAAGAGTGGAAACTTACCACCAGTGATCACACAACAATGGAATGGTTGTTCCTTAAGCTCCCATGGAGGTAAAAGCTACCCAACTCCACAATTTCTCCAATGGGTTGAATTTTAGGGAGGAGAAATCTCACTCCACAATGCTTTCCACTCAAAACCAAGCTTGGATTATGAAAGAGGGGAAGATTTGGAGTGGTTTAGGCTTTTGAATCACTCAAAAAGGTTGAGAATTGAGGGATCTAGGGTTTTGGACCTCCCTTTCCCTCTTCTCCTTCTCTTCTTCTCCTTCTCTTCTTTCTTGGTCGACGGGTGAGGGGGGGAAATGAATTGGTTTCTTATGCTTTGAGTCACTTAACTTATGTTAAGTGGCTTTAAGCGGGTATTAGCTCATCTATCTATTCAACTCCATTTACCACCAAACTTTACCCAAAGGTCTGGAATATTATTCTAGGAATATTTCCACTTTTATTTTTATATTTTGGGTACTTTTGTCTGCACCCATTTATACCCCTTAATCTTCACTGAGTTCACTTTTTACCTCAAAAGTGACCCCAACTCACTTAATTAGGCCCTATACTTAATTTTACTCACTAATACATGTTTAATTACTTAATTTAAAGTAATTAATTAAATTATTTAAGTTAGGGGTATTATACCACACACTAACACGATACTTTCTGTGTGCTTTTTCCTCACTCGCACACTTTCCGGGAAAACTTCCCAAGAGGTCACCCATCCCAGAATTGCTTCAAGTCAAGCACGCTTTACTGTGGAGTTCTTCCGATCTGGACTACCGAAAAGCAGATGCATCTTGTTAGCATAGGTAGTACCAATTAATTCTTATAAGCTATCCCAAACTGTGTAGTCTTATACCTGCACAGCCTTTGGAATCCCTCTCTGTCGGATGTCGATTCGATTCGATTCATGCATGTAACCCCCAGTTGGAAGCCTGTTAGGAGCCGCTCCTTGTCCGTGCCTCTTTGCACCGGCGATCACTCTCTGCCCTCGTCAGCGCTCGGGATGTTACAGTATCCACTTAGGGCACGAATTCTTTGCCTTTAAAAACACATTTGGGGTCAGAATTAATGAGTTTTTGATATTCAAGAAGAGTTCTTGGCACTTGGGAGCAGAGGGAACGCGAAGGATTCATCAGTTCATGTTCGTGAGAGGCGGAGACGGATCAACATCAAGTCTGCACTGGGGATATTGAAGATTCACCAATCATCTATGGAGTTTGGGGAAGCTTTTCTATTTTCTTTCTTTCTTGATCTTGCTATGTCCGGCTAATTCTTTAAGTAGTTAGGGTTAGATGGAATTCAAGATCTTTATTATGCTTTGAACAATTCGTTGTGTTAATTTTCCTTTTCATCATGAATGAAATTATCTGTTTTTAATGCTTTATATAAGCTTGAATCTTATATATTGATCTTAGGTAAATGCATGACAATAGGAATGTTGGTGTGCGATCCATATCTGATAATTTCATCGTAAACGTTATGATTCTAGGATAGACATAGGGTTTGCGTAATCTTTATGATTCTTGAACTTAATGCTTACCTTCTTGGGGAATAACCGGGGAACTAGGGTTCTTGCAAGATTGTAAAAGTTTAGGGTAACAAGGGATTAAACCCTAATTACATAAGAAAGAATCGATTAGATTGATATTAAGGACGATTAATGTAAAGAAGGAATTTAGACGTAATAGAGAGATTAAAGGAAATCGAAATCCTAGCTACGTTCTTTTATATTAGTTAATTCAAATCTTTAATTTCTTGCTTTTAAATTCTTGCGAGTAATTAGTTTTAATATTTTAAATTTCAAATTCAAATCCTGTTACCAATACAATTTCGATTGTCCAACTTAAGTTGCAATAGTGAATTAGTGCTTGAGTATAATCCTCATGGGAACGATATCTTATTTAATCATTATATTACTTGTACGATCGGTGCACTTGCCGTGAGTAGCCCAACAACAAGTTTGCATGGATCCAACCTAAACACCCTAAGCCCGATTCTTGAAGATGGTCTCCAAACTAAAAGATAGGTGACACAATTACTTTTTGAATTTATTCTTTCACAAATTCATGAACAAAGGACCTACCGCATCTATGTCCTCTTTACTTTCTCCATCTTTTTCTTCTTTTAATTTTTTTTTCCGGTCTAATGCATCAGACTTTAGTGAGACAACAGATAATTCATTTCCCATGGGTGTGTAGAACATTATTTCATGGTTTTCCGCTTGAGGAGGAAGCTTACAAATTTTTAGATGGAAAAAAATGAAAAGATCTATATTGTGGTTGAAGAAAATGAAAAGTCTAGAAGTTAGGATGTATCAAGGTTAGTTTTATAAAATGACGTACATTTCTAGCAATAATTTACAATCAACCAAACACATGATCAGAAAAATTGACCCAACATTTCCGGAAACATTTTGGCCTATCAAACAACTTTTTAGTAACATTTCTGAAAAATTCAATCTCCCATCATATTCATTAGAATCGTGATTATCTGATTAAAAAAATATTTCTCTTCTACCAAATATCTCATAAAGGAAAATATCTTTTGTACTCTGTTATATTGAGAATACATTATAACCGATTTTGTGTTATTGGAATTGTTTTAATTCTGTTTTTGTGTTGGGAAAAAGGTTTTGATCTGGATAACATACAGGCTTAAGAGGTTTAAATCCCAGAAAGGGCCCATGAAGACGCAATGATCCCATTGCGCAGAATCCACATACCAAGCATTGCGCGGATTATCATATAAAGTCACCTTATATGACTTAAAGACTAAGGAAAGTCTTAGTAACAAGCTGAGTTCCACCGCGCATAAGGGAAAACAAAGATAGCTCCAGCTTGCCACTACCCTAAGAAAACAGTCTATTGTATAGACTTGTTCACCAAAGAAATGGCCAGAAAGGCACCAATTGAAACAAAAAGATAGCAACCCACAACAACCAATAAGAAAGTATGCCGCCTACAAAGAGCGGCACAAAACTTACTATAAATATGAAGGGAATAAACCCATATATGATCATCTGATTTCAATTAACTATAACATAAACCTAGCATTGATATTGACTTGAGCGTCGAAGTGTCTTTGCAGGTACCCTCGGTTGCTTCCAATTTCCATTGCGTTAGAATCTCTTTATAGCCCTTACGAGAAGAAGCACATACAGATTTAGATTTCTGCCTACTTGTTACAATTCTTAGCCCAAAGTCTTCAACCTTCAACCGTATCTGATTTGACCCAACCTATCTTGGACTGGTCAAATTAAGTTTATAATCTAAAAATTTTGTTTTGGTTGAAGTTGTGTTGAAAATCATTGAATTTTGAATTGTTTCTTGAATTAAAAGTAATACACAATTCACTCCCTTTTTGTGTGATTGTTTAGCCATCTTTTCTTTTCATTATATTTCTAACATAATCATTATATACCTACAACCTACCTACCTTACTCAGATGTTAACTTGAATATCATAGTGTAGTTTCAAATGCCATCCATTGTGTTTTACCGATCTCCAGAACATTTCGGCCGGATTGAAATAATCTTATATCATTCTCTTATCATAAGCAAGATCAATATTAAAAATGCAATTAAAGTGAAATATAGTGGATCATATGATACATATTCAATTATAAAGTGTAAGGAACTTTTCTTACGCCAATAAGAAATAAGAATGTAACTTGCCATACAACAACAGCTTTGGATCATATGATATACATATTCAATTATAAAGGGTAAGGAACTTTTCTTACGCCAATAAGAACATGTAACTGGCTATCCAACAACAGCTTTAATAATATACCTTGATTTATTAGTGATAAGATAATTTGTGGTTAAAAGAACTTCCACAATAGTTATTAGATAGAGGGGAGGGGTATATTTATAAAAAAAAAAATTAAACTCTTACAAATTATATATATATATATATATATATATATATATATATATATATATATACTAAGGATAATATATTATGTGCTGAAATATATTATCTCCAACAAATAATATAAGAATTTTATAAGAGTTATGTTGTAAGAAAAGTAATTGTATAATGTTATAGAGATTTGTTTTGCGTATCGTAATTTTTTTTTTCTTCAAAAAATGTGGGCCCACAAAATATTGTGTGTAAAAAAGTTTGTTGTGTCATGTTAAATAACAAATGTAAACCCCATAATATAATGTATAAAAATTTATAAATATAACTTTTCCGTAATTGTTTTGTTTCAATTTTTAAGCATCATGCCAAACAAGGAGCCGAGCGCGTGATAGAGGCAAAGGTTATCCGTGCCTATGTATAGCGCGTATATTAACGCGCCTACCGTTTTTTCCTTCGGTTATTGTCTGAGCTCGAAGCGTAACCTCTGTCGCTCTTCAATGGCCGCGTCCTCTATTCGAATAGCCGTCGTCGGTGATGTGGTAAAGTCTCTTCTCAATTCAACACACTTCTTCACTGTTACTGTTCCAATTTCCAAAACCCAATGTTTCCTTCAGATGTTTGTTGAAAAGTTGCTAATTTTGGAAGAATTCCCATAATCATCCATATTCCTTTACTCGCTCATTTTCCAGAAAAGTTCTGATTTTTGTGTTTTCTGAAGCATGATTGCTGGAACTTAGAAGAAGATACGCAGGCACTTGAGTTCTTGAAGGTACTTTTATCATCCATTCTGATTCTTTCCATTTTTTTTTTGTTGCTGTTGTTGAAAAACTTTTGCATATATTGATTGCTATTTGATTCAATCTTTGGTGGGGTGTGGTCTATGTTCCCCTTCAATATCCCTTTCCTTTTCCCCATCCCCGAATTGTACATTGTAATTGTGGAGGGTGAACCCTACAAAAAAAAGTAGTAATAATAATAATAAAAGATAGATTTACAGATCAAAATTATATTTTTAATTAGGGGGAAAAAAACTTTGAGGCTGTTAGTTTTCGTAAGATGTTAGAAAATCTTGCATTGTTGTGGAATACAAATTTCAAGTACTACAGAGGAAAATGATTCTTAGTTGATTGTTATTATTAATTTGGCCTTGGTTCTTAAGTGAAGGTTAGTTTTTTGCCTTTTTTTTTTGGACATTTTGTTTATGATGAAGTATCCTATGCAGGGTTTCATACTTTCATACCCGTTAAACACCAAAACTTGATATTAAGTTATTATGAGTCAAGCCAATTACATATTATCCCGCTAGAAAGTGGAGTGGATTGGCATATTTCAGTCAAATTTAATGTTTTGCCAAAATATAGATATTCTTCAATTCCGATTTTCTGCCACTTGGCCATAGCACAAGTAATAATAGTAGAATGGGGTCGGTTCCATTCACATGTAAACCAAAATAAATAAATAAAAATCCTATTTATGGAGTTAAAGAGTCTCCGGCTGTAGTCATTAGAGTTAGAAAGATGCTAAAATGAACTAGCTAGTTACTATTTAATATAGAAAGGCTGCAAAAAGTTAGATGAGATTCAAGTTTGGTTAGAGATTTGAGAATAATCCAAAAGATAGCCTTTGTTTGTGAACAAAATGAGAAGGGAAAAAATTGAAGCAATAAAAATAAAGGGAATCAAAATGAAAAATTAGAAAATATTTTTCTCATCTTTTGCTTGGATGTCATATAGACAAGGAGAATGAAAATGAAGAAAACATTATGATATTGCATATTCATCCATCGTTATTTTCTATTGAGATTGTGTTTAGAAGAATAAGTATGTAACTTATAATACTATAAACTTGTTGTTAGAGAAATATATAAACCATTAATGGGCCTTCACTTAATAGCTTAAACTTTTTGATTGAATTGGTTCTTTACATGGTATCAAAGCCTTGGTATCACGGATTCAATCATCACCGCTCGTCACTTTCTCTTGTAGAATTTCTTAGCACAGGTAGGTGGGTCTGTGCATTAGCCACCCTTAATCCCAGTGGGTCCTCCTGTGAGGGGGCGTGTTAGAGAAATATATAAACCATTAATGGGCCTTCACTTAATAGCTTAAGCTTTTGGGTTGAATTTGTTCTTTATTCCCTCTTGAGTGATTAATTTTGGTGGAATTAAGGTTAAATGTTCCTCCCATGTTCCTCTCACTTTCCATACTCGATAATACACTTTCACCCTTAATATCAATTTCCCAAAACAAGCCCCTCCATTTTTTCCTTGTTTCAAACAAAGTGTTAGTGTGTGTGACATTTGTGTAAACATTTGTGATGGAGAAGCCTACAGAGAATGGAGTAATGCCATTTGTGTATAAACGCCAAAATTGAATTAATCATGTATGGTTTTATGCAGTGAGTTTCCTTTATATTAATTTATATTGTCATATCTCCATTTTTTAGTTTATATGAACTTATTTAACAAGCATGTAGATGTATGTCCGATCTATCAGTAATCAATCTAATATAGACCTATATTGAAGTGCAGCCAGATCTGGTGCTGTTTACAGGCAAGTTTCATTGTTACTGCTGATCAACCTATCGCACTATGGTGATTTTTCTTAAATGCATTTAAGTGCCTTTGCTTCCTCATGGCCTATTCTGATTGATGTGGAAATGGCTGGTGTACACCTATGAAAAAAACAGTGCTCATATTGAAAATTGAATGCCATGACTTTGCTCTGTTGAATCTGAATACCTCAGGAGTGTTCCTTGTATATATGATGACTGATGAGCACTAATAGCTAGACACTTGAACAAATCAGCATGTCATTGCATGCCAAGTTTATATCCTGTTAATTTATCTTCATTATGTAACTGCTAAGATTTATTATGATTTATTTATTACACGGCTTATCCCTCTCTTATTGTTTCCTTCCTTTTTCAATTGTCCTGAATTGAGTTTTGTTAGGTGATTTTGGTGATGAAAATGTTGAAGTCGTTCAGAATGTTGCAAATCTTGAATTTGCTAAAGCAGTAATATTGGGAAACCATGATTCCTGGTTTACTGAACAGTTTTCTGGAAGGTGAAGTTTACATGTTTTGTCCTGGATCATTATGCTTCTATAAAAAGGACATTCTGGTGCTATAAAGCTCCCCCGCTCTATGCTGGGTCCAGGGATAGGTTAGACCCATTGTGTGGGTCTATAATAAGCCGCATAATCTTACATTTGGACAAGGCTGATTATATGAATCAAACTTGTGACCTTTTGGTCATATGGCAACAAAACCAACTTTAATGGCAAAGTTCATGTTGTCAGATTCTTCCATGAGACTTATTTAAGATTTATTTGTTTAAAAAAAAATCGGATGGGATAAAAGGACAATGAACTCACAATGTGAACAAGCACATATTTCAAACTCTCTCAAGTGCTGATATTTGGTCCAAATTTAAACTAACAGTTTGATTTGAATGTCAGTGAGAAGGATAAAGTTCAGCTTCAGCTAGAATGGTAAGCCTATTATCTATAAAGATTCAATTCATTCTGGGAATTTTTTCTCTGATCTATTAATGTGACTTTGTGCATGTTCTGCATTGTAATTTCTTACCCTATCTATATTCCTGATGTAAACGTCTATGCTGTTTCCATCTGTTGCTAATATGCTTATATTATTCTATGGATGAAGTAATAAGTTCATAAATTTATCAAAATATAATGGGCCATTTTTCCTAGCCCATTAGATGTTTAAAAGAGATTTTGAGATGCCTATGATGATTTTTTTTTACTGTGCAAGAAACTTCTCAAGAGTAAAGTTACCAATTACTGAAGAGGAAAGTTGACTACTTAAAAGCCTAATTTGGCATCTTTCTCAGTTTACCTTTTTTCTTTGTTCCAATCCCAATCATGGCTAATTTCCTTCAGAGTTCAGTTATAGTACTTCTATACTTTTAAGAGATCCTTACAAATTTTATTGATAAATAAATCTATTAATGTAAAACTCAGCCTTGGCAAGGAGCATGTGGCTTATCAACGTCTAGACTTCCCTCTGATAAAAGTAAGTGTTGTTGGTGGACGGCCATTTTCTTGTGGGGGTAAACCATTATTCCGGGAAAGGCTTCTTACTGCAAGGTGTGTATTATAACTAAAGCAATTATAGACAATTCAATTCTCAAAAGGCTTAAATGTCTATTTAATGTTTTCAGATTTCCACCTTTGCTTATAATGCCTACAAAAAAGAGTCAAGTTCACCTATTTGCTCTAATTATCTGATTAATTTGAAAGAATGTCTTACAATTTTCCCAACAGGTGGTCATAGTGTTATCTTTGTATGTTTCTAATGTATTTCTCATATCTAACAGCCATCTTGCATTGGCTCATTTAATTATCCAGTTTTTTCATAAGGCATAAGCTACAGTAAAAATAGAGTTAGATGGCCTCTTGTGACTTGTCAAGGAGATCATGTTATATGGTATTTTACCCTTACTAAAGTTGCCATTGTAGCTCAAAATCAATTTATCAAATTTGAGCTTTCTCTTAGATATGGAGTCAAAGATATGGATGAGAGTGCTAAGAGAATCCAGAAAGCTGCTCTTGGCACACCAGAAGATCATTTTCTTATATTACTTGCACATAATGGACCGACAGGTGCAACACAGCATCTCAATTTTAAAACATCAGCTCCAGTAGTGCTAATTTGTCTCATCTAACACACAGTGACTTTTGAACTTTAACTTTATGTAGGCCTTGGTTCTGATTTGAATGATATATGTGGAAAAGATTGGGAATTTGAGGGTGATGGTGATCATGGTGACCCAGGTATAGTATATACTTAGGAGATTCGATTGTTATTAAAAATGTTATCCTTTTGTGGTTTTGGCAGTCAGAAATCATGTCAACTGTCAAAACTGTTTTTTTTTTCTCCTTACTGATGCTAAATAATTGTGTTACAGTTTTTTTTTTTTTTTTTTTATGAATTGTTGGTTTGTTTAAATAGTGGGTTGTGGGTAGTTATTTTGTTTGTTTTGTTATTTGAATTTTAACTTTAGGCATTAACTATTAGTGGAGCCTATGTAGTGTTAGTGGATAGTTACTTTGTTGGCTTGTATTATCTATTCAAATCTTGAAATATTTGAATAAAGATGATCAGAAGAATTATTTGGAAAAAAGCACTCTGTGTAAGAGGTCAGGCTTCCTCAGTAAAGCTATTTGAGGTCAGGCTTCCTCGATAAAGCCAAATTTCTATTTTTATTTATTGTGTTTGTAACAATTGGTATCAGAGCTAGGCACAAACACCACGCATGGAGAAACGATTCGAAAGACTGGAAGACGCGATTCTGTCTTTGGCAAAACAATTCAAGGAGATGCTTACCAAACTTTCCAATCGGCTAGATGCTCTAGTACCAACCACCAAACTATCTCAATTCCATTGTTCTCATTTCATACTTGAGACTTCCACACCCAAACATTTATCTCTTTCTCTCTCCACCAAACGAGCAATTCCCCTCAACATTACCATTAAAAATTTAAATACGGTCAAAGTATCTCAATCAAATAATGTCCCTCAACCAAGACCCCACTTTCGTTTAGACATGGGATATCCAATGAGAAATTCAATTCTAAAATTCTTTGAGAAGAAGAAAGAAAGAGTTGTGGCGAGAGGACGTTTTCCAATCAACAGCAAAGGAGAGGCGGATATGGATATTGAAGATGATTTAATTACTTGATATTGATTTTACTCTTGAGGACAAGAGTAATTTTTAGGGGGAGAGAATGTTACAGTTTTTTTTTATTATTATTTTATGAATTGTTGGTTTGTTTAAATAGTGGATTGTGGGTAGTTATTTTTTTTGTTTTGTTGTTTGAATTTCAACTTTAGGCATTAACTATTAGTGGAGTCTATCTAGTATTAGTGGGTAGTTACTTTGTTGGCTTGTATTATCTATTTAAACCTTGAAATATTTGAATAAAGATGATTAGAAGAATTATTTGGAAAAAAGCACTATGTGCAAGAGGTCAGGTTTCCTCAGTAAAGCCATTTGAGGTCAGGCTTCCTCGATAAAGCCAAATTCCCATTTTTATTTATTGTGTTCGTAACAAATTGGTTCTTTTATTTCAAATGCTTGTGTATATTCACCAACGTGTCTTGGTCCGAGTGGAAGGGGCTGGGGTCCTTAAGCAGGTGGTCTTGCGTTGGATCGTGGGATTTGTGTATGGAAAAAATTACCGTTGGGAGGGATCCCCGCCTTTGGCACTTAACTATATTTCTGGAGATTAATCTCTCAACTACCTGGTGGGAGAATAGTCTGAGAAGCAAAAAAAAAAATGCTTATGTAGGTTCCTCCCACGTATCAAATTATAGTAGTGATTTTGCTGGCCCTTTTCAGTTTTGATGGAACTGTATCTTAGTATGCTACGTGTGATGGAGATAATGCAAACATAGCAAAAACGGGATACCGGTTTTAACCTAGTTTATTATGTTTGTATAACAGATCTAGCACACGCAATATCCTTGCTAAAAGAGAACAATCAAGTATCTATTCCATTGGTTGTGTTCGGTCACATGCACAAAGAGCTGGCATATGGCAATGGCTTTAGGAAAATGATTGTGGTTGGCGCTGACAACACCATATACTTGAATGGGGCCATTGTTCCAAGGGTCAAAAGGTTGGGGGATGAAGACAAGAGAAGCTTAAACGATGAAAGTGCTCTTTCTTCACCAGAGGCAAAAGGTACAACAAGAGCCTTTACTTTAGTTGAGATTTCAGAAGGAAGAGTTGCTAAGATTGCAGAAATTTGGGTCTCAGTTGTCGAAGATAGGACCACTTTAGAAAAAGAGCACATATTATTTGAAGGCAGTTAGGATCCTCATCCTCCACGTTTAGGTTCCTGCTTCAGTCACATGGTATTTAATGCATAGATGAATACAGCCCGAGGTGAATTATGCTTGGATACTAATTCCTTATCCAGATGAATACATCTTATTTTAGTTTAATACTACTGTGTAGAATTGACATATGCTTTATACTAATTCCTTATCTAGATGGTGGTCCATTATTTGTATCAGTCCTCCATTTTATGTGGTAATTCAAATGTGCACGGTTCATGTCATTAATTTCTTTCTAGCAGAGAGGATACCTATTTGTTCTGCATGTTCTTGCACATTTGGATACATGTTGAATGATATGGGTGGGTCTATTGGATTATCTAGGAATTGTTCCAACCTGGGGTCATGGTGCATATTCTTTATAACCTGGCACTGTCTCATATGGTGCCATTTTATTATCCAAAATTCACTCTCTTCCAAGCACTATACACGGGTTCTGCACTTGATAGGTTCTGGACTAAATCATTTTCACGTTTGCTTTTTTCTGGACCCAATGACAATTGCAGTGCTGTGAAGTGCCTCCCATGACTTTAATTTCCAAAGTAAAAGATAAAGAGGGCTGTGACACTGAAGTTTGACCAAACTTTTAATGATTTGATGCTCGCTGTTTCCATCTCTTTTATTTTGATAAAGTTACCAAAATGTTTCATTCACATGAAAGAAATGGACCTATTTCCTAGACTTCCTCGATTAGCCCTGCGATTAGTGAATGACATATTACACGAATACCATTTACTACCATATTATATAGACTCCTTTCTGTGGTCAACACTAGCCATATAACCTATTTTAAAGCTTGCCATTCTGTAAAGGTGTGCAGTAATATTATTTGGCACTGTCTTTTCCCTCTTGCTTTGTTAAGGTTTGGTGCACCGAATTCCAAGCAGTCTAAGGCCTTTTTTTTTTTTTTCTCAACTTATCTTGTTCCTTTACAGCCATTGGATAACGGAAAATAAAGTGAAAAAGAAACTTAAAGTAACCCTAAGCACTTTCCTAGTTAACCCATTGACATTGATTTTGACCGTGCTAAAAATTGCTAATGACTTTATTGTAGAAATTTGGGGCACCATTTTATAATTGTATTATGAATGTGACAGCAGATGCCCCATCATGTTGGCCTTACTTTAGTGTCCACATATATTTGATAGACAACTCTGATTCATTGATCTATATCTTTCTCCTCATCAATTCGAGAGAGCATTAACATTATTCCTTCATTTATTATGTTTCCTACTTTTCTATCCTAGAGGTCCCTCCTCTTCAATATTAGTCTATTAAATTTCTCGTTACCTGTCTACCTAGCTTTCCTACCATAAAGCCAACATTTTGATTTATCTACTATTTCTATTTTTTGACGAGTCATTTATCTACTATTCTCTAGAAACCCAATTTTAATTTTATAAAATATTTTTTTCTTTTGTATAATATAAATTAAATTTATCGATTGAGTTTAATGTGATGGAAAGTGAGTTCAAATTTTAAAATTTCAAAAAGGGTATTTGTTAGGATAATTTTCTAATTGTGACCATGTCCAATGTGTTAACATGAGTGATTTCATTTTATTTACTGATATAACTTAGTTATTTTAGGATAATTGGAAAGAATTCTACAATAATATCTCGTTTCTTGCGTCCATTATTGGGTTTATTTCTCTTAAAATAATGTCGTATTAAGAAATAAAATAAAATAATATTAAATTTAAAAAAATTAATAAATTTGTGATTCTATACATCAACTAATTTTGCAGAGAAGTTGTGATGTGAAAATTGATGCGAAACAAAATAAATTTTTTGTAGAGAAAATGTTACTGATGATAAAAACAAAATTGGTGAACAATATGCGTTCGCCGTTCCATTGTGGTGAGTTATGTTGCACTGACACGGGGTACGACACGACACTTCGATATGTTAATTCTAAAAAAGGTTAAATTTTGACACATTAAGACACGTTTTGGTATTATATAATATTTTTAATTTATGTAGTGTATATTATATTTAATATTCAATAATTTAACAAAAAAATAAAGCTAAACTTATAATATCCATCAATTTTGCAAAGAAACATGAGATATCCCAAATGTTTATATTAAACTCAATAAAATCATAATCATAATCTAACGAATTTAATAGTTGGAACTTGGAACTCAAAATGCAACATAATGTAATCTTTGAATCTTTTTTAAGTCTATGCAACGAGTATTGAAGTGTCGAGAAGTGTCAGTTTCGAAAAACACATCACAATTTTTAAAATATTGATGCTTCATAGGTGCTGAGCTCTTCCCAATAGATGCAGTTTCATCGCTTATAAAACTTCTCAGTTTTGGAGTTGGCATGGTAGCCTTTATGGGTACAGACGTATAGTGACCGAATCCTATCTCAATTAAGGAAGAGAAGTATTGGTGTTACATATGTACAAGTGTTTGAAGCTTAAAATAAAATAAAAAATGACTTGAGCTACAGCTACATAATTAAGATTCTAGCTACGTATTCGAATCTTCTAAATTTCAAAAATACTAAATCATAGTTAAAAAATAATTTTTGATGAAGAAAATCATTCACTTTACCTCGTTTAATTATTTTTAGGCTTCAACCATTGGAGGACCGATAAAGAATTTGATCAATTATCTATCCCCACAGCTGGCAAATCAAGCGTCGTCGCTTGGTAAAACGTTGAGGTCTCAGACAAAGAAGTTGATACGGCATTTATATCTTTGAAAAGTTGTCAAATGTCTAATAATGATTGATTTTGGTAATAAATATTTAAAGAATATCAAATAATTTATAACTCATTCTTATATAACAAATTAAGACTTTATTGATAACCTTTGTAATCCTCTATCTGTGCACTTGTCTTTCTTATACGTTATTTTTCAGCTTTCATAATAAATTAAATTAATTTTTTTAATTAACTATTCAATTAAAGGAATTTTTTTTTTGGAAACAATTAAAGGAGATTTTTAATTTCTTTATTTAATACTTAAATTTCTTCAATCAACATTTATTATAATGAATTATTTATAAACTACCATCAAAACAATATTTTATCAATTAAATTAATTTTTAAATAATTGTATTTTATAGTTTTATTTATTTTTTAATTATCAACAAAATATATTTTATACATGTATTTTATTTTTCTTAAATAAGTAACTGCCAATAATAAAAAATCTGTCGGTACTAAAAAAAATTAAGTATTTAAATAACCTCCAATTAAAAAAAAAATGAAAATATGAAGAAGGAATGTTACTCTGACATTTCTGACCACCCCACTCTCCTTCTGTTCTGCCATAGTTGTCCTCTCTCGTAGAAGATACTCTGCCACCTTTGACCGAATCTGACCCCTCTAATTACACTATTACGTCATTCTCCCTCTTGTTATTCGCAAATGGATTGTCTCTGGTTTATAAACGAACTTTAGATATATGTTCCTAGCCTCCTAGGTATATTTCGTGTTATATAAAGTAAATAAAAAAAAAATTATTCAATTTTGCTTCCAAATTTAAATCATTCCGTTGTACTTGCTCATAATCAAATATCAAAACTACCCTTCATATTGGACTATAAAATCTACCATCCTAGAACTGGCAATTCGCTATCGTCCGGATAGGTTTGTAAAAAAAAAAAATTAAAAGTATTTTTTATAAAAATTAAAGTTATTTAACTTTTTTAAGAGTTAAATTATACTTACAACTTTTTTTTAATACAACCTCTTACACCTATATCTTAACACCGTTGATTTTCGCCAATCAACGGTTATGATTTTCACAAATTAAATTCATTAATTAATTATTAATTCATAATAAATGATAACCGTTGATTAGCGGCTAAAATGGTGTTAAAATATGATTGTAAGAGGTTGTAAATATAACCTTTTCTTTAAAAAAAAAATGAAATTAGCTTTTAAAAAGTGCAGATTTTTAGCCTTGTTTAGGATATTTTTTTTAAATAGACATCCTAACAAACTTTGTAATAAAAAATAATTTTTTTCTTAAAAAGATTAATTTTTTGAGAAAAAAAATCTATCCAAACAAATTGAGTTAATTTTTTTAAGTTATCAACTCGCTACGAAACCACCTTGTTTAAAGGTGAGTTATAGTTATAGTTGAGCGCAATGCGGGTTAGTTAATAGAATGGGTTGATTTTTCCTAAGCTTATTTCGATAATTTGAATAAAAAATCTTACTTTTTTTTTATAATATCTCATTCAATTTTTCACTTTTGCTATCTTTTATAATTTTTTTACTACAGGAGGGTTGACTGATACTCATCCACCCGTCATAAAATAAATTGAATTGAGATTTTCAATTTATTTTCTTAAATGAGATGGGACAAACTGACCCGTTTTATAGTAGATTAAAGAGGGGTCAGGATAAATAGCCTCTATTATCACCCCTATCAAAAATATGTCTAGATTCGATTCATTACATAAGCTATATATATATATATATATATATATATATATATATATATATATATATATATATATATATATATATATATATATGTGAGAAATGTTATATTTATAATTTTTTTATAATATCTTACAATCATATTTTATCACTGTTGATTTTCGTCAATCAACGGTGATAAGATATGGTTGTAAGAAGTTGTAAGAAAAAAAGATTGTAGCTATAATCTTGCTCTCTCTCTCTTTATATATATATATATATATATATATATATATATATATATATATATATAAATCAATTTTATTCTTTAATCTCGTATTTTTGGATATGATGGAAAAGTTAATAAAATCTAAATCCTACCATAATTTGTAATCTTCACACGAACTAATTACAACTCATAACATAATTTCTATTTTAAATTGAGTTTAATTTATATATGTGAATTAATAATCATTGACTCAAGTGATATTGGGAAAGCCACTCTCATTGCTTGACCAAGAATGGGTGTGCAAAATAACCAAACAGAATTGTTTTCGAACAAAACCGAACAGAATTGTTTTCGAACCAAACCAAACTAATGTGGGGTAAAAAAAAGTTATGTTCTTTGAATCAAATTGATTTAAACCATTCGATTCAATTCTTAAAAAATTCAATTCAGTTCAATTCATACGTACCCCTAGTGACTATGAAAAAGAAAAGGTCCTTCGAACTTTACTTTAATTATTTATGTATATATTATTTATAATTTTAAATATTTTTAATTTATTGTTTTAAAAATTTACTTAAATTAGTTATATGTATATATTTTTTATAATATTTTTAACATATATCTTTTTTCCTTATGTTTATTCTTCATATTTAATTAAGGAAAAAATATTTTTCCAGTCACCGGAGATAAAGCTATCTCCAGTGAGTTCAAAACTACGTCGTTTTGAAGTTATAAGATTAAAAATTTATAATGATAAAGACTAATATAACCTTGTATATTATAATTACAAAAATACTTTAATTTTCGTCACAAAACAACTTTTTTTGAGACTGAAGATAATTTGTCTCCTGGAGAAATCTTTTACCTTTTAATTTTAATTCAAAATTACTCAAATAATACACAACTCGGAAAACTTACTATTTTCTAAATAAATGCGAAGCTTAAAATCCGCTTTAGTCTTTGGAAATCAACGGCTTTGTGTGTAGGCTATATAAACAGTCGTGTTAATCTTTAAATAAAAATAAGCCCTCTGTTGGACAGTCCCATATAAAATAATATCTTCAATTTTTATGGTGATATGTTAATGTGTAATTATATAGTTACGACACGTTCTAAATATATTATGTTTATATAAAAGGGTTTATATTTCTGTAGTTGTTATACGTACAATAATCAAATACTTGTCGTATATACTTGAAAGCACTAAATATGAAAAATCATAACCATACAAAGGATGAAAACATTAAATGTGAAAAATCATAACCATACACCTGTCATTGCTGTATGTAAAGCGGCTACAGAAATAATTTTACTTTATATAAAATATTTATCAAACTTATTAGTTTGATAGCCCAAGCTTACCAGAGTATAATATTTTTATTTTTAATAAATCAACATAAATTAGGTAAAAGTAGAACACAAGAATAAATCAGTGTTTTAAAATCTCACCCCATCTCCCCGGGTCAATTTTGACCCCTCCCTTCTGAAGATTGAGGTCACAAGTTGGACCCTATATGCATATCGACTCATCCGACCCCCAAAATTCGGCTGGGTTTCAGTGACTCCCGAGTCAGAGGGGTCATTGCATGTTTTTTTTTTTTTTAAAAAAAATTTCATGAAACAATATTGTTTTATTAAAAAAATAAATAAAAATGCTTGCAAACCTAAATCTAATTGTTCTCTTCTCTCCTAGTGACCTAAATGTTTTCAATCTTAACCTCACTGCCGTGAATCTTCTAGAAAATGTAAGAATTTTAACCTTTCAAATGAAATTCTTACGGTTGTCGATGGAAAATAAAAACTCGTTCTTACTTCTTTTAAATTTTCCTTTGTCAGAGATCTTCTCAAAAGAGGCAGAACCGGGTCAGTGTAGTGACCCCATTAGAATATGAGTTTTGTACTTTGGTATCTTGATACTTTAATTAGGTTGTATAATATTGACTTGTGATTGTAATTGATGAATTATGTTAAATATATTTTGAATCTTTGATGATTGGTGATTTGTTTTTTAATATTTTCATATAGGATATATATATTTATATTTTTTTTAATATATAAAATTGAGTCAGCGTAATGAACCCCTGACATCAGCCGAGTCGATGGCCGGGCCGAGTTTTTAAACACTGGAATAAATAAGAAGAACTCTTATGACTTCCAATTAATTTATTCAAAACACTTTCTATATTAGAGTTTAATGTTTGCAATTCAACCTAAAACCTTATATATTATTGTCAAATTTACTGTTTTACTATACACCCCTAATTGCCAACAAATGAACTTATCCAAAACTCACGCCCACAATTTATGAAGGGTGATTTTTGACTTTTCATCCAATTACTCACCATCCCTCGTCAGAAACGACGTGTGATGCACAGTACAACCTAACTAGCTAATGACCCTCGTTTATCTTTTTGTTATCGAAAACATTATAACAATTTATTTAATTCATTTACTATATCATATAGTTTAACTTTATGATATACGAAAGGGTGAGAGAGAGAGAAGTGAGAAGAAAGATGAATGGTCCTGCCCAGCAGCAGTTCCAGCTCACCCGCTTGGGTCGGATCCATTTTCTGCCACTCTCAGAAGCCACAACACAAACACAAACATCAACACAAACACCAACACCAAAACCTTTCCATCATCCCAAGTAAAATAACTTTCCAACATCCCAAACATCTCTCTACAAAAACATCCTCTTCCTCAAACAAAACCAAAATCCCTTTTAAAAAAAAAAAAAAAACATTTTTTTTTTTTAAAAAAATTATTTTATTTTTCTACTTAGAAATAGAAAGCATAGGATAAGAATAGCCCATAAAAATCAGAACCTCTCCTGGTATCATCGTTCTCGTTAATGCTGAAATCACTGGGATTGTGTGTTAAATGGGCAACGTAACGGGAACAGTTGCTGCAAAATTCGCTTTTTTCCCGCCAGAGCCACCAACGTACGACGTTTACAGAGAGCAAGATGGGAGGGTGGTGTTTTCCGGCGTCACCGCCGATAAAAACGTCGACGTTCATCTTCTCGACACCAAGGTTGGGAACAAGATCGTTGCTACCTTCTGGAGACACCCTTTTGGTAGATTCACCTTATTGTACTCACATGGTAATGCCGCTGACTTGGGTCAAATGCATGACCTCTTCATCGAGCTCAGAGCTCACCTTCGTGTCAATATCATGAGGTTCTTTTTTTTCCTTCAAACCCATTCTGCTTTTAGAACTATAAACAAAAGGCCTTTTTCTGAATATTTCTTTGAACTTTGTTATATTTTCAGCTATGACTATTCTGGATATGGAGCATCTACAGGTAAGGTAAGTAACTCATAGGATTTGGAAGGAAGATTATCAGAATTCCATTTGAATTATGTTTTTTTTTTTTTTCTCTATCAGCAAATCTTACTGTGTGATTATATTTCCAACTGTGATAGCCATCTGAGTTCAACACATATTACGACATAGAGGCTGTATATAATTGTTTGAGGAATGAATATGGAATTAAGCAAGAGGATTTAATATTGTATGGTCAATCTGTTGGAAGTGGACCCACACTACACTTGGCTTCTAAGTTGCACAAGTTGAGAGGTGTTGTTCTTCACAGTGCCATCCTTTCAGGGATAAGGGTTTTGTACCCTGTCAAGATGACATTTTGGTTTGACATATTCAAAGTAAGTTTTGCCTGAGTGTTCTTCGTAGTTCTTATTCTGCTCTAATCTTTAACTCTTGAGTTTTTTTAGTAACAAATTCTCTTTTGTCATTTCAGAATATAGATAAAATTCGGCTTGTCAACTGTCCAGTGTTTGTTATACATGTAAGTATATCTTTCCATCTATGTTTCTAATCAGTTTCGTCAATGAAGTGTCTTTTTGTGCTTCAACTTGATCATCAATTTCTTTCTTGAGGCTTCTATCCTGAAGTGACTGTTCTGTAATTTCTTATTTTGCTAACTCTGACGAGGAGTTGTTCATATAGAGGCTAGGCTGAACCCTTAAAAGTATAAAAAGAATTTTAAAAAAATGGATTGTGAAGATTATTCAAATCGATTCGTCATTTACTTAAAAACACACTCATTATGAAACAGATTTCAATTGTTCAATAATCTGAATGTTTGATTGCAAATGTCACACGATGCAAAGTGTAAAATGTATTTAGAGATTCTGAGAATCAGATGTCTTGATCCTTGGTTGAACTTTTACTTTCCTAATTTTTCCACTTCCAATGAAGAAGCCAGATGAACAAAGAAGTGTGTGTTTAGGAACCTGGTGGTGTTTGAATCCAATTATTATTATTATCCTTAATTCAACAAATATTGGAATATTTTTTGCATGTATTGTCGCAGTATACTTTTCCACCTGTTTGCAAAATGTCTTCAGATTATGTTTACCAAGATGATAAAATGTTGCGTCAATCTGTTCAATTTCTTAAAAACAATACAGAAGTTGAATTACTGCTGCAAAGTGCAAATAATAGACATTAGGTTCTGGAGTAAAAACTGAAACAACAAATGCTGGAGACAGAAGTCGATATCATTTCCTGTTTTCACAGAGAATTACTCATTTATTTGCATGCTGAACTGAAGTTATAAGAGCAATCTGTAGTTCAAATACAGATATAAAACGTGTAAGTGATGTTCGATATGATGTATATGTTAAGTGAAAGGTTGATACTTTGATTACATCATAGGATACTAAAGAATGTCTATATGTAAACTTTGTATCCATTTAAGCATAGGTATTTGAAATATTCCTTTTTCCAAATGCTTCTCCCATTATGTTTTTTAGTTATTTTATTTCTTCAGTTTGCCTTTTATAGAACCTGGGAGCAGTCTGCGCCTGTTGTGCTAATGAGGAATATTACAAAAGATGTTTAAAAAATTTGTGGTATTTATCTGTTTTTGCATCTCCGCATTCTAATATTAATTTTGAGAGAGCAGGAAACTAAACAATTTTTTGGTGCTTAATAACAGAGATTAAGACAATTCTAGAACATTAACTCTCTCTCTCTCTCTCTGTGTGTGTATATTTGGGTTTGTTATCCTATCTGACTGTCTAATTTTCTGTAATAGATGTTTTTTACATGCGACTAATGAAGAAGCCACTTTATTAACAACTACAAATTGATATCTTTTATGAGTTACAAAAGATATCGTGGCACATTGGAAGAAACAGTAAATAGATTTTTAATATCCATATCTTGAAGCCAACAAAATTATTGCGGAGATTTCAGAATATCAATACATCTTTGCATTTCTTTTGGTTGTTGTTAACCTGTTGCCTACGGCCAGGCAGCATATAGCAGGGTATATGCTATATCTTTGCATTTAATCATTGCTGTTAACGTAGTCATTGTTGTAAATGGAGCCAATTTTGATGGGGGAAAAAATAGATTTCGTTTGGGACTCATGATGATTTTCTTCAACTTTGTTGTTGCATAGTGTTTCCTCGTATCATTGTTCATGAATTCCATACAAAACTCCTTAGCTGACATGGATATTTGTCTCATTAGCATATGTAGTCTTTTTTATGAACTAATACAATTCCCGGTGCTAAAAATAATTTTATTTGCCTGTTAATGGATTATGGTCAGGGAACAGATGATGATATTGTCGACTGGTCTCATGGAAAGCGATTGTGGGAACTCTCCAAGGAAAAATATGACCCTTTGTGGGTTAAGGGAGGTGGCCATTGCAACCTTGAAACTTTCCCCGAGTACATCAAGTACTTGCGCAAGTTCATTAATGCAATGGAGAAACTCTCACTCACAAGACAGACAAACAAACAACTCACTCAAAATCCTAGTATCACTGAATCCAGACATAACAAATGCTTAAGATTTGGTAAAAGATAGCTTGATCTTTTTAAGGTTTTGGATGTAGGAATTCAGAATGACGGTTTGATTGAAGGTTGTGCTCAGCTGCAGTAGTACCCTTGCTACATTGATTCATGGATTAAAAGTATGTGAGAGACCCTAACCCCCTTAAAAAAATGATGTCTTTGATCCAAATCCTGTTGAGATAGCCATAGCCTTATATAGTTGGAGAATTTCCGAGTGGTGTTTGCCTGGTTAATTATAATGTACTTGATTTTGGTATCTGACAAAGTTGAGTTTATCTATAGGCCATCATCATTCTCGGAAAAAAAATTAAGAATCTTTTTCCCACTACTAAATCTTTTGTCAAATTATCTAGATAGCGCGGGCACCTAGATTACTTATATTGAAGGTAGATCAACATGTCTTATAGTTACTAGAAACAATCGTGTTGACCTCCAAGGCAGTTGTCAACAACTTGTTGGTTTTCAAATCATTAATATTTTCTCAATGTGCTGTTGAATTTGAAACCATAGATTATGTAATGTTCACTTTTAGTAAAATAATTAATGATTGGATGAAAACTACAATATAACTAGACATGATGCATGATTTGATAATCATTATTTTCTATTGTTTTTGTTAAATTAATGGTGCAAAAAGGTTTAAATATATGGCATATTTAAATATATTTTCCTGCCTAATGTTCACCCCAATATTGATACAGTAACATGTAAGAGAAAAACATATTTGTTAAATACAGGTGTTTTGATTATGAGTGACAGTAATATATACCAATGTAGTATGGGAAATGTGCTCTGCCTCGTGGTGAGAATTCTGAGGCTTGAAGACCTGGTGTCATTAATGGCGGGTCTTTGGTGGTGAGACCCATGTGACTCTCTTTTAATGGATTAATGAGTGGTGAGTGAAAGCATGCATGTGCAGTTTCCCAGAAAAAGGAAGGCTTTGTCTTTGCACTCATGGGGAGGCCTCTCATAAATGGAAATGCCAAGTCAAGCAACTCTTCCAAACCTTTAAAACCTATATAAATATATAATACCAATATACCAGGTCAAAACACGTGGCCTATTAATTAGAAAAGTATAATATATAAAATATTTTTTAGAAATTTATTTGCGAAGTACATAAATAAAAATATACTCAGTATTATCATTTTATCAATTAAAACTCAAGATAAATAGAAATTTTTTCAAAAAAAGAAAAAAAGAATGGTATTTTCTGCAGATTTCATTCACACGATTTTTATCTGATAATAGTACACATGCAGTTACATTTATATGGTAAACTTAAATTTTATATAAATTCATAGATGATTTAAAAAAAAAATATACACACTATTTTATTTATACTTTTAGTTTATATGTACTCATTTGAGAAAGAAGTAGAAGAAAGAAACAGAATGTATATTAAAAATCATGTTTCTTTTGTTTTATTATATATAATGAAAACAAATGGTGTGATTTTTTTTTTTAAATAAAGTGGCGTGAAATAACATGACCCAATAATTTAATAATTTTTATGTTATTTTTTTTTATAACTCAAGCACAATTGGTTGCTACATGGGTCGTTGTGATCCTTACCTACAGACTTTAGCACCTCGTCCGGATCAAGAGAATCTTAAACCCTACACAATTTTCAAATGTATATGATGGAACCCATTCATTCATAAAATATAAACAGCTCCATAAAATCACTTGAAAACATCCAGCTGCCCATGCTTTCTACAAATCAAAGCTTAAGTTTATCACACGATATTCCAAAACTAATCGAGCTTAACCAGTTTCAGCAGAGCAATTGTATAACAAGTATTGAGCAGTTCAATCCAATTGATGGGCTAAAAGGATATATCATTTCCACTATTTTTCCCGGCAATTCTTCTCCTTTGGGTGAGGTTTTGTATAATGATCAACTACCTCATAATAGTGTCAAGTTATCTTCTTCCAATTCTCATATAGGAAAGAATCCAATTGATTTTTCTTCCATAAGTCTTATTGTTATTATAAAGAGGGCGAACCGGAGCAGTAGTAAAGCTGTTCTTTCATGATTGAAAGGTCATGTATTCGAATTCAGGAAACAGTCTATTTGCAATTATGCAAGGGTAAGACTGCGTACAAAGATTTCCTCTACCCCACACTCGCTACTCGGATTTAACGGAGAGTGGTTTAAGTGTTATTGTTATTCCTTTGGAGGATGCTAGAGGGGAGTTACAATGCCAAGAAAGCTAACTTGGGAATATCTTACAAGACTCATGCAACTTCAATTCCTTAAATTCACTCGCTTCTCCTAACGAAGACACTAGCGGCATGATTTAGACCAAAATAATACAGTTTGTGGCTAGAGAATTTATGCATGTTTGGTTGGCTAGCTGAACGTGGCTACTCCATCAATAACCCAATCCACAGTAGTTGAGAAATTCTATTTAAATGCAGGACTGAAGTAAAATGATGCTTGCATTTTGTAGCCCCAAGAAGGACCCATTGAGGAGGACATTTTTGGACCCTTTGGATGACATAACGAGTCATACAGTCAAATATTCTTCTTGTATTTGTATAATATTTAAGAGAAACTAACACTTTCCTTTTTATCATGTTTTAAATGGTTTTCTAATTCCTTTGGCATTGTTTAACTTGATTCAAATACTTCACATAAATTGCTTTTAGATGCTTACATAAGATGACATTTGCTTCTTCTTTTCTTTTCTTTTTTTCTATTTTGTGATTGTTACTTTTAGATGTTCTTGAATGTACTTATGACTTTATATCGCGTTTGTTTGATTTTAAATGTCAACTTAATATTGCAAAATAAATATGGGATATAAGAGTTTTGGTTATATAAGATTTTATGTATCCTATTAATTAAGGTTTGTGCATTTGATTGTGAAAAAATGAAAGCATTTAAAGTTTGCTTTATTCATATAATTTTATGAAAAACTGTTTATGATGCAAGGTCACGATGAGATTATATTGATAGATGGAGAAATGAGATTTGATGCTTACCAGTTGGATCATGCATCTAATTCCTTCTAATTAACAAGAATCCAGCACCATCAAAATCTTGGAAGTTACCCAGTTCTGGAGTCATTTCATTGTACAATCTCTTTCATGTAATTTCTTGGTTTGTTATTGGACATGGTATAAGTTAACTCTCTTCATTTTGTTAACTTTTAGCCAATTTTGTTAACTTTCATATTATTCAAGTAGTTTATATTACTCATCTTTCATAATATTACTCATACATCGCAATCTAAGCTTACATTCTACATTTCATGAATGCAGAAGTTAATACTTAATAGTTAATACACTACTTGCAAGCTCTGTTTGCTCAAAATGTAAGATGTTATCAAACAGAATAAGAGATATTTTCTTGGATTTACACATTCACATCCTTTGCTTAGGAAAACTCATTAATACAACTCATGAGGGACATTGAACTTCAATAATAGTAAATAAACATGTCTGGAGAGCGATACATTCACATAACATAGAACACTACATAGATACTCATATTCCATGGGCATAATGGCTTTCATTTGTTATATATATATATGTGCGCTCGCGCGCGCGTTGAAATCCTCTAGTATTGCTAAAAAAATTAGAGGAATCAAAATCAGCAAAATAAGAAAGGTTTCAGCTTTTTATACATCTTCTCAAAATCAATTTCCAGCCATTTACGTCCCCAAAAATTTAAATACAGCATAGCATGATTAACTCCTTACAACCACATGTAATCTTGATAATCTTGATAGGTCATCCTAGTGGAAACTAGTGTGTGGATCCTTTGGGCAAGCTTGAGGACACTTTGGAACTCAAAGTGAGAGCATTGATAGGGAGCTACAAAAGGTAAGCTTTTGGACTTTGAAATTTATCTCGTGCTTGTTCCACCATACCCTGAAGGGGTAGTGGTTTATGTGGCATATGTAATTGCATTGATTTGATGTGATGCATTTGATATATGTATGTGTATGTTATGTTTTTGCACTTGGTATGTATCAAAGAGATTTCCTTGTGTAATTCAGAGAGTACAGTTTCTCTGGCTAGTAGGATTTATTGTTACTACGGCATGAGCATTCTGGAGCAATGTTTGGATGAGCGTTATTTGCATAGCATGGATATGTATATGTTGCATCATACAGTTTATTGCTTTTATGCTGAAGTGAACTTGGGGGTGGAGGAATCTCCAAGGATCTCTAGTTTACTGATATATATATATATATATATATATATATATATATATATATATATATATATCTCATCCCGGGTTGTGGGGATCTCCTTTCAGGTACGGATGATGTAGGAGCATCCGTTGGCAGGAGGCCACAGTAGATTACATTTTGTATATTATGGACTTGCATATGGCATGTTATTTTGGATGTCTGTAGCATCATATGTTTATGTAGTCTTATTTTGAGAATATGTACTATTGATACATGAAGGAGGGACTTAGCCTATGATCATAGTTATTGGATATCTTTCATGTTGTTGATGCATGTAAAGGACTTTAATCATATGTTTTGTATTAGTTAAGTTCCAATTTATGTAGTCTGTAGACATTTATGTATTTTGATACAATTATGATGAAAGAGCTTGTACGCCTATTGGATAGACTGAGATGATGTCAGTATCTATTGAAATGTTTATCAAATTGAGATATCATGTGGAAATTATCCCTAGATGTCCGAAAAACAAACGGAGCTCTGTCCGTTTTGTTTGGGTGATGTTGGTAGGAGATTATCACCTTGTGTGATTAACTATCTTCATTGTCACGAGAAGCCATGTTGTTTATGAGTACTTCATGGTGGTATGATATATTTAAGTGAGATTAGATGTTTCCACAATTTGTATGAGTTATAATTACAGTTTGAATTGTTTATAAATACGGAAAGTGTTTTAAGCAGTAAAAGATAATTGTTTAAAAAAGAAGAAAGTTTATCCGTGTTTTAATCAACTACTGTGATTGTAAATGCGCTTAATATCATACGTAATGATAACAAACCGGTTCTAAAATGGAGAGTTACAAATAACCCCCCAAAAAAATCCTCTTAGAAGAACCTTACACAAGAAGAAACAAAAATTCCTTAATTCTTCAAATAGGCAACTGTGAAACTGAATACAGCTTCTCACAACAAAAATTCCTTAATTCTTCAAATAGGCAACTGTGAAACTGAATACAGCTTCTCACCCCATATGATAAAGGCAATAACCCCCCAAAAAAAGAACCTTACACAAGAAAAAACAAAAATTCCTTAATTCTTCAAATAGGCAACAATTATAGGCATGTGATTGCATGTGTTTGCGTGTGTGTGTGTGTGTGCGTGTGCGTGTGTGTGTGTGTGACAATACAAAACATCAAGAAAAAAAACTTGAGTTTTTGTGTAAATAAAGTGTTGCTTATTTAGCATTCCCCTAATTCTTAATACATGGGATTGGCTGTTCTTATTTGTGGTGTACAATTTCGTGGAATGTGGGTAGTGGTTATGATCGATTCGATAGAAAAGAGGGAATAGTGTGTATTTTTCGTTGGGGATTTCCTGGAAAAAGTCGTCGTATTTTTCTCCGATTCCTTATCAAAGATATTCAGTCCATCAGACTCGAAGTTAAGGAGGGTATTTCTACTCGCCGTGTCCTTTATATGGAAATCATAGGACAGGGAGCCATTCCCTTGGCTCGTATTGACGAGAATTTGGCTGTATGTTCCATAATATGTTCCATAATCATAATAATTGGAGTTCTTTACACGACTTCTCTTTCATTTTCATGAAATGTGTGTGTGTGTGTGTGAATACAAAACATCAAGAAAAAAAACTTGAGTTTTTGTGTAAATAAAGTGTGTATGTTCCATAATCATAATAATTGGAGTTCTTTACACGACTTCTCTTTCATTTTCATGATGTGTGTGTGTGTGTGCGCGCGCGCGTGCGTGCGTGCGTGCGTGCGTGCCATTTCTCAAGAACAATAGCTAAGGGACCCGCTTCGTTCTGAAAACTCGCTTCAGATATGAAACTTTGAGTATTCAGAGATGTTTTTGTTATTCCCAATAATAGAGCTCGATAACTAATCGCTTCTTGCAAGGCACGCCCCGTTCGTTCAGCTCGCAACAATCCAATTAGTTCGCCGGGTAAAAAAACATTCGACATTCCTTCTTCTGAAACCCATACTTTTGATGTTATTTGACGTACAATAATTTCGATATGTCTATTATGAATGTGCACTCCCTGAGATCGATAAACCTCCTGGATTTTATTAACCAAAGAAATATGTGTGTGTGTGTGTGTACAAAACATCAACAAAAAAAACTTGAGTTTTTGTGTAAATAAAGTGTGTATGTTCCATAATCATAATAATTGGAGTTCTTTACACGACTTCTCTTTCATTTTCATGAAATTTGTGTGTGTGTGTGTGTGTGACAATACAAAACATCAAGAAAAAAAACTTGAGTTTTTGTGTAAATAAAGTGTTGCTTATTTAGCATTCCCCTAATTCTTAATACATGGGATTGGCTGTATGTTCCATAATCATAATAATTGGAGTTCTTTACACGACTTCTCTTTCATTTTCATGAAATTTGGACAATGCTGTATTAACATGTTATTATGTGGAATCCTACTCAGTAGTTAGTGATAAGAACTAAGAAGTGAGATTCTGTATTTCACTTGGGTTTTCACTTTTTAGTAATATTTAAAGTCACACCTAGATTTTATTGCTTTCATGGAGATATGGTTGGTATGACTGCTGATTTAGCTTTACTGGCTGAATCATGAGGCAGCAAGTCTACAAATGTTCTAGTAAGCTGGAAGGGAGAGGGGTACTTACAGAGGTTTCATGAATAATTGTTGCATCCTCTCACAACTTTAGTTTGCTGTGGGTTGCTATAATGTAGTCATGGTTCAATATAATCAATGATTCAATATGACTAAAAGTCGAGAGAGAAGAGAGGGAGAGGAGGGTTGTTGTTGATACATGTAATTTTGCATAGACTCGCAGGTATTAAGCACGAACACTTCAAGAAAGTGGAGTGTGTTCATGTTATTGTCATATAAGCAAGTGGACACTTTAGAATGGGGGGGAAGATAGTAAAATGGATTGACTTTTGGTCCAGTTTTCACTTTTATATTCTTCTCATATTCACCTCTATAAATGTAGCTACAATTACAATTGGGATGAATTCAATTGATCAGACTGCACTCAAAATGAACTTACTCATGAATCATTCATTTCTAACAAACTAAATAGGTTCCTCTACAGTAAGCCTCCCTCAACCACATACCATAAATATTATGGCAGGCCATAAAAAACCCCAGCACTTCAATTCAAAATGCACAAGAAAAAACAACAAACAACAGTACTGTGATATGTGCACTTAGTAACCAAAAACTGGTAAAATTGCATCATTCAATGGGAACAAGTTTTCCAGCAGCCCTACCCTAACAGAAAAAAAAAAATTAGAAATTGCAATCATTCTACAATTCCACCCCCCCCCCCCCCCCTCTTTTTTTTTTCTTCTCCTCAATTTCTGAGACAAGCAAAACACATCAATGTACACATAAAATGGGGGGGAACATGACAACTCAAATGCAATGAACCAAAAAAGCATAAAGACATATATATGTATCAAAACAAAAACAACAGCAAAGACTTATCTATTGACTAGCACCCTGTTCTTCTAGATTCTTCACATGTGCCTTGAGAACCATGAGCAATTCTCTGGCTGGAGCTTGAAGAGTGCTGACAAGAGCAGAGGCAGGGCTTTTCAAAGAACCCAACAAAGTAGCATAAATCTCAGCACGCGAGGGCAATGTTTCAAGTTTCTTGAATTCATCAGGACCATAGAACTTTCCCTCAAAGACAGCACCAGTGAAATCATTGTCTTCGAGCTTCTTCTCCTTCTGGAAGTCCCTATAGGGCTTAATGGCCGTAGGTATTTCCTCTGTGTGAACGAAGAGCCACACATTCATACCCTTCATGCAAGGCTTCAGCGTCTCCCACGGTGTTCCCTCCAAAGCCTTGTACACCAAAGTGTTCTTCGCCACTATCAGCTTCGTAGTTTCAGGGAGGGTCTTCCTCAGCTCCTGAAACTGTTGCACTGTGAACCCTTTGTAATTTATGCCAGCAAGAAGGTAACAGTTCTCAAGCTGCTTCCTCACCGTGTCCACTGTTTCTTCCTTCTTGGTGCGAGAAATAGCGGCGTTGATTGAAGGGAAGTGTTGGTGGTGGTGGCGGTGGGTTTTGAAGGTGGGTCCCGGTTTTCTCGACGAGGGAAGGTTGAATGGGTTAATGGGTCGGTTCAGGATTTGAAAAGTTTGGGTTTTGGTGGATGGAAGAGCGAAGCTCACTACAGTGCCTATGGCTTCCATGGTGGTGGTAGTGATGATGATTGGAATTTAGAAAAAAATGAAAATGGCATTGTGGATTTAGTTTGGCTTATCTTATCACTTTGATGCTTTGCTGTGATGGGTGTCTTGGCTTGGCTACCCTAGCTTCGTTTTTGGGTCACCTGTACCCAAGGTTCTCCTCCAATCACAATTGGACACTTGGCTTGTTTGCATGTATAGACTTGTGAATGTGTTTAAATTTTTTATACTGTCAGAAAATAAGATGTAACATTGTAGTAGTATTTAATTTCATTTTATTTTTTGGTTAGTGTGAAATTTTTCTTTTACACTCCAAAAATCAAAATTACATTCTTTATATTTTACTTCTATCAAAAATACTTTTCCTTGCCGGTTTCAACAAAATCTAGGTTTGCATATATGTTAAGGTCTGTTTGGATGAGAAATTGAAAATTTAAGATGTAAATTACTTTATTTTGCTTAATAGAATGCGAAAGTGAAAAATAAAATTTATTCAATTTAAGTCATAATTTAATTAAAAATCATTTTTATGCCTTTGTTTAATGTATTTTTCACATTCTTATTTCTCCACCACTTTACTCTATTAGCCTAAATGTTTTATGGTAAATAAAGTGTTCAAGATTTATGCATTTTTTACTTGTCCTGTGAATTTTCATCAGAGTGGAATGGATACAACTAACTTGGATCCACATTGGAAATCAGCCTAATGGCAACAAGAAGGGAAGAAACCTGTGAAGTGTGTATCACCGTGTTGTGCAACCATTTTTGCTTTTGGTACAATATTTATAGACATTCTTACTAGAGTTTATGAAGTGGATAAACATTTGACACAAGATGAATACATCTCTTTAGCTTGAACAAAGTGTGCGCACGGGAATCTGTCCACAGAAATTTTTTTACTATTATTCACAAGACAGATCAATCACATTTCCCTCATACAAACAGAAATTTTCTTTAACTTTCTTATTTCAGTTTATTTTATTACACGTGGGATGTGTTCACAAACATTATTTTCCTGATGCACTATCAGAAAATAATGAAACACAATAAACATTAGTTACAAATTTCTGATCAGTGAAAGAAAAAGTAAGAAACAATAAATCATGTTCCAATCACACAATAATAATGAGAAAAATACCAGGATAAGAGAGAGAGAGACCTTGTTACAAGACAGTTCATTACCTAAAATTTAATCCCAGTGAAAATTATGATCTGTTCAGACTATAAGCATGTCCTTGGTTGCAGTTTTGAATTTGTTGGCACATTATGCAGCAGTTCCACCTTTAACCCACTTTTGAAAACTTCAAAATTCCAATTTTTTTTTACAACTTTTCTTAAGTTCTCTACGGCTCTATGCTATGAAACATATTGGTTTTGTAACATTTCATGCTCAATATAAGCAAGACCTAGCTTGAAATGAGTTGAAAAGGTAGCATTTAACTTAATTCATCTCAGTAAGCCGTGCTCTCCTTTCAGCAGCTTTTTTTCTGATAAATATGCCCCACCTTAAAGCAGCTTTAAGCTTAAGCCACCCAACAACTGCTTTCCCTGAAGACTTTCCAAGATCCTGACTGAATGTATGATACACATGAGGCTCATATTGCACATTGTAGGAGTAACAACCCTCATTGGAATGACCAAAATTAGTTTCCATGCTGACTCCTGCATTAATTGTCTTAAGTAAGCTTTGCATATCCTCACTCTCCAACATCTCTGAACTCCTAAGATGGAGTTCTTTGGCAACAATGTCTTCCAATCCTTGCCCATTTCTCTGCCTAGACCAATCTCCTAGAAAATAAGTACCTTCAACTGCAGATTTTTCACCTGGTTTGTAATTAATGCTGCTTGACAATGCTACTTGAGAGTTATTTAACATTGTCCCTACCATCTCACTGCCTGGCCTACCAAATGGATAATCAGTCAAGTCAGTATTCATTGAATGGTTATTTGTTATTTGTAAATGTTGGTTTGTGACATATGGCATCCTATTCTTTGTTGAAGTATGCTGCTGCTCTACAACGTAGTTATGATGTGTGGCTACAGATCTTGATCCTGTTTTGGCATTAGGAACAGAACTCAAAACTTTTCCATCATATTCTACAACTTGGTTCCAATTTTCATATGCTTTCTTCACCAAGGAATCCACAGACATCTGTAATTCAAATTCTCAATAGATGAGCTAATGTAGTCACTAGTCAGATAAACACATAGGGTGATTGTCACATATCAAAGCTAATCATGAAATCAAATCGATCTAGGAATTCTGCATTTCTAATTATTGAAGAAAAATTGACCTTCTGATTTGGTGTAAGTGATTCCAAAGAGAAGAAGTGTCCATCAGCAATGAGGCCTCTCAGTTCGTATATATGACTGAACACAATGCCAGTGCTATTAGTCTCATCAGTGTAGTAAACGAAAAGCTTACCACCCAAGACACATGTCTTGGCATGCTCTACAGTATTATCCCACATCCTGTTGGACATTCCACTACCAAGTATCTGTAATAAAGGTGGCAAATAAGGAAGTTATAGAAAGGAGTATTCAGAAAATTGGAATAGTGAAGAAATAATATGGGTGATTACGAACAAATAGCATGAATTCTTACACTTCTTAACTTCTGTGGGTCCCTGACAAGTAGACGAAGGAAATCTTCTACAGTTATTATTTTTGCTAGAATCAATTTTTTGTGCATTGCCCCATCCTTTGCTATTCGATCCAATCTCCAAACTTCGTCACGCAAAGCAGGTGGATAGTGTTTCTTATATACTGCAAGTTACAGAAAGAAAACTACTTGTTTAGAGAACAAGATTTTGCAAAAGCCTAAAATTGACAGATGAAACATTATTTGAAATTGATGCAGAAGATTATAGTAATCTATCAAATCCACAACTTAATCAGATTATTTAAACTATTTACAACAAGAAGAATTTATTCAAGTCAGAAAAACTCAAAATATTCATACTATCCTTGCCTGATTTTTCAACTCAGCGTTATTTTCCTAGAATAAGATTATAAATGATCTGATATAGCAAACTATAGAAGGAAACATCTTAGTTCTGTTTCTTTCCCTATGTTCAAAAAAAAAAAAAGGAAACACAACCACCTATAGATAGAGTAATATACGTTTGCTATGTTCTTTAATTTACTCGATATATAGATATGGTTGAAAACAATATACATGTAGTCTGCTATTTACTATTCTCATACAAAAAAAAAAAAAAAAAATTCCAAAGTTTTGCCACAAAACAAGGAAATCATTGTGCACGTGAAACTTCTTGTGAAATCTGTTATCCCAGAAAATAAATACTAAAGATTCATAATCTATGCTTTGCAAGTGTAATTTTAGTGATCCAACATCTCCCAATGGTGGATGAACACGGCAAATTATTTTGTCATAAGCAAATAATATGAAGTGAAAACTGTTAGAAAACTCACATTCTCCTCTATGATCTTTAACAGCAAAAGCTTCAGTCTTTCCCTCACGAATACGAATCCCATCACAATATCCAGAAGCCACCTTAACACCAAGCCTGAATTTTCTGCTTCTTATCCAGCTAGAATTGTCAGTGAAAGTAAGATCACCTAAGGTTCCCACCCCTTCCTTTAGAATAACCTGCAAATCTCCAGTTAGAAGTGGCTTTTTCCCTTCACGCTCCTTTACTTCATGGCTCTCAAAGTGCTCCTTTGTCCAATCATCATCAGCTTCCTCATTAAAGTTTCCTTCAAGTACCACAACATTCAATTTAGCAACTGATTCTGGTCCAATTTGGACTACACTGCCAGTGTTTGGGTCTAGCAAGACAACATGGATAGATGCTCCTTGCTCTCCCTCAACCTTTCCACCTGTGAACAAGTGAGGTGGCATTCTTGTTCTGACACAAAGCTGCAGATTCTTTGACCTTGGTCCTTCTAGTTTTGGTTGTGATCTGATACAGGTAAAATGTAATTTATGAAATCATGGCTTATGATAATTATTATTATTCGAACTTTATAACTTGGTTTGTAATAATAAGGCTTTCATACTTTTTATACAATTTTAGACCAACCAGTTGAGTCATATTCATAAAGGACTACATATGCTCAAAAATTGTTCAAATCCTTGTTAAATTGCTTACCAGTTCTCAACATCATACAGAACAAGCATTTATAACTACAATTGAGGATTTTATTTATTTATTTTTTTCAGCATTCTAATTTGACGGGGGAACACACCTTTCAGCCAGTTTAGCATGGCCCGCTTTAGCTAAAGCACGCTCCACTTCTTCACTGACCTAAAATTCATGGAATTAGCAGGATTAACAATAGAATACCTTGGAAGACAGAAAAGAAGTTGATGTAGGCTTTATATTGATTAAGATTAAGCTTCACAAAGCTTCTGAGTCCAAATGAAAGCAATAAACATACAATTGAAGTGTGAAACTCTTAACAAAAACGTTACAAAGATCACAAATAAAATTATCATACTGAATCTGTTCTGTAAGGCAGCTTTGCATTTGAGTTCTTGACTAAAACATATTGTTCATTTTACTCCATGCTTTAGTAGGCCTTAAACAACACACAATTAGTATATTCAATAAATACAAATTATTTCGTTGGTTGAATTATTACAAAATACCATGAAATTGTACTTCTTTCGTGGGAAGAACTGTTCAAGCTCAGAGGGTCAAATATTATATATGAAAGTGATAAATCCTAAACAAACTTCAATGTTATTTGTGAAGGATTTAATAAAAAGAAAGTAACTAGAACTCACAATTTTCCTGAGAAGTGGTTCCAAAGATGAGCTAAGCCTTTGCAGACTATCCACCTTCAAAGCTTCCACGATTACACTAAATAGAGTGAGAGAAGTCACTGGTGTGAGTGTCACTAAGCTTGTATTGAAATACAAAACAAAAATAAATAAATAAGGGCAACACCATTAAATTGAAAATGACCACACCAAGAAATAGGGTGGCAAGCTCAACAGTTTGAAACATACATTGCCATCTTTACTTGAGATTCCAAAACATGAGATTCATTGTCAATCCAACTTAGATGGGTACTCTTCAAATTGTTCTTATATCTACTTTTACATAGCATTATGAAGTTTCACAATTAACAGGCACAAAAGATTAATCTGACCACTGATGTCATATTATCAAGATCTAGCAGATATGGAGTTCACATTGTAGTGCATGTCATAGCATATTGTAGTAATCTGAACAACCAAAAATGGAAATTAATCCAAACAAATCAAGATAGAACCAGTATGAAAAAACCGTATCATTGTGAGAATGCTTAGAGTATATTTGCAATGAAACAACTCTCCACATAGTAATAATGTTAAAATATATGGCATATAATCAAGTTATAACCCCCCAGACCCCATAAACAGAGAATTAATTGTTGAAATGAATGAGTTGTAATGCAATACCTGGCTAAACCTGGCAATTTTGGCTTCTTGGGCTGGATTAGATGATCTGCGTCATCACCTTGCTCAACTAGCTCGTGCCCTCTTTTTTCCACTCTATAGTTCTTCGAACTTTCCATTTCTAGAAACTTATCCAATCCCAATGATATTTTTAGACAACTTCTAAATTTAGAAACTTGGTATTTTTCCTATTTATCTGTAGGATAGGAACACCCAGAAGCTTCCTTGAAAGCACAAAAAATCTTCAAGCTAAACCTTAAACATCAGTTCAGTCCCCATAAAAAAGCAGGCAAGCTTGTTCCCTTGACAATTGTGGATCTGTGATTATACATACATACATATATATATTTTGAAGTTATGGCCACAGAACAGTAGCATAGATCTATAAATTTATAATTAATTTGATATTTCATTTTTTTAAGAAAAAAGATCTTCACTTTGGAATTTATTATTCATATCATTGAAGTTCACAGCTGTTATTGGCGCATGCATGAACGTTGAAAATTGAAAGCGCGTTTGTTGGTGTCTCATGCATCTTTGACTTTGTTATATTAAGCAACCCTGCATTATCAACATTATTTACATTTGTCCATTAGCGTAGAAGTCAGTGTCACTCATTTACTGTACGGATTTTCGTTCATGGAAAAATAGTCAATGTATGGATGCCACTAATTATGCATGGATGGGGGAGTATAGTGAAAGTTCAATAGACAATAGCTTTTCAAAAAAAATTATTAAGACACCAATCTTTTATAACTTTTTTTTTTCCCCTTTAATTTGATGGTATAGGAAAATATTGAATTACCTGATGGGATTTCTCTCTTTGGAAAAAAAAAAGTAATATTTTATTTTACTGCTGAAGAAAAGAAGAAAAAAAAAATGCTGGAATTTACTAAAGGGCAACCGACACAGCCTTTGGATTGATGAGAAATATAAAATGAGGTCTCAACAGTGCTACATGGATCAAGAAGAATCTTTGGTGTTTAGCCATGTGCATGTTCATGATTTTGGAGAATCTCTGGTGACCCGTGCTTACAGCTTTTAGGATTGATATCTTGAGGTTACACAAGTAACCCACATAACCAATTGTTAATTGTTAATTTGTATCAGGGTCTTTTCTCTCTGAAGATTATTGTGTTCACTAAAATCTTCTATTACAAACCATATATATCTGGCAATACAGTTAGAAAAACAGTAAGAAATACTAACTTTAGGCTTTAGCGTAAATTGGTTGACAAAGCAAGCATTTTGCTTGCATGTTGTACAAAATTACAATTATATAAAGAATATAAATCATAAATTTATACAGTTATTCTCCTTCCCAGCACATTTGACTTGCTCGTTGCTCCCACAAGTTACACATTGTGTCTTTAAAATAATTTTGTTTCTATATGGTGCCTACGATTCATAGATAATTGTCAATTGTCTCATAGGATATAACAAATTATCTATTATTATGGTTGCACTTCTACAAAGAATAATCTCATCAAACTCAACATATATCTAATCAATCGTATTATAGAAGAGGAAAGGAAATGCATATACAAAACTAACATAGAGAAAAAAAACTCATATCTTAAAACTCTGATTCTTTATTTGTCAAAAATAGAGTACCACTGTATCTCTTAATTCTCATTCATAATTTTCTCATAATCAGAGGTGTATTTATACACAAATTGTACATTCAAAATCCTAACAAACTAGATGAAATAAAGGAAACAAACTTCTGATTCTATCTATACAAATTGAAATATACAAGAACAGAATAACAACTATTTTTCTATTTTGAATTTCAAATTGCTACATTTCAACACTCCCCCTCAAGTTGGAGCAAAGATATCAATCATGCCCAACTTGCTTATTGCTTCATGGAGGACTTTCCCTGACACAGCTTTGGTTAAGATATCTGCAAGCTGGTCTTCGGATCTGACAAATGGGAAGTGTATAATACCTTGATCCAAGTTTTCCTTGATGAAGTGTCGATCAACCTCAACATGTTTAGTTCTATCATGTTGAATTGGGTTGTGAGCAATTGCAATTGCTGCACTATTATCACAATGCAGATCCATCGGCTGTTTATAGATAATTCCTAGATCTTTAAGGACATTTTTAATCCATATTAATTCACACACACCTTGAGCCATTCCTCTATACTCAGCCTCTGCGCTTGATCTTGCTACCACCTTTTGTTTTTTACTTTTCCATGTGACAAGATTTCCTTCTACAAATGTAAAATAACCAGATGTTGAATGCCTAGTTGTTTTGTCTCCTGCCCAATCAGAGTCAGTGAAACCAAAAACAGATGAGGAATTATTTTTAGAAAACAACCATCATTTTCCTGGAGATCCCTTTAAATATCTCAAAATTCGGTATACTGCCTCCATATGATCTATGCTTGGAGAATGCATAAATCTACTAACTACACTCACTGCATAAGAGATATCTGGCCTGGTATGTGATAGATAGATTAGTCTCCCAACTAGTCTTTGATATCTACCAATGTCAGTGGCAACTTGATCCGGGTAAATGCCTAACCTGTGATTCATTTCTATTGGTGTTTCTACTGGTTTACAAGCCAGCATCCCGGTTTCACTTAGGAGATCCATAGTGTATTTTCTTTGTGAGAGGAATATGCCATGTTCAGACCTTGATATTTCAATACCCAAAAAATACCTAAGTTGTCCTAGATCCTTCATCTCAAATTCAGAACTTAAGTAATTTTCTAATTTTTTCATCTCACAATGTTCATCTCCAGTTAAAACCATATCATCTACATAAACAATTAAAGCAGTTACCTTGCCTTTATGATGCTTTATGAAGAGGGTGTGATCTGCATTGCTCTGTTTGTACCCAAAATTCTTCATAGCTAATGAGAACCTCCCAAACCAAGCTCTAGGTGACTGCTTTAACCCATATAAAGCCTTTTTTTAACTTGCATGCATCAAACTTTCCTCTGTTTTGCAAATTTACCCCAGGTGGAAGTTCCATATAAACCTCTTCCTTCAAGTCTCCATTCAAAAAAGCATTCTTCACGTCAAACTGTTTGAGAGGCCAGTTTCGGTTTACTGCCAGTGATAATAAAATACGAATGGTGTTCAATTTAGCTACTAGAGCAAATGTATCTTGATAATCTATCCCGTACTTTTGTGTAAACCCCTTAGCAACCAGTCTTGCTTTGTACCTATCAATGCTCCCATCAGCTTTGAGTTTTACAGTGAAAACCCACTTACATCCAATCGTTTTCTTTCCTTGCGGCAGAGGAACAATATCCCATGTTGAGTTCTTCTGAAGAGCTTCCATTTCAGTGTTCATAGCTTCTTTCCATCTTGGATCCGCCAATGCTTCCTGTATATTGTTAGGAATAGCTACAGAAGATAATTGATTTACAGCTAGAGCATATGATCCAGACAACTTATGAGTAGATACATAATTACTGATGGGATATTTAGCTTTTGCTTTGGGATCAGGTTCATATAGTGTCTTAGGGACACCTTTGTTGGGTCGGTGAGAGCACCTTAATTGTTGAACAAGAGGATTTGAGGGAAGAGCAGTATTAGGGGAATTAATATGTGTAGGTTGAGAGCATACCTCAGGTGCAGAAAACTGTACAGAATCAGTGACATCTCTAGATGGTGTCTCAGGTAGTGGTGTTAAAGGAGATGAGCTCATACCAGGATCAGATGTCTGGGACAGCGAAGATGGTTGCACTTCAGCAGTTGGTTGCGCTTCAGCAGGAACAATGGTAGTTGACTGTGGTAGTTCTATACAAACTTCTCCTCCAACAAGCTCATGTGATATCTCCCCCTGAGGAGAAGGACTAAGAACTCCCCCTGAGCTAAAATAGGGCTCCCCCTCATAAAAAGAAGCTTCGAGAGTGATGTGAATTTTTTCCAGAATGGGATCAAAGCAACGGTACCCTTTTTGTGAATCCGAGTATCCAACAAAGATGCATTTGGTGGCACAGGGGTCAAGTTTGCTGCGTAGAGCTTTGGGTTTGTGAGCATAAACAGTACAGCCAAATATGCGGGGTTCTAAATTAGAGATGTGAGGGATGGAAAAATGAGAGTGAAGAACTGTTTGAGGGGTTTGGAATTGAAGGACACTAGAGGGTGTACGGTTAATTAGGTAGGCAGCGGAGAGGACAGCTTCACCCCAATATTTTTTAGGGACATTCATGCCAAATAAGGAAGCACGCACAACCTCCATAAGGTGTCTGTTTTTTCGTTCAGCTAGGCCATTTTGTTGTGGGGTATAGGGACATGAAGTTTGATGACGGATGCCATGGTCAAGCAAGAATGTGGAAAAAAGGTTGGATAAATATTCTTTCCCATTATCAGACTGAAGAACCTGGATTTTGGAATTGTATTGTGTGGCTACCATAGAATGAAAACGTTGAAATGCAGGAAAGGTGTCACTTTTGGTACGTAACAGAGAAACCCGTGTCATTCGGGAGAATTCATCAATAAAAGTGATAAAGTAATATGCTTTAGAGAAAGATGGTATGCGGGCAGGGCCCCAAATGTCTGAGTGAATCACTTGAAATGGAACATTACTCTTATTGATACTTGGGGAAAAAGGGATACGATGGCTCTTAGCCATTTCACACACAGTACAAGAAAAATCAGAACATCTAAGGGTAGCAAATAATTTGGGAAACAACTTTTGCAAATAAGGGAATGAGGGGTGTCCTAATCTTCTGTGCCATAACCAGATAGCTTCTCGAGCTTCATCAGCAGCCAAAGTAGAACAAGCATTAGCAGGAGAACGATCACCCATCCAATTGTGATCCAGAACATACAAGCTACCTCGTTTAACACCATAGCCAATTGTCATCTTTGTTCAGATGTCCTGAAAAATACAATGAGTAGGCCAAAAAGTGACAAAACAATTCAAGGATGAAGTCAGTTGGCGAACAGAAAGCAAATTAAATTCCAAGGAAGGAACAACTAAGACAGATTCAAGATGTAAAAAAGGGGATAAAGAAATAGAACCCTGGCCAGTGACAGGAGAGATGCCTCCATTAGCAGTAGAGATAAAAGGTTGGGAGGAGGAACAAAAATTACTCAAAATAGAGGAGTCTCGAATCATATGATCAGAAGCTCCGGTATCAATGATCCATGTATTATTTCTAGACAATACAGAGAAAGCATAAGGTTTATCAAATGTGCCCTGATGAGCAATATGCGCCGCTGGAGGAGAGGATGAAGCAACAGGAGTGACTTCAATACGGCCAGACTTGTCCACAGCAAGCCTCATTGATTCTTTGCACAAGTCAATTTTGGCATTTCGAAGGATGAGAGTAGATCCCTCTTTCATCAGATCCACTTGTTCCTTTCTAGCGGTGAATACGATCATTGTTGTTTCATCACCCACCAAACTTTCAGCAATTCGTTGAGGACGACCCCTCTGCACTATCATCTTTGTATCGACAACTTTCACAGTTAGATTAAGTCCATTGGTTTCCCGAGCGGCTTGTTGGTTTAGTACAATTCTTACCACTTAAGAGTCCTCAGTTCGAAACTGGCGTAAAGGCCTTTCTCAAGTTGGAATAACTAAACAGAGTGGGTTAAAAAAAATGTAAATAAAAAAATGGTTTGGGGTGGGTGGGATTAAAAAAAAAGAAAAAAAGAAGAAGATTAGGATCAGAAGAAAACAAAGGAAAATAGAGAGAAGAAAGGGATGGGTTTCGAGTGGGTTTCAAGAAAGAGAGTAAATAAAAAAATAGGAATAGGTCCAGGATCAGAAGGCTATTGATACCATGTCAAAAATAGAGTACCACTGTATCTCTTAATTCTCATTCATAATTTTCTCATAATCAGAGGTGTATTTATACACAAATTGTACATTCAAAATCCTAACAAACTAGATGAAATAAAGGAAACAAACTTCTGATTCTATCTATACAAATTGAAATATACAAGAACAGAATAACAACTATTTTTCTATTTTGAATTTCAAATTGCTACATTTCAACATTATTTATTTATGAAAAAAATATAAAATCACGATTTATATAACATTCATTCAAAAATGAAACAATAAATCCATTTTCGAACCAAACTTTTTATTCATTAAAATAAAATTAATTCCAACGGTAAGTCTTTCAGGAATGATGGTTGTTGTGGCCTGTGGGGACTAAGACACGTGAAGTACATAATAGTACTTGTGAGACATGTCATTTTAAAATTCTTATCAAACTTTCGTTAGCTCAAAAAAATATAAGACACAATCGACAAGGGCCTACGAGATGAGGTCCAAGGGCACACAAGGCTTTAGGTCTCGCAGAAGCCTACCATGGCTATTTTCGGGGTAAAGCCCACTGTTCAATTAGTGGCTTCTTCATACTCTAAGCAAAGCACATAATGTACACCAATTTTTCAATAGTAAATTTAAGGGTTTGTTTTTTCTCCACTGCAATAAATTTAATACGACGTTGTTTTGGGACAAAAATTATGTTGTTTTTGTAATTTTAATTTATTTCAAGGATATTTTAGTCTTTATAATTATAATTTTTAAAATATTCAATCCCAAAACAACTTCATTTTGAGAATAAATGCAGATAATTTACCTGCAGTAACTGCATAAATATTTTTCTGTAAATTTAATGATAAAACAGTTATTATTACTATTGTTATTATTACCATTATTATGTAAATATAAAAAATAGATCATCTCATATACTATTTAATATAAAAGTATCTTAATCATTAATACATAAATCAATAATAATAATTTAATAATTTCTTATCTCAATATTTCATATACTTTTTTTCTCAATAATAACCACTTCCAAAATGATAAGCAGTTTCTTGGAAGTCACTCGTGGCTTGATTTCCAAGCATTTAATTGGAATGGATACACCTGGTCCATCATTTATTCCTTACCCACTAAGCATTCTCTCTTGGGCTTCAAGGCTTTGCACTTGAATAGACATAATTTTGGCATTTATGGGGAGTCCAAATCCAAGTCTCCAACTTTAACAAGTAAGAAATTATGACAACATACTAGAAAGTACAAACTAAAACAGCAATCCTATAAACCATAGACATTGCACACGTGTACGCTCTAAACATGTCCACGCCAACTATCGTAATCCACATTACACCAAATAAAGCTCTCATAAAATCTGAGTCCCATTATCCACGTTAGAACCTTATCAAAACCAGCGCACACGGCAACCAACAACATTAACCCTCGTACAACAAAACACAAAGAAACCTTGGAAACCCCTTTTTTCTGATTCCCTGCACTGTTAAACGGTTAACGCAATAGCATCATCCACAATGGCCAACAAAGAGATGGAGGTTGTGAAGGGTCTGGACCTGAAGAGGTACATGGGTCGGTGGTACGAGATAGCATGTTTCCCATCAAGGTTTCAACCCAGTGATGGCGTGAACACAAGAGCCACTTACACTCTGAAGGATGATGGGACTGTGAACGTTCTCAATGAGACTTGGAGTGGTGGGAAAAGAAGCTACATAGAGGGAACTGCTTATAAGGCTGACCCTAAAAGCGATGAGGCCAAGCTCAAGGTCAAATTCTATGTTCCTCCATTCCTTCCCATCATCCCTGTTGTTGGGGATTACTGGGTTTTGTACATTGATGATGATTATCAGTATGCTCTTATTGGACAACCTAGCAGGAAATATCTTTGGGTAAGCCATTCCTCCTTTTAATTTTCATGTTAAGTTCTTATCTCTTTCATTTCCCATGGTAATGGGTGTTTGAATGTGATTATGTTTATGGGGTTGGAAGAAGAAAGGAGATGCCTTTAAGTTGTTTATATATCAGAATTTCTCACTATTATAATGGGTTAGTACTTAGTAGGTTGATATCTCACCTGCTTGGAAAATTTATGCTTTTTTTTTTTTTAATAATAATATTTTGAGGGGGTTTTCATTTAAAAATGTTCTGGAATGTTGAGTGATGGTGAAGTCTATAAAAGCAAAATTGTTGTTGTTTTGTTTGTGAATATCTTCTTTATGATTTGTTCATGTCCTACCATAACTTGGATCATTTTGATCCCTAGATATTATGCAGGAAGACCCATTTGGATGATGAAATCTACAACGAGCTTGTTCAGAAAGCTAAGGATGAGGGGTATGATGTGAGCAAACTCCGCAAGACTCCACAGAGTGATCCTCCACCTGAGGAGGAAGGCCCCCAAGACACCAAAGGCATTTGGTGGTTCAAATCCCTTTTGGGGAAATAGGTATGGATAATATGTAATTAGGCTGAAGAACTATTTCATGTCATGAATAAAGAGATCAATAACTCTAATAGGAGCAATTTAGTTTGGATCTCTGTAATGTATGTATTGGCTTGTTCTGTGAATAGATTAAGCTGAAAAAATGTGAACTTTTGTAAAGTTGATGTTTGATATGATTATGCTAGTTCTTGTTTTGGTGAGAATCCAATGTTTGATATTTTACAGCGATTTCCATTCTGTTTACTTTTTCTTTTTCTTTGTTGAATTTTGTCTATGGGTAATGGGGTTCCCATGATTTAGCCTTTATCTAGATATAAAGATGAGAGTATGGGGATTCATTCATATCATTGTGGAGTGTCTGAATTAGATCATAAATCCCATATGATAACTTGAGAAAAAACAAGTGCCTTTGCTGAATTTGGACTAAAAAAAATAGAGCAAATTTAATGGTAGAATAATCTGATTTTCTTTTCTTAAAAGAAGAAAGAGTGCTCGGTAAAAGGAATCCAACTGTGAACTGAATTCCCTCGTCCAAGTATGAATGAGATCTGCTTGAGAACGTGTCCCAAAATAAATAAATAAAGAACCTCTTCAACTTTCTCTCCTCTTAACAAGAAAACTTTACTAGATTCGTTCTTTGCCGTCAACGTTTTACCAAAAAACAGCATTCCATTTCTCAAATCATTTTTAACCTATTAACAAGATAATCTTGTGCACGCTTCAAGAGATGCTTTATCTTTCACACACCAACATCTCCTCACATATCAGCCTTTCTACCTCGTATAATAAGAAACTCAAAGGCTAATAATAACCATATGGCCATAAACCAATGGTTTAATTACTGAAAGAAGAAAGAGCCACCCATATGCAATTATGCATGATTGCATGCATTCATGTGCTAGTATCGAATGCATGGTTGTAGAACAATGAGCTTTCTTAATATACTTGCGATGCTGCCCTTAGATCAGAACTATTCTCAACTAAATGGTCCAGTTTCTCCTCGTGCGAGCACACTATCAAGTATCAATATATAGCATTATGCTGCTTACAAAACAGAAAGTCATTAAAAGTTGAGTAAGAGAAAATAAGGAGAAATATTTCATCATGTGTGTGCCCCATAGTTCCTAGAAATCTATGTGTATATCAGTAAATTATACCTAAATCCTAAATAAGCTCTGAGAGTGTCAAAGGGACTGAGAAAAGTGCATACAATTGACTAAAAAATTGAACATGACTAAGTGAATACATAAAAAACCAAACATAAGTTTGAAAAAGGGACACTAATTACCCAACATGACACTAATTAGATAGTTAATCTTCCTATTATAATAGCATTTATTTGACTAATGACCCACTGAATGAAGCACCAAAAAGATGTCCTTTTAAAATGTAGGATATCACAATTTCACTGAAAAAATATCCACGAAAATAGTAGAGTTAATCTTGCAAATTGTTATCATCATCTAAAGCTATTCCGAAACTAATGCCAAAGTCTCAAAACAAAAATTGCACCTAGAATAGTACGAAAATATTATAGTTAAGTTTAAGACTGGATAACGACAAAAAAAAAAAAATACAAATTTAGAAGACAATAGATGAACGGAATCCATCTTAAAAATATAAAGTTATGCTATTTGCTTCATAGGTCCTTTGATTTTTCTTTCAAAAACGGTATATTTTACAATTTTTCTAGAAATTACAGACTTTGTTACGGACTATTTTAAACTTGCAAAAATTGCTAATTCATGAGACTTTTGTCACTTAACTTATAACTTTCATTTTTCAGTTTATAATTTAATAAAAATACTAATGCAATACACATATTTTTAAAAGAAGCACCGAAATGAATTTACATGAATCATTTTTGCGACACACCATTTTTCAGGCTTTTTTAAAATATTCTATCAGCTTAGTTCTTTGACTAACATATTATCAGACTAATGCAGGAAGACACAAATCAAGTGGCCATGCATATAGTCATGTACTTGACACATGCATATTTAATGTAATGACAAAAATGTGAGAGACACATATGTCTATTGCTTAATTAACAACATATGTCTATATATGTTAGTACCAAGTGCGCATGTAGACAGATTAGTATCAGGTGCGCCTTTCAATTCATCTAGTCTGATCACGTCAGTCCAATCTGATCACATTAGTATTAGATGAACGTTGGGTCTATCTACCACATAATACGCACATGTTTCAAGTACATGATTATATATGTAACCACATAATACACCTCTTATTGTATTAGTCCGATAATATGTTTGATAAAAAATATTATGGTGGAATACTTCAAAAAACACTTACACGACGTTTGGTACGTGTCATTTTGTAAGATTTTCGAGAAACTGAATTTTTCTAAATTTTTAATTTTTGAATATTATTGTAAACTAAATATAAAAATTATATTTTTGAAAATCGAAATTTTCGGATAAAAAAAAATTTCTCAACTTGTCAGCCTCTGCAGGGTCCTGAAGATTTGACCGAAACAGGAAATTAAAGAGGAGGATTGGTCAAAATTGATTATGTGAAAAAGCAAATAGAAAGCGATACTTCATTATTACGACACAGAATGTTTGTAGGTGAAGGTGATATAATGAAGAGGTATTTAAGTGGCAGCAATTTTGTCAAAGCTTCATTCAATTAGGGTCATGGTTGGGTACTGGCAGACTCAATATTTCTCCATGAATCACCAAAACTTTTTTGATATTCATCTACCAACAGCAAGTTAACATTATATTTTAGTGTAAACCAAACATGTCTCCCTCAAGAGATGTTTAAACATTGATCTTTTCTCAATTATTTAGTAAATAAAAATTATTAAATTAATAATGATAAGTAGTAAGGGTTATGATTTTCTTCGTATAAAATTCTTTTAAGTCCTTGTAATGCTGATCTCTAATAAAAAAAATGTATTCAAGTTTTTATAGTTAAAGTATAAAAATATAGGGGAAAATATTTATCCTTTTAAATGACACAACTTATATCCTTTCACTCTCACAAAGAAGTGTGACCCACACCTTTATTTTTTTTTTGTCAACTCTCTCTCCTTCTTTATCTATCTCTTTCTCTCTTTTAAAATGACACAACTTTACATCCTTTAAGATGACACACACTTTTCCCAAAAATATACTACAACCATGTAAACAACTTTCTTTAAGTTTTGTGTTTTATTTTTTTATATTTTGTTATATTGCTTATATGACACTGTACATCACTATAAAAATTATAACCACCGATCTGTCCGCTCTTAACTCGTTAATATTTCTTTCGATATTTCAAATATGTTTAGGATCAGTTAATGTTTTATTAAAAAATATAAATAAATAAAATTAAAAGTTAATATAAAAAAAAAAAACTCAATTGACAAGTCAAATGCATGTAATAAAGAGCTGTATTAAAACAGAACCGTAGAGTTCTTCAACGCTCTCCAAACGAAGCCATGTCGCAAGTCTGGTATGCATTCCGCGATTAAAATACAGGCTCAACTGTAAAATGTTTGTTTTGTATAACAAACAAAAGAAAATAGTAACCAAAATCAGCAAATAATGAAATTTAGATTCTAAAAATAACGTTGTTATTGGTTGTACTATGAAGGGAAATCCTGACCAGCTATTTTTTCGGGAATATGCGTGGAAATAAATAGACACAAAATCTCTTATTCATGAGTCAATCTTAGTCACCGTTTTTCATCCTTTTCCCATCACATTCCCTCGAGGGTTTTCCCAGAAAATCCGTCTGACAGGGAATGCCTGTTTCATCCATCCAATAGATCAAGAGATGAGCATGAAAGTTTGGGTATGCATGTGATGTTTGATAAACTTTTTCTTTTCAGTTTCCTGTGTGGTATTTGCATCAATTAAGTTGAAACTACGTTATCATCATGGACTCTTATTCTTTTGATTAACGGAGAGGTGATTTTGTATATGAGGTTTAATAAAGAGGAGAAAGTCTTTGAAAACCATGGGAATTTTAATGCAAAATGAACGTTTAAAGGCCAAACGGTGGAGCATCTCCTAATTAATTAAGGCCTTGTGTTTTCTAATATGAATTACTGTTCTTTGTAAAATTCTAATCACTTGTTTTGATTGACATTGAGTTTGAATTGTGACAGGAAAAGAATAAAATGATCAGAAGCTTGTTTCTGATTTCCTTGTTGATTCATACAACAGTAGCACAAAAACCTGCACTTCCAAATCACCCTACAGCTACTGTCCCTGTCCAGAAATGGTCAACATTAAGTGGTTGGTAATCGTAGGAATTTTGTTTCTCTAACTTGCTTACATCTTCTGGCAATGTTCAATGTTGTGATTCTTTTATCTCCCCTGCAGGCAATGAGCCTCTTGTAATAGCCCGTGGGGGTTTTAGTGGCCTCTTCCCAGAAGGCACTCCCGAAGCAATTGGGCTATCACAAGACATAAGCATTTTCTTATGCAATCTTCAGTTGACAAAAGATGCAGGTGCTTTTTGTGTGACGGGAACTACTCTTGACAATGAAACAACTATAGCATTGTTCGATCCTAAGCAGAAAACCTACAATATCAATGGGAGGAATGTGGAAGGACACTTTTCTGTGGACTACACTGGTGATCAGATTAGCCAGAATGTATCAAGTGAGTCTTAAATCAATCTACATTTTCTTCACTGCATTTATGCTTAGGAAACCTTGCCATAAAAAGTTTAACAGCTATGTCTATGAGCCGAGCTACTTTGTTCTGAATAACAAAAAATAATACAACGAATATAGATATTATAGAATAAAATAGAAGCCAATCTGAGTGACAAAATAATAGAAAAATTACTGTTAGGCTATAATTCACGTTTCTTAGATAACTGATTACAGCTGATGAACTACAAATCTTTAGTACTCGTTAGGCTTACAAATAAAACACATAAACGCAAGAATTTATGGGCAATAGGATGGGATGGATACCAATTTGAACCTTTGGAACTGAAGGTTTGCTCTTTACTACCTGTTTCACAGTGACTCAGGCCATATTTTCTCGACCCAATTTTTACGATGGCGTTTCCCCAGTACTTAATGTTGACGCTCTACTAAGTGATAAATCTGCACCCGCACCAAGGTTTTGGTTGAATGTTCAGGTTATTTCTCTCCCTTTATCTCTTCATATGAATAACAGGATCTGCTGACAAAATTGAAAATCCTTAAGCACCATACCGCATTCTTTAATTTTTCTCTTTTTGTATGGTTTTGTTGTATATTAATTGAGTGTTTTGATGCAGAATGCAGCACTCTACACGCAAAACGGATTAAATGTGGCAGAGAACGTTCTAGAAATATTGAGACTATATCAAATAGAGTTTGTTTCATCTGCAGATATTGGTTTCTTGAAGAGTATAAGTGGGAAATTAAACAATGCAACTAAGGTCATCTTTCAACTTCTTAACACATTAGATGTTGAACCAACAACAATGCAGCCATACGGCACTATTGTGAAGGATCTTGCGACAATCAAGTCATTTGCATCGGGCATAATGGTCCCGAAGGAATACATATGGCCAGTTAAACCCGACAAATATCTAGGGCTTCCATCAACACTTGTAGCTGATGCCCATAAATTAGGACTAGAAGTATATGCTTCTGGTTTTGCTAATGATTTCTTTTCAAGTTATAGTTATAACTATGATCCTACTGCTGAATACCTTCAGTTTATTGACAAAGGAGATTCTGTTGATGGTGTTGTCACTGATTTCCCAGTAACAGCATCAAACGCCATCGGTGAGATGACAAATCTTCAACCTTCAATTCGATCTTTTTTGAAATAGCAAACTCTTTCTCCAACCTTTCTCACAATTTTATTGCTTTACAGCTTGCTTTGCACACAACAATACCTTGCCAAAAAAAGGTATAATACTAATCTTGGAAATGTTCTCGAACATAACCATATAGATAAATGAAAAACAAATCTATGACAAAACTATAACCACATACATTTGCTTTTGCAGGACAAACTTTGATCATAAGCAACAATGGAGCAAGCGGTGTTTATCCAGGCAGCACTGATCTTGCATATATGCAAGCAATAGATGATGGTGCTGATATTATAGATTGCTCAGTTCAAATGACAAAAGATGGAATTGCCTTCTGCTCAAATACCGCAGACCTAATAGGAGATTCCACCGCAATGACTAAGTTCATGTCTAGAAGTTCCAATGTCCCAGAGCTTCAACAGAAAAGTGGAATTTTCTCCTTTGACCTTACGTGGAGCGAGATTCAAACATTAAAACGTAAATTCTTCTATAGAAATTCAATAGTTACAGATACAAACCTTTAAGATTTCAACAATGAACTTAAATTATAAATTTCTTTTTCAGCTCAAGCTGCTAGCCCTCTAGGCAACGACTTTCAAAGAAACCCAGCAAACAAGAACAGCGGCAAATTTGTTACCCTCCCTGAATTTTTAGAATTGGCCAAGGCTAAGGCGGTTAATGGCATTTTGGTCAACATACATGTGAGCAACATCCCCAACTCCCTATAATGCTTCTATTTGAAAAATTCTTATTACTGCTAACTCTCTTTACTTGCCTCAGAATGCTGCCTATCTTGCATCAAAAAAGGGTCTTGACATTGTAGCTGTTGTCAGCACTGCATTGAGCAATGCCACCTTAGACAAGCAAACCACACAACAAGTCCTAATCCAATCAGATGACAGTTCGGTCCTGTCCAAGTTTAAAGATATCCCATCTTACAAAAGGGTGATGTTAATTAATGATAAAATAGGCGATGCACCAAGACAAACAGTAGAAGAAATTAGGAAGTACGCAGAAGCAGTGAATCTTCCGAAAGCCTCTGTTGTTGAAGTAACTGATTCCTTGTTAGCAGGAATAACAAATGTTGTTAAAGAGTTCAAAGATTCAAACCTCACAGTATTCGTCCACACTCTCAGAAATGAATATGCGTCCCTGGCATTCGACTATTGGGCAGATCCTAATGTTGAGATTGCTACTTACGTCCAAGCTGCTCAGGTTGATGGAGTAGTGACCGATTTTCCAGCCACTGCAAGTAGATATATGAGTAAGTAATTCCAGTTGGTCCAAGCCACTCTCATGGTATCAGTAAAACATTATTTTTCATGAGCAAAATTTCAAACATCATTTACCTTTTTATAATTTGCAGGAAGCCCGTGTAGCGATCCCAACCACGTGCCTGCCATCTTACCAGCCAAGCCTGGTGACCTATTGAGTACTGTTCCTGCTGAATTACAGCCACCAGCAGAGGCGCCACTTCCACCCCTTGAGGCAGCAGACGTTGTTGACCCACCTCTTCCTCCAGTTATTAATCAGACTAAGGCTCAGCCCGCTGCAGCACCTGCACCTGCACACTCTTTAGGTGCCAGGGCAAATGTTGCCAACGCTGGTCTCTCCTTAGTGGCAATATTGGTGCTTGCTATCCTATCTGCTTGATACTAACGTGATTAGCTTGGCATGAACCTCAAGATCATCAATTTTCCTCCAATATCTTATATTACTTATGTCCAAAAATTTGTTGGGAAAAACATAAATAGTCGATTAGGCAAAACCCCTTTGCCGCTGCTTTCGAGTTTGGATTATGAGAAATTCTTATGGATGCAGGAAGATCATTTATTTGTAACGCCTAAGTCATACTAAGTTTTAAAGATTGTAAGTTTCTGCATTCCCCCCCAAGTCCGGTAACACAATGTGAAAATTTGTAAGACAAATAAGAAATTCGGGTTCTGCTACAATTGAACCATTAATAAAAAAACAACGGAGATGTAGAATAGTTATCTCAAAATAGATTCTCAGTTGCTCATAAGTGTTTCTGTAATATACAATAACACGGGCATAATGAAACAAACTGCAAGTCTCCAAGCACGACCAGTACAACTATGATATAAAGACCACTGCATACTTACCTAATTATCACAAATGACATTGCACCTAAACGTCTCACAACATAATCCTATCCTGACAACGATGTGAATGAAAATAGGAATCCAACTAATATCCATATGATCAAGCATATCAACAATCCACTGAAGTCATCCTCCCCGGAAACTTTGGTGGCAGCCTCAAGACCATGGAATCATCGATCTCAATGGGCAAATAAATAGCCACAATCACAGTTCCTCCGTTTCTTATGTGCTGATATATACTAGAGTAAGTCTTGATACAACCGAAAGCTCATCTAGCAAACCATATGGGGGCAATGGCAAGGGGCAATCTTTTCTGCAGTCCCATCGATGACATCCTCGCCTAATTATGGGCCATTTTTCCTAGCCCCATCAACTCAAGTGCAAGCATAGTCTTCCCTTGCTTTCCCTCTTAAGAACTTCAAACCATTAGACATTGTCAAGAACCGTAAAAACTTCTCTGTAATGGCATCCTTGCTGAAGAGCCAGTTAATTTTAACATTATACCAATGGAAGACGGGCGAGGAAATCCAGCTAAAATGCACAGGAAATTGTCTTTCCCAACCCATTTGAGCTTGTGCTACCCCTACATCTTGAATAGAGCTATTCGCACGACACACAATCTGCAAGTTATTTCTCATGCAAGAGACATTGTTAAGGAGAAAACGAAGAAGTGGGGGATTTTCCAATAGACATCACAAGTTTGACAACAGCAAAGTGAAAACTACAATACAACCACTTAGGGGATTGTTGTTGATGTCGCAAAATGCGTAAGTCACAGAGCATCTCAAGCAACAAGACTACCATAAAAATACAAAGAAGATTGTCCTGTAGTAAAAAAAACATTTTTCTGGTTTTCTAAAGTCAGTTTCGACAAAATTAGTCAAATAATAAAAACAGAACAATGATGCATGCAACAACAAATAATAGGACAACATCTGGTTCCTAGTTAAAATAACAGGAAATACAAACGTTGTTAAAGAGTTAAAAGATGCAAGCCTCAAAGCATTCATCCATACTCTTGGAATTGAGAAACCAACATGATTTGTGAGGCCGAAAGAAACGAAACCATAAATTTCCATATTATTCTGTTTTTGTTGCCACCTGAAAAAAAGGAAGTTAATAGTTATAGTATTGAAAAAATTAGGGTTTCTTGGGTTGAAATAAAGCAAAATGAAACCAGATAGAATCGATTAACACTACGCTCGTCAGATGATCTTTGGAGTGATAGAGGAAGAGTGTATTGAATGAAATCGAAAAACACTTTTCCATCTCTGACTCCAAACTCCTCTACCAAACACCGCATTAAGATAGCGCCAGCCACCGACAGAAAGTTTTCTGGTTTTGGGAAGGCTCAGATTTGGCACAAAGATGGGATCTGTCGTCCAAAAGCAAAGTCACCATGTATGGCTGCAACAAAATCCAAACATACAAAAACCCTAACGTGGGAAAATGACAAAGCTGTCAATTTAACCACGAAGAGCTCCGATTAAGTTGCCCCGCCACCGGCGAGCATTGCTTGACGGCGACCGACCCATCCGTTCCACACTCCGAACCATCATCACAGCCTCTTTGGATGAGAGAGAGAGAAAGAGAGAGAATCAAAGAAAAGAAAAGGAAAGAAAGAAAGAGACAGACAGATACAGAAACAGATAACGTTCTTTCATTATTATTATTATTATTATTATTGAGAGATCAGAGTTCTTGGTGAGCATCAATGAGCATACTCATTCTGAGAGGGAGTGTGGATGCACGAACCCTAATCTGCTCTCTTTCACATTCTATCACTGAAAGATATACAGTCTACGCAACCGTTTCTTAGGGGTATTTTAGTCATTATACAATAGGGATTTGGGCTTTTGCCACTGGGTTACGTATGGATGGCAAAACGGACAGCTTTTTTACTCTTATAACCCTTTATTATTAATTAATTATCGATTTGACCTTGATTATAAACTATTTCAAAAATTTAACCCTCTCAAAAAACATAACACTAATCTGCCCCTGTTTGACCGTTGACCACCAAGCCTACCCGGGTACACCCCTCTGTACTCGGGTATTTTTTGAAAAATTTTGTCTACCCGGGTAGGGAGGCGTGTACCCGGGTATTGTTCTTCGCACATGAGAAATTGCTTGAATTATTTACCCGGGTAGAGAGGGGTGTACCCGGGTAAATCTTCAACCACCCGGGTATGATTACTCTTTGGATCTCCCATGCACTCTTCTTCTCCAAGCTTTGAATATGGAGCACCCACTATCACATGTTCCGCCTCTGCAACTTTTTTGGGTATGTAAAGCACACAATATATTTTTCAATGATTATTTTAGAAAGGGAATTCTCAGTTAACACTATAAAAGTAGACCCCATCATAATCGATACGAACAGGGACCGCTTTGATGAGCAGTAAAGTGTTGATGTATGGAAATTCCAAATCCATTCTCAAAGCTAAAAGCTCTTCAAATTGGTTAGGCATGCTTAACTTGATAATACTGATCTATCTCATTAGCTGTAAAAAAGAGAAAAAAAAAATTACTATGAAACAATTAATTACACATCCGCAAATATAATTAACTTGTGGTAAAATCAAATAAATCATATCTGTTCTTATATCCATCAGCTACAAGTTGCCCCAGTTATAGCAAGTACCAAATGGGTGGTCGAAGATTTACCCGGGTACACCCCTCCCTACTCGGGTAAATAATTTAAGCAATTTCTCAGGTACGAAGAACAATACCCGGGTACACTCCTCCTTACCCGGGTAGACAAAAATTTTCAAAAAATACCCGGGTACAGAGGGGTGTACCCGGGTAGGCTTGGTGGTCAACGGTCAAACAGGGGCAGATTGGTGTTATGTTTTTTGAGGGGGTTAAATTTTTGAAATAGTTTATAATCAAGATCAAATCGGTAATTAGTTAATAATAAAGGGTTATAAGGGTCAAAAAGCCCAAAACGGACCGATCCATCCTCAATTCGCTAAAATTAGGAGTGCTTAAATTATATTTAAGGATGTAATCAAAAAAAAAAATTATATTTAAAGGGGCGTTTGGTTGAGGAGAAATTTTTTGAATACTAGGAAAATGTAATTGATAGGAAAATGGTTAAAAAGTGAGTTTGGTAGGAAAGTTTAAAAAAAGTTCATGGTTATCCTTATCAATCGAATTTTTTATTTTTTATTTTAAAAATCAAAGAACTATTTATTTTTTGAAAGAGATTTCAAAGAAGATCGATTTATTTATTGTTTCCAAAGAGAAGAAACTTTCAACACCATGGGTATGGCAAAATGGAAATGGACAAGGATCAGGATTGGAAACCAGAAATTTGTTACTCTAGTATGGAAACCAAATAAGTTGTTAAGAAACAAGATCGATGGTAGAATTCATGCCTTAAAATCCACAGATTAAAAAAGAAAAAGAAAAAAGAAACCACAAATTAGTCCAAAATATTAAACAGAACTACGACGCAAGCAAGAACAGATAATACGATATCATCTTTTTCTTTGTTTAAAAGACAGGACTGTTGTTATCAAAAAAAAAAAAAAAAAAAGACAGGACTGACAAATATTATTAAAGAGTCGAAAGATGCAAACACCAAAGTATTTAATTTGTGCATAAAATCAGAATTGAGTAATCAAAATCACCATGCTAAAAGAAGAAGAAAAAAACACAAATTTCCGTAGTACTCTAGTTTTGTTACCCTTAGAAGAAAATAAGTCATAATTTAGGGGTTGAATAATTAATAGGGTTGTTTGGGTTGAAACAAAAGTAAATGAAACCATATCGAATCAATTAACACTAGGTTTGTTAGATGACATTTGGAATGAGAGAGGGAGAGTCTATTTAATGGAATCAAAAAGCTTTTTCCCATCTCTCACTCCAAACGCCTCTACCAAACATCGCATTAAGATTGGGCCAGCCACAATAAGAGTTCTCTGATGGTTTAGGTTTCAGCGAAGCCCAGACTCTGCTGCACAAAGATGGGTGGGATCAGTCATCGCATTAAGAACCCTAACGTGCTCTGGCAAATTTTATCACTTTAATTTATATACTCGAGTTAACTTGTTTTTTTCCAATTCTGCCCATCTCAAAATACAAGTGAATGTACAAAGGATGAAGAATATTTTCGTCATTGTAAAATGTGGACTTGGGCTTTTGCTTTTGGGCTACATGCTTACCAACACTAAAACAAACCTGCGACGTGCTCCAGAGTCCAGACTCTGGCCTGAGGGCCAAGTTTGTCCTTGATTTTGATCTCCTATTTTATGGTAAATGATCTAAATTAAGAAAGAAAATATTCTTGAGTGTGTCACTTTAGAACAAGCTTTATATTATGTCTATTAAATTGGGAATGAATTATCTTTTTTTATTTAATATAATTAGGTTATGTGATATGATTTCATTTGTCTATAAACAAATCAAGTAGGACTGAGAGGAGAGAAAACGTTTTGGAACAATGAATAAGAAAATAATAATAACCTTTTTAATTAATATTCATTGATGAAATCACAAAAAATACAATAACGATATCTTCCAAAAAAAATTATTCATGACAAAACTCAAGATAATTTCACGTACAAAAATATTTGAATAAATATTACACATATCATCTCATTTATGTGCTAGATCAGTGGTGACATTTTTTGAAATTCAATCCAATCAAATCAATTGAATTATATATTATATATTATGACGAGCCAAGAATCTCTCAGTTTGACTTTTATATTAGCATGAGCGCCCAATTTATTATGATTCATCACAACAAAATTTGTTTATTACAATTTTTTATGCAAGATTGGTGCATAATTTTAGGTTCAATATGAATCATAACCTTTTAATTTTAAGAAAAATATCAAATCCATTTATAAATAGATATCAAATCTTTTAATTTTAAGGATTAAATCAAATCAATTTTAATGTTTTATCAATTTGAATTGATTATCGTAATTATTAATTTTCAATGTGTATCTAATATTTGTGACTATCTCCGATTTGCCTCTCTGTTATATTAGGTGGCTCTGCTGTTTCTTTTTTCTCCATAAACGAATCTCATTGTTTATAGACTATCCCATTGCCACAGGCAAGAAGTCTTTGTGTAAAGGTTTACACTAATGGATTGCAATTTTGAATGTCCGGTAAGCATGCTTTATCACCTTCGAGTTTCGTTCATCTATTTCTTCTTTATTATTTTCATTCATTTAATCATCATGTTTATATATACAATCAGATTTCTACTTTGAAAGTTGATTTGGGATGCTCAAGGACTTGTCTCGCTGATGTGAAGAATATGTTGCAACGACTAAGGGGTATGCTTAATTGGTGTCCAATATTTTTTAGCAAATCTTATCATATTTTTTTTTTGTAGTGGTTATTTCCTGACAGTTTAGTCTTTCTAAAACTTTGTTTATTTTATCAAAATGAAATTTTTTTAAAAAAAAAAAAAAAAGGAGTGCAAAATGTTTTCATCGATGATCAAAAGGAAGGGAAGTTAAAAATTTTAGGTGATGCAAATCCCATGGACCTGATCGGGTATCTTCAGCAGAATGGCATAAAGGCACAACTTTTGTCCTATGATAACGAACCACCAAGGCAAAGCAAAGCTGGTTCTCATTCCACCAAATATGATGAGGATAGTGACTCTGATATTGATGATTATATGGCGGGACATGTTCAAAGGAGCAAGATAAAGAATGGTGGTCGGAAACTTCCTTTCGGTTTTGGAGGTTCTCATCGTCCACCAATGCCAATGCCAATGCCAATGCCAAGTTATCAACAACCATTCTCTGGATATCATAATTATCCTCCACCAATGCCAGGGTACCAACCATTCTCAGGATATCATTGTCGTCCACCTATGCCAGGGTACCAACCATATCCACAGTTTGGTTATCGTCCACCAATGAGGTACCCATATTCAAGATCATCAATGTATGGAAGACCAATGCCTGGGTATGGTGGTTACTATGGCCATGGTTCGAGCTTGCCAATGTATAATCCCATGGTCCGCTACACCAGTTATGCAGATAATTATCGCTATATGTAGATGCAAATGCAATTTTCAAAGCTTTTATTTTTATGTTTTTGTTATGAACTATATATGTCTAAGATATTATTAGGATTGCCATTTTACCTTTTTCTGGTTATTTGATGTTATCCAGTTATGCTACCCCAAATACAAGGACTATATATTTTAGGAAAGTGTTTATCCTTCACATAATTTATATTCTTTTAATCTAACAAAGAGATGAGACCCACGCCTTTATATTTTTTAGTCCACGTTGATCTCCTCTTTTATCTATCTATTTCTCTCACTTAAAATGACACAACTTTACGTCCTTTAAAATAATACACACTTTTTCCATATATTTTTCTCATTTACGGTATATATATCATTTTCTATAATGAATAATATCACTCTCATTTCTTCTCCCTCTTTCTCTTGTGTGGCTGGCAACATGGCACGACTGAATGTATTTTGCTCATTTTGCTTAGAGGAAAAAATAGTATGTACAAGATCTAGATCCTCTCTAGTAAAAGGAAAAATAGGTTTGCCAGCATAGTATCATAAATCATAGAACTACTGTCTTAGAATGATAAATATGGCTAGCTTTGCATCTTGTAATTTTGTCTTATTTATTTTTTATACGAACGAAGATATAGTATTATAAGAAGGGGACGGTTATATTTGTTTATTTTGAATATAAGATCATGTTGAATAAAAACTTTACGTGATTATTATAGACGCGTATATAAGGCATGAAATCTACAAATGGATAGAAACATAATAAATATAAGTGATACAATATTGTGACACCCAAGTTATGTTACACCCATATGACACCTAGTCAATCTCACCGTTAGACCGCTTATGTTGATCCAACGGTTATATTTATTTTCATCTTTGTATGGCCATGATTTCCTAAATTTAAAGTGAAAGCATTAAATATGAGAAATCATAACCATACAAAGGTAGAAATAAATATAAAATATTAAATTTGGGAAATCATGACCATACAAAGATGGAAATAAATATAACCGTTGGATCAACATAAGCGATCTAACGGTGAGATTGACTGGGTGTCATATGGGTGTAACATAACTTGGATGTCACAATATCCTATCCCTAAATATAAATATTTGAAATTGATTCAAAATATATGAAACTGATTTGGATACTAATGTTTGAAATTAATTCAAATATTGTTATCCTTAACTTTTCCTCTAATTAGGGGTCTAAATAGGTTAGATCGGTCTACAAGGGCCTATAGCTTAACTTATATTAAGTCAGATTTAACCTGTTACAAATAGTAAAATAAAACAGGCTAGACTTTTAAAAAAAATTATTTAGAAAACTGTCTCATGTCATATATATACTTCTTTGACATGTTAAAATAGCTAAACATAATAAGAGGCTAGGTTAAAACAACTAAAGGGCATTAAATTAGACAATGGAAATATGGAATAGTTTAAGAATGCCTTTGTGCCAACAGACTATCAACGGTACCTGAACTAAATGCAAAACAGTCACAGCAAATATTAACCGAGCTACAGTCATCCTGGCACGATTTTCGTGTTATTGACTACAATATTGTATATTCTTTATACTTGACGTGCAAGCAATATTAAGGCATCCAAAAAAAAAAAGTATTAAGCTTTTGTGAATTCCCGCAGTACCAATCAGAAATTATCCAAATCTAAGTCATAAAATGAAAGTAGTTGAGAAGTAGAATAACAATCTTATCTTATTCTTAGCTGAAGCCTGAATGCCGCCCACAAAATATGATTCTCAGGGCCCTTAAAATGTTTCATGGAAGTTACATGAACAGAAGCATCAAAATGCAAGTCTACAAGCATGTACGACTGTAATACAAAGACAACTCAACAGTGAATACTACTGACTGAATTGTCAAAAATGACACTGACTGCGCATAAGTGATTCCAGAACTTAAACCTGTTTCGATGAGAACGTGAATGAAAACAGGAAACTTAACAAATGTCTGCCCGGTCAAGCATATCCACAAAAGTCATCCTCCTTGGAAACCTTGGTGGCAGCCTCAAGACCATGGAATCTTCAATCTGAATGGGTAAATGAGTCGCCACAATCACAATTCCTCCCTGTTTCCTATGCTCTGCGATTATATACTCAAGTAACTTTACACCTTCATCGTCCAATGCAACTGAAGGCTCATCCAGCAACCATATGGGGCGATCCATTGCCAGCAATCTGGCAAGTTGCAGTCTTTTCCGCTGGCCCATAGACAGCATCCTTGGCTTTTCCTTGGCCAATCTTCCCAATCCCATTAACTCAAGGGCAGGCATAGCCTTCCCTTGCTTTCCTTCGAGAACTTCAAACCACTGAACATTGTCAAGAACTGTAAACCTATCTGTAATGGCATCATTGAAGGAGAGCCAGTTAAGCTGAAGCTTATACTGATGGAAGATTCCAGATTTTTGAATGTCATGGCCATTCCAAAGGATTTCACCAGCAGAAGGACGAGAAAACCCAGCTAACATGCGCAGGAAAGTTGTCTTCCCTGAGCCATTTGCACCTGTTAGCATCAACGCCGCTCCATCATGAAGAGAGACATTCACATGACGCAAAACTTGCTGGGCATTTCTCATGCAAGCGACATCGTTAAGGAGGAGACGAGGGAATGGGGTTTTTCTAAAAGACATCAAGTTTAACTACTGAAAAAGTGAAAACTACTGCCAAGATGTGCAAATTTAGATTAATGCTTTCTGATCCTTTGATTTCCGTTGATGATGCAATTAGCATAAGTCACAGAGCATCTCCAGCACAAGTTTACTGCAAAATAGATTATAAAAAAACAAAAAGACATAGTAAGAGAACTTTTTCTATGGTTTTCTGAAGTGACTCAATCTAGATATATAAGTACATAAAAACACCACATATAAGCAGAACATGTAAATTACTTCTGCTGTTCAAACATTTTCCTATCAGTCCCAAATAAACGGTAAACTTCGAGTAGGAATACCATGATAAAACCGTTTGAACACTAAACCAACATCTCAACTCTAGCCGTCAATATGGGTCACCCCATCCCACTCAGCTCTAATTCACATGGGTTAGGGCCAAAAAGCCCTCAACACCATCTCGGTTAGGGCTAGCCCACTATTTTTCAAATATTTTGAAAACAAGGATTTTTTTTAACTTCCTTCTTAAACAGTGTGAGCAGCCAAAATTTCTATCGGAAGGAAGCTGCATGAAATGGGATTGCAATATAAGCACTATAGTCTACAGCAATCTTATAAGCAGTCATTTGCAAGCAACGGTATTAGCTAACAAGCCACTAAAGGCCAGATAAAATAATAAATAAAGAAATGGGATATGAAAATGAATGTTGTTATTAGAACAACCAATAGTTGCACACAAAAGTCATGCTCCAGAGCAAACTAGCTGTTGGATCCTCATTTATCTGATCACTCACAGCAAAAGTTCAATGACCAAAATAGATCTGCTTTTCTTTTACAAAAAAATAAAAATAAAAAGTAAAGTGTGACTATAACATGACAGCATCATTTTTTTACACATAACAGCATTGGGACAATTTCAATCGAAGCATAAATTGGCACAGGTACATATATACTTGCTGCAAATATAAAATCAACAGTAAAACAAGGAAGCAGGAGATTTTCCTTTGAGTGATCACAAAGAAAGCACAAGAAATCGAATCAGTAAAAGAGAAATTACGGAAGAATATCAGTTTGCAAAATACATACAATGAATGTAAGATTAGGACACTCATGCAAGAGATTTTCGTTTGAAGATAATTGGCGGAGCAACTGCAGCGAAAACACAAAAGACAATATGCACCTGCTAGGAGAAATGGGAAAAACGAGATAAGAACTTCACAATATTAGTGCATAATAAGTTACTACAGTGAGAAAATATATAAAACTTGACATGTAAAACAAGAAAAACCAGCCATACTTCAGAGCACCCTCAGTCCTGTAACAGGAGATGGCACAAAATTATAAAACAGAAACAATATGGAACAATAAAATCAATAATAAACCAGTGAAGAATCCAGATAACAGAGTGGTTCCTATTCACAATATAAATACTCCTACAATAGCATTTACATGCCACGTCACTGCTTTTTTAATGCAATTCGGAAGAAGGTTAAGCATCAATAGACTCCACTTGCTCTCTGTAATGTCCCGTGTCAACCCGGTTCATTACTTCTTAACGTAAATCAAACAGTGAACATAAAACAAGGTAAAAAAAAATGTATATAAACATACACAGATGGAATAAACCTTGGTTTACAAGAAGAGAGACTCATATGTATAAGTATTCGGCAGTCACAATATAGTGTAAGAAGATGATACCTATTCACTGGTTCAAGCAAGATTTAAGATTAGCAAATTTGTCATCAACCCAAAAGGTAGAGTCAAGTTGAAATTAACTAAGGACCAACCGTTGAGGCTGACTTTTTAGAAAGTTGAAGTTTCCATAAAAAACCTCTTTACACTCCAGAATAGAATGTACAATACCCTGCTCTTGGGGAAAAGGAAAGAACCTATGGCAATGAAGAGCACAAAGGTGTATGTGCCCTACGGCATTTAATCCATTTGGTTGGATTAGGGAGTTTTATTGTGGTTAGAGGGTTAGGTTCATCCATCTCTTAGAGACATTTTTTGTCTCTAGAGGAATTCTACGACATTCAAAAGGAAGGAACCTCATTCCATTCCATTACATCCATCACAATGGATTCCCAACTTGTTAATTTTTCTTAGTCTACAACCTATCTCTTTACTTATTATGGCAGAAACCAATCCAATTTATAAGTGTGATCATTCTTCAATATAAAGGAACATTTATACTTCAAATAGGACAGCATCATGGTATGTCATATACATCACAATTTAAACTTTTCCAATTACTAAATGGACACCTAGACCACAACATCAAAGGTTGGGTACATAAGTCTTTCAAAACCAACGAAGCCCACTAGGACAGCCACATTTACAGCATTTCATTACATACACCCCAAAAAGTCAAACAAAATATTAAAATTCAACTTGGGCAGAAACACTAAGACTTCCAGGCCATCATTCTTTTTCAATAACATCAATAATTGTCTGACCTTGATCTTCTTTAGTACCTGCATGAGCAGCCCCAAAGGGGAGAGAGAGACTCTCAATAAACCAAGGACCTTTTAAAACTTAGTCCCTTATTAAGTTCCATATTTTCCTGCAACAGATATTAGTCAAACAGCCATAACATGCTTGTACAAATGATTATAAAACAAAGTAAATTCAATAGCATAAAACATTTAATCATTCTAATCTCATAAACATATCCTTATCCATAGGGGTGCCTCCATGAGCATAGCTCAAAGTAGTATGACTCCTAAGAGGATCGAATCATATCCGTAGGCAACTCCATAAGCTCTCTTTGCTCACCGTAGGACGTCTCCTAAGAGGTGAAAATCTTATCCATTCACCTGGCCAAGGATTACATAAACTTCCAAGGGAATTCTACATCCTTGGATTCATATAATCTCATTGTTGTCCCACGTCTCTTCGCATAAAAATTCAACTTAGAACATCGTGGACAGCTTTGCATACATTCATAATAATTCGTTTGCTTAACATTGTTGCCCAAAGGAACATTCATTCATGAATTGGTATATTCACTATCAATAACCATTTTCATACATTCAAGAAGTCATCCAAGACAACTCTAAATCCAAAGAGGATGATAGTCATGATAACATACTATCTTCACTTTATTACTAATTTCATCACAACCATAATGAAATAAATTATAGTTCAGAGGCTTCGCAGTAACAGAATTTCAATCTTTTAAGATTAAAATCGACATGGTAACTAAAAAAACAACAGTAATTGTTCCATTTCAATTCAAATCGAAACCGGGTACGTTGCTACGAAACCACAAAAGCATAACAATAAAAAATCAATCTTATTATAAAAAATGAGATAACATCAAATTCTAGCAGCAGAAAAAAAGAACTAACCAGTGGTTTACAAGCTGCCTTCGTCTACTGCAGACGCAATGAGAGAGAGACTGTGAAAACAGTAAGACCCCACTAAAACGCTGCGTGTGATCAATTGGGCTAGCGGGCTAGTCCCGGCCCATTGAGGATTGAGGCCCTAACTGAACAAACATATCCATTCCATTCCAAACGCAGTCAATGAATGCGTTCTGAAATGAAGCAAACTCCGAACTGAAACGAGGGTTTAACGTTGTTCGCCTCTTTCTCTCATTCTCTTGTTCACGCGCACGTTTTCATCGTAGTTCTACCCTCACCATTTTCTCACTTTGGTGCTTCCACCTAGGGCCTTATCTTACTTCTGCTTTGGTAATACTTCTTCTGGGTAGCTTTGCTTCATTGTCTTATGCTCTTTGTTTTGTAAAAAAATAATCTTTAAGTGCCATTTGTTTTAGTCTCTCCAAAGTGGATGTGGTGTTTCATATATGTATATTTTGTAGTATCGGCAAAATTTACATTTTCTGTGTTAGTTTGTTTGATCATTAACGGGCCCTTTGTTCGTTATGCTTTTTAATTAGATGTGCTCGCCCAGTGATCTATCGATTTTTCCCATCTATTTTTTTATTTGTGAAGAGTTTTGGCCTTTAATGCTGTTTCAATTTCAAATCGATTTTGCTATAGTTCGTCCCTCATTTCTCAACTGCTTTGGAATTTATATAGCTGCTGTAATAAATGTTCTGATCTTTTTGTATTAATTCCTAATAATTTTTATTTTCTTTTTCTTGATTTATTGTTTGCCTTATGATTATGTGCTTCTTGGATGGCTGCTGTTTTCCTGGGGTGAAAATCAACAAATAAAATTGACATAATGAATGAGCATGATAGAATAAATTGGTAAGACATTTGGAGATAATAAATGTTTGTAGCTTATGTGTTACAAATTCTTTGTTTTTTTTGAATTTGCAAGTTGCAAGACAAGAAGAAATCACAAAAAACCAGATATAAAAATGGTTAGATGAGTTCGTTAAAATTTGATGGAATGGAAAATGCATCTGAAGCTATATGTAGAAACTAGATATGTTGTGAAATAATCTCTAATATACCGTAGGGTTTGTTCATTTATGTATTAATAAATCAAACTGTTGTTTAGGTTTGTGGCATCAGGATAATGTCATAGGTTGGGCCATAGTTGTTCCCTGGCCTGGTCAGTGGCTCTTAAGTCTTGACCCAGTCCTTTTTCCAGGTTGTTGAACATTCCAGGTTTTAAAACATTGCCTTCTACCAGCCATATTCTTATCACTTCTAAAATATGGAAAACCCAGATACAAAGCCGGCAAGTTCATTCCCGCCACCACCACCAGTAGCTGCAGAAGAACCAGAGCCCAAGAAGCTGAAAATGTCTACCACTACTTCTGATGACGAAGAATGCACAACTGCCACAGGCACCAAGAAAAGATACAAGCGCCGTAAGATTGCTATTTTCTTTGCTTACTGCGGTGTTGGCTATCAGGGTATGCAAAAAAACCCTGGTGCCAAGACTATTGAAGGTGAACTAGAAGAAGCCTTATATGCGTCTGGAGCTGTTCCTGAACAGGATCGCGGAAATCCTAAACGATATGACTGGGCTCGCTCCGCTAGAACTGATAAGGGAGTCAGTGCTGTTGGTCAGGTTGTCTCAGGCCGGTTCTATATTGATCCACCTGGCTTTGTTGATCGCCTCAATTCAAACCTTCCCTCTCAGATACAGATATTTGGTTACAAGCGCGTGACAGGTTCTTTTAATGCCAAGAAGTTTTGTGACCGGAGGAGGTATGTCTATCTCATTCCTGTGTTTGCTCTTGATCCATGCTGTCATCGTGATAGAGAAACTGTCCTGGCCAGTTTGGGGTCTGAAAATGAGCTTGTTAAGTGTTTGGAGTGTTCTGAGAGAGGCAGAAAGGTGGTAGGGTTAGTTGGTAATGGTAAGCGCAATATGGAACTAGAAGCTGTGGATGTTGAGGCTGGTATTTCATCAAACAGAAATGCTGTGCATAACTCTGGAGTTCCAGAGGATGTGGAGGTTTCTTTGAGCAAAGTTGATGGTAATCATTTAAATGAGGAATCCAGTAATGATAATGAGGGTAAGGTTTTAGTTGGCGAGGTGAACTCTAAAACTTATCTTGAGACTGTAATTCCTGTTCCGAATGAGGGTACTCCTTTGAATGGTGGATCAGTGAATAATTCAGGGATTCTTGAGGAAGAAACAATGAATGGAGAGGATAAACCTACCAAAGGAAGTGGGTTCTGCTATGGTGAGAAGGAGAGGGAGAGATTTAATAGGATTTTGAAATATTATGTAGGGACTCATAACTTCCATAACTTTACCACCAGAACAAAAGCTGAGGATCCCTCTGCTCAACGTTTCATTATTTCATTTGAAGCAAACACCATTGTTATCGTTGAGGGCATGGAATTTGTGAAATGTGAGGTTGTGGGACAGAGCTTCATGCTTCATCAGATACGGAAGATGATGGGGCTTGCTGTGGCAATCATGAGGAATTGTGCACAAGAGTCACTCATCGATAAAGCTTTGGAGAAGTGAGTACTGCTTCAGTCTTTTCTGTTATTATATACAAATTTCTATATGAAATACATTGTGATTCTCATCTGATATATTTTTTTTATTTTGCTAAATGCAGGGATGTTAACATTAATGTGCCTACTGCCCCTGAGGTTGGATTATATTTGGATGAGTGCTTCTTTTCTTCGTATAACCAGAAGTGGAAAGATAGCCATGAAGAGTTGTCAATGAAAGCATATGAAAAAGAAGCTGAAGGCTTTAAAATGAAGTATATATATTCTCATATTGCTTCCACGGAACAGAAGGATGGAACTGTTGCTCTTTGGTTGCATTCTTTGAACCATAGAAACTATCCAGACCTGCGCCTTGTCAATGAGGAATGCATCACTGATAACAAGAGAGCTGAAATTGAAGTTGACTGAGTGAACTGTTTCATTGCACTTTCAATGTATAAACTCCTTTCTAATTGATTTTTGCCTTATCATTCACTATTTCGGACCAATTGTTATTTGCCTAACAATACTGCTTCGCATCATATACAATATACACAAGGAAGGGAAATTGAAGTGTGTTTTGTTATATTTACTGTGTTGTTTTAAACTTATTTTCTCGTTTGATTTTCTCAATTTAAAACTTGACTGAGCAATGGCTATTCAAAACATTCGACTGTGTTGATATGACTCCTGTGAATTTTGTTTGTTTCTTTCATCTTCAATTTATAGCACTTGCAAATTTCATGTACTATTTATAGATCGTTTAGGTTGATGCCCTTTTACTAAAATCACGTTTTAAATCAATTTTTTTTAAATATATATCACTACTTACAAACTCATTTTTTGCTCAACCAAACTCACATTTTTACACAATCCAATTTTTAAAAACCAAGCTGAAGTAAAAGTTCGCAAAATCTAATACAAAGATTCGTTCAGCCTTTTGGCTTGTTCGAAAGTGAGAGAATCCATGCACTTCCATAATTTCGTCGACACCTCAACTCTGCTACACAGACTCATCTGACAAATTTTCTTAACAGAAAATCCACCGGTTGTTTTAATGCTTTACTGGTATATAAAGCATGGGAAATATGTCTTTCAAATTGTTTCATGGGTGAAATTTATTTTTTTCTCTCTTTTTTTCTTAATGAATTCCATCCATTTTTTTTATATGTTGTACAGATAAAGACAAAATCATGTCATTGAGAAACATATTCCCTGTAATACATAGGCATCATAATCCTAGTACAGGATCTTAAACATGTCATTCATTGAAATGATAACAAGGAAATAACCAAGTAAAAGACAAGTTCAGGTTAAATGGTAGGTTGAATTTCATTCTTCATCTACAAAGAAGAAAGGGTAGTACTAGTACATACTCTGTGGAGGATGGACATCACCAACCTACACATAAGTGAGAGAGAAAAGTAATTAACCGGAATGTCATAGGTTCAACTGTTCAACCCCCAGCTTAGATGATGTGTCTCACTTAAATATTGACTATAGCATGATGCCACAACCGGTGCGTAATCAGAAATATAGGAGAAGATGGACCTGAACAAATCTCATATTAGCCAACAAGTTCTGCTTTTAATTTTGTCATCAACTTACAGTGCAGTGGAAAAGAGAATAGAGAACTAAATACAGAGAGTGCATTATTTTCAAAAACACTTTACACAGCCAAACTTGGAAGAGAACAATGACTAAACTCTGCCTCCTGAAGAAGTGGTCAAACAAATAGATGTTTGTGACAAAACCCCTTCTAAAGAAAGATTAATGATGATCTAATGGGAATGAAACAAGTAAAGACATCACAGGATTAGTCAATCTCCTCTACAATCACGAACTAAAATTCAGTACACTCAACAACAATAAAACAGTAGACACTTGTATGCCAGACACCATACCACAATCAGTTTCTACCAAGAGGTAGAGATCTACAACTATAAGTTTCTTTAAAATCAGACTTCTTTGACGAAGTGAAAATGGACGCATACACATCCTTTGTAGCATTTGCAGGGGCCATATCAGTAACCTTGAAACGCTTAGCAGCAGCACTCACACCCTTCAAACCAACATCAACATTAGCAACCTTCCCATTTCCTTCAACTTTAGCCGAAACCTTCTCCACAGCCTTAACGTCCATGCCATGCTTGGTACCACTCAGCTTGGACACTTCCAAACTCACACCATTCACACCCACTCCTCCTTCATTCTTAACCTTCTTGGTCTTCTTCTCTCTCATTTTAACCTTCTCCTCCTCCATCTTCCCCCTCAAAACCGCCACCTCTTCTTCACTCCCATTGATCACAATCTTATCCACCTCCGCAAACTCCTTGTGACAAACCAAACAAGAAGAGGACTTAACCTCCTTCAAAGCCTTGGCGCTCAAAACATGCCCACAATTCTTAAGAGCGAAAAATCTATACTTTCCATTGAGCTCAAGCCCTGCAATAGGGCACTGAAACCTAGCCCCATCATTCACACCAGGAACCAAAGAAAGCTGAATATTGATCATGTCTTTCAAACCCTTAATGTGCCCAAACTCCTTGGGGAGCTTCTTCCCCAGCAATGCCTCAACCAATGCTTCCTTGTTGAAGATATTCCCAAGCTTATCGATCACGCAGGGTTCCCTCAACGGCTCGTTCGACAGGGCGCAGTTCTGCCACTTCGACAACCTCTGCTCGTTCGGGTCCACCTTGTCTGGTTTCTTCTCGGCGTACATTTTAAGGTAGCAGTCGCGGGACTCAGCGCCGGTTGCTCCGCCATCTCCGCCGCCGCCGCGGAGTCGGGATCGCAGGACGAGGGTAGAAAGGGGCGCGATTTGTGGACTCGAGAGAGGGGTATCGTCGGAGAGAGGTTTTCCATTAACGGTGAAGTAGAACGATGATAGGAGGTGTTGTGATTCCGGGAAGAGAGAGCGTTTCACGAGCGATAGGGTTTCATCGCCGGTTACTGATTGCGGACAAATTTTGAGGTCCGGCGATTGGACCAAGATTTGGAAATCTTTCGGATGCATTTCCTTTGAATTTTCCTTTTCTAGGGTTTCTATTGCGAAATTGGAGATTGATCAATTCAGATTCACCAATGATCGGAACCCTAGCTTTTTGATCGCTGGCGGTAACCGACTTCGAAGACAGCAATATCGGGTGGGGTTCAGAATTGGAAGTAACCTGGTCCTCATTTATGTATTTATTTATTTAATTAATTAAATTTGTTGGGTCTCGATTAGCTACACGTGGGCCTAGTTGGGCCGTTAGAAACCGTACCTGGGCTTGCTCTGTTTTCCTTTGTGGCTTGGTATGTTTTTTTTTTTTTTTTTCTCTATCAGATTATGTACATGTCAATATGGAACATGTTCAAAATTTAGCTTTTATTTTATCACCCTTCTGGCAGTAAGGAGCAAAATTTCCTTTTGAAGCCCTATAAAAATATTATAGACATGGTTTTACGGGTAAATGCCTCGAATGCCTCCTTGGTTGAACAAAATTAAATGTTGTTCAGCAATACATCAAGGAAAAAATAGATGAAGTGAGGAAGAATTTGGTAGAGGAGATGTTTTTTATCAGTCAAAAAAATTCGTCGCGAACATGGTGTGAAAAATTTATAACCGGGTAAGATAAGAAAAAAGTGTTTGGTAGGCCAAAATTTATTGCTGGGTAAGATAATAAAAGGTATGTTGGCTGTGGGCAAATTGTTTTACGATATCTTGGTTGGTAAAATTTTCTATTGATATTATGTGTAAAATTGTTACCCATCAAAAAAAAAAAATTCAACCACTTTTTTACTTTACTCTTACCAAACATAACTAAATTATTTTTCTCATTCCACTCTTTTGGACAATTTTTTTTTCCCTCCTATCAAACACTCCGAAGCCTTTTTGAGTAGAATATAAATAGGCCTATATTAGGTGCTATCTTTGTTTTTTGATAAACCGAGTGGACTGGAATACGTGATATCTCCTTTTTGCTTTTGTTTTCCAAAGATTATGTGGTTTATATGCCAACTTATGGGGATCAATGAGACATATATTTTACTGGAGATGAGAACATATATTAAGGTTATATTATTTTCTTATGTAACATGAGATAACATTTCTTATGTCATCCACTAGGATTAGCCTAGTGGTGTGGTGTGTGTGTGTTAGGTGAATGTAGTGTAGTTGTGTGTGTTCAATTCCCATGTAATGCAAAAAAAAAAAAAAAAATGGTGGACCCAGCACTTGTAAAAAAAAAAACAAAAAACAAAAATAATAATACGGATTTTAATGTCTCATAATATGAAAAAACTGTGAGAAAATAATTTTCCATAAAGATAATCTATAACTATAAAAGGTAGTTGCTTACTAAGATGAATTATCTCTCTAAAGAAAGAGTGGCATATTAGTCTGTTTCGTAAAAATACATCTTGCATCCTATGGGTGAAGACTTCTTCCATATTTTAGGTGTGCACAATTTTTTTTTTTTAAAAAAAAAATGGTAATGCGTTTTTTGTCCATCCTAGCTTATAAATCATCATTCCTTAATTTAATCAATGTCCGATTTAGCCACTTCATGAATGCTATTCCAAGATGTTCACTGTGCTCCAATTCCAAAATTTGCCGAGATTGTCAATGGCTCTTTCATAATAATTTTCAACACCTGATATTTAATTTTGAATGCAATGTCCAATCGTAATTTCACCACCCAAAAGTTGGGCTTGCCCTGCCATGTAGAATAAGACCAAAACATTAGCGGAACAGTGATCAAAGTGTCATGTTTGGACAAAAAAATTACCAGACTGCCACGCTAACAGTAAATTTTATCAAAATGTCACGCGGCATAATTCGCTACACAGTGTAGTGAATTATGTATGCAAGTAATTCGCTACACAGTGTAGCGAATTATGTATGCAAGTAATTTCGCTACACAGTGTAGCGAAATATGCCACGTCAAAACCAAAAATGCCACATGTCAAATTTTGCAAAATTCGCTACATAGGGTAGTGAATTTTGCAAAATTTGACATGTGGCATTTTTGGTTCTGACGTAGCATATTTCGCTACACTGTGTAGCGAATTACTTGCATACATAATTCGCTACACTGTGTAGCGAATTATGCCGCGTGACATTTTGACAGAATTTACTATTGGCGTGACAGTCTGATAATTTTTTTGTCCAAACGTGACAAAATGGTCACTCTCCCAACATTAGCTCCTAATGTAGCCTTGATCAAAGTCATGGTGGTAGGCCATGCAATTTTATTTAGAGATAAAGCAATGTCAATGTGGTCCATCTATTTTTTTGGAAGAATTGTAGGGTCGTGTCAAATGGCTACAATGCAATTATGTGAAATTGGTCCTCAACCATAAGTCACAAAGGAATAGATGTAGACTGGCTATCAACCACGTGTTCAGTGAAAAAACTAGTGGCTCTTGCTACTTACTACATGCTGAGACGAGTCCCTGGTGCATGCAGGTAAGGCTTTGTGTGTCTTCAAAGTATCAACCACCCGATTCCCCTGACGACCCCTTCTTCTTGTTAGGTTGTGTGTGGTCTTGAATTAAATCACTCATTGGCATATCTTTCTTTCTAAAGTAAAAGAATATGGTCGGAAATCAATTCAAATTTGTCACTTTATTTGAATAGAAGCATAGTTTGTTGTTATTTAATCATGATAAGCACAAGCAACTTGATATGGGTATAACTTTCTCTCCCTCCCGTGATTTGTCTTATTACTGACCTTAGATCTACCTGTAAAGCTTTAATTACAAGCCTATATTCATGTGACGAACCAATTAGTTTTGGTCAAGCTATGGAATCAAAAATTGCTGTTCTTGAACAGAATAGTACATGGATTGCCACGAAAACAGCCATCTCATAATTAAGAATTGGCTGTTGTGCTTTCAAAATTAAGGCCATTTGCAGAATAGGATAAGGAGGATAAGATATAATATGTTATCATATTTTGTTCTTATCTACAAGATATGATAATCTTAACATATTGGCTTATTTTATTATATCTGTAATAGGATAAACTATTATAAGGGAGAAATCGGGTTAGGAATAGACAAGATATGATAGCAAATGTCACATCTCTCATTCCAAATATAGTCATTTGCTTTTCTCCTAGGAATATTACTGGGCATGCGAGTGTCAGCCCTTGCCACCGACCAGTAGCCACTGTCGCCAATTAGCCGCCACTACCGTCCATTACCGCCGCCGCCACCAACCAGCCACCACCCCTAACCACCAATCACCAACCGCCATCGCCACCACTACCACCATCCACCGCCATCAATTAGCCACCATTATTGCCACCTATCAGTGTTAGACGCTGCCACCATCACCACTTCCATCAACCACCCTCACCTACCACCATACACTAACAACTAGGGCCGGCAAAATGGGCTGAGCCCGCCGGGCTGGCCCGCCCCGCCTGCCAAATGGGGCGGGCTGGGTTGAGTTGAGTTTTTCAACCCACCAGCCCGCCAAACCCACCAGCCCGCCAAACCCGCCAGCCCATATGGGTCAGCCCGCCAAGTCCTTTTTTTTTTTTTTTTTTTAGGTTACCCAATTGTTATGTAGCTCCGTATCTTAGATTTCTCTGCATGCAAGTGGTTTTTTTGAATTGTTGTTGACTGCTCATACAACACTTTGTTACTTGTTTTGTTACTCTATTTTATCCTGATATGATTTTATTTTTTTATTATTATTTTTGGAATGAAAGATGCATATTTATATGCAGATTATTAAACACTGATCTTCTTGGTTTCATAAGCACATTAGGATTTTATGCAGATTTTTGTATGCTTTTATGCAGATTTTTTTATGTGATTTTATGCAGAATTTAATTTTTTGTATTTTATTTTTATATTTTTTTTATTTTAGGCGGGCTGGCCCGTAGCCCGCCAGCCCACTCATAAAACGGGCCAGGTTACTCCTTTCAACCCATTTTGTCAAAACGGGCCGGGGCGGGCCAACCCATTTTGGGCGGGCTAGTGGCGGGCCGGGGCGGGCTGGCCCATATTGCCAGCCCTACTAACAACTACCACCATAACTGTTATTGCCACTAGTCACTGGCACTCTCAAACACAAGGCACCAACCATCACCGTCATCAATCAATCCCAAAATTGTCACCGATTGTTACCAGTGCTATCACCACCGCCATTGCCACCCACCTCCCCCCACAACTAATACTACCACTTGATGCACTTACAGACCAATTGCACACGGTCCAACCATGGATTTAAGAAGTTCAGAGAAAACCAGAATTGTGGTTCAATAAGTATGACCCAATTATTAAAAGAAGTAGTAATTTGAAATATAAAAATTGCAATCAAATTCAAGTCCAAATGAATCAGCAGATATAATTGTGATTTGTTTGACAAGAAAAGGAAAGCAACACATTTGACATGATTTGAGATCTACGATTTAGGACGTGTTTTGAATGATTTGATTATATTTATTTATTTTTATAAGTTAATTATTGTTATATTTATTTTAGAAAGTTTTCTTATTTTTAGGATTTTATATTTTTGAATTTTAAATTTGAGATCAATTTGTAATTAGTCTATAAAAGGGTGCTCAAGACTCTAATTCTCAGAGTTGAATTTTGTTATTTTGATAAATAAAAATTGAGAACCGAAGGGTTACTCTTTTGTGAAATCCTAACTTTCTGTGTAGCTACTTCTTTTCTATGCGCTTCCGACATCATTTGGTATCAGAGTACTAGGTTGCTTTCAACCAATAGCTAAACAAAATCGTAGAGGTCATTAATAGCGAAGTTCTAAAAGTAAGAGACATGGATTCGTTCCTAAAGAAGACAGACAATCGCGTCAGATAGACTCGTGTGACATAAAAAATGAAGAGCTCGGAAGGCAGATCTAGGATTTGATGCGACAATTTCTGGAGGTGCAAAGCATGGAAATCCAATTTTTGGAGCGATTACTTGTGCGGGTGCAGAGCAGTAAAATTCAAGATTTGGAGTGACGACTTGCGTGGACAAAGTTAAGCATTTAATCCGAAGAAGGAATGAAATTAGAGGATGCATATGATGACGAAGATGAGGACGTCAATCCCTTGAGGATTCTAAACCGGGGACAAAATTGGGAAATACAACCTGGATATTAGTTCACTTTTTCAGAAATCGAGATGCATCTCAACTTTCCTAATTTTGAAGTTAATGATCATAATCCAGTTTATGACGATTATCTGATCTATGATCATAATCCCATTTACGATAATTATCCGATTTATGATGATTATCTGATTTATGATGATTATCCAATCTACGATGATTATTTAGTTAATGATAAATCTAATATGGAATTAGATAATGAAGATTTAATTGAGGAAGAATTGTCATTTCAGTTTCATCCTAAAGAGATTGAGATCAGTGAAGAAAAAGAAGATTCAAGGACGAATCTTTTCTTAGCAGAGGAGAATGATGCACTTACAGTTGGCCCATTACACATGGCCCATCCATTGATTCAGGAATCTCAGAGTCAACCAGAATTGTGGTTTAATAAGTATGACCTATTTGTTAAAAGAAGTAATAATTTGAAATATAACAAATTATGATAAAATCCAAGTCCAAACGAAGCAGTAGATATGATTGTGATTTGTTTGACAAGAAAAGAAAAGCAACACATTTGACATAATTTGAGATCTACGATTTGGGACATGTTTTTAATGATTTGATTGTAATTATTTATTTATTTTTATAAGTTAATTACTCTTATATTTATTTTAGAAAGTTTTCTTATTTTTAGGATTTTAGATTTTGAATTTTGGATCAATTTGTAATTAGTTTATAAAAGGGTGCTTAAGACCCTTAGTGTAGGAGTTGAATTTTTTTATTTTGATAAATAGAAATTGAAAACTAAAAGGTTACTCTTTTTTGAAATACTAACTTTTTGTTTAGCCACCTTTGTATGCGCTTTCGGTATCACCACCAATTCAACCGGTCAATTATTGCACTAGCTACCACCACCACCTCCCACCATTGTCACTAGCATTGACCATAAATTTAAAACTTAATTTTTAAAAAATTATTTGTTGAGGATTAATTTTTAATTTTTTTATTATTTTTGAAAGTTATTTATGTATTTTAATATTTTTATTTAAAATTATGACTTTTAATAATTAAAAATAAAAAATAATGTGTAAATAAGTAAAAAAAAAGGTTTAAAAATCAATTTCAAAATATCATATGAATTCTATTAAAGGGGTATTTCTGTCTATTTATACAATATCATGACACTATATGGTTCGCTTCAAACATTAGATAAGATAACATTATCCTACCAGAATGCTTATTTAATGCACATCAAACACACGTTAGGCCCTTATTCAGTCCTCTTATCTTATTCATTCTTATCCTATTATGTCCACCAAATTAGCCCTAAATATTGTGCAGATGTCTCATTTGAGCGATACAAAACTTGTCTTGTTGACCGAGGATACACTCGAATAGAGCGTTACATACTATACAAATTTTGTTATTGTGGCAAAACTATATACAAAGTTGCACTTCACATTGCATCTAATCTAATTTTTCATGAATAAATTAAATACATTGAATTTTATTGTCATTTTGATATTTTCATTAGGCCCTTGGGACATGATTGTCGCAACCAGGGACCTTTTTACAAAAACAAGTCGGTTTTAAAATTGAGAATGGTTCCGAAGTCGATTACGAGTAGTAAATATATTAACACCCTATAAATAGATAGTTACTATTTAATCAATTGCGTAAATTATGGGTAAATTTAACAATATTTATTTTGCCCTAGAACTAAATATGAACCAAAAATAATCTGCGAAGGAATCTAAATTATGAAAATTATTTTTTTAAGAAAGATTTAATTATTTTAAAAAAATTAAATTATCATGTTGTTTTGTATTTTCAAAATCATTGTTTGATAAGAAAAGTTTTAATTATTAATTTTTTAAAATATTTAGATCATTAGGCTTTGACAGCCAAAATGACCTTATAAAACATGACATTAATGATCTGGGATTAATAACTATATTCACATTCTGGAATTCATGAATAATAAATAAAGTAACCATAACTTTGACAGTGAACAGAAGTACAGAACTTAGAGCCATACAGTACTCCTACCTACACAACATGATATTACAAGTAAAACAATAAAAAAAAAGGGATATTCTCACTGTCAAAATTTTCTACTACTAACTTACTACCTATCTAATCACCATTAGATTAACATTTTCTCTCTCTTCAAAAACTTTTTAACATTCTCTCTCTTTGATCCAATGATGATGTGATAGGTAGTAAGTTAGTAGTAAAAATTTTTGATAATTAAAATAGTAAAAAAATGCATTGGCCAAAAGCTTGTACATGAGTAATTCACTTGAAGGTTGTGCTTGAAGTACAGATTTTCACGTGACTACCCTGACACTTATGGATGGTATTCAAAGGCAAATTTCAAAAACTTGGTTTCTTATTCGATGTTGCTGACACAGTGAGCAGATGAGTTTGAGAAGTGTCTCATGAAATAGATTGGAGTCTTTTCTAAGGTGCAAATATGGTGTAGGCAATGTGGGTAAGACTAAGAATTTCAGTTAAGACTTTGGTTTACAAGAGTGTGAGACTGGGTGGAAACTCAAATGATGGTGAACTTTATAATGAACCAATGGTGAACTTCACAATGATCATTTCCTTCACTTAAATAGCAAGTTGGTGTGAGTATTAGCACATCCTAGATATGTTTCATACGTGTAATTACGTATTATGAAGTTCCAATTTATGTCCCCTGAATTGTCTCGTGTAAATAATTTTAGGAAAGTTTCCTTTCCCTTAGATCAGTCAAGGTCCTAGTTTTTCTCCTTGGTTTTAGCTTACTCTATTATTGTATATTATGAATCTCTGTAATGTAACAGTTTTGAATCAATGAATTACCTTCATTCAAGAAATTTCTAATTTTCCATTTAACATGATATCTTCATGGACATCATGCATCAGCTTCAAAAGCAGTAATAGTTTACCTCTCAATAAGGTGCCAACAAAAAAGAGAGTTACATTTGTACGGCAGTTACCTTCTCTTTCACCACAATTTGTCAACTGCAAACAATGCACACTAGTGGTGGCTGATGAAATTTCTGCAGCAAAAGGTCCGTTCTGGCCGGGTTTGCATCATTCACTACTCATAATTATCAAAATGATTTGTTTTCTATTTTGAATGTAGCGTTTAAAACCTTTTAGAATTGAAGATAATTTATTTAAGAGTTTTTAACTTCTCTGTTCATAAAAGAAGTTTGAAATTTCCTGCACAAAGAAAATGCAGTGGGCCCACCTTAAAAAAAAATTAGCATAGAAATCGAACAATCACTAATAAGAGAAAACACTTCTTGGGGAGAAGTGTTTTCCCTTTATTTAAATCTATTCATTTACAAATTCTATCAAAAGTAATAGGATATACTCATTATGAAATATAATTTATAAATTATTTGATATATTTGTATAAGAATTTTTTTATAAATGAAGGCCATGAAATCGCTGTTTCTATTCTGCATGTCCAAAAGCGACTAGTATAGTATATGTTGTAGATGTATAACATAGGGCAACGACTAACATGATAGTACAATATGCGCATTTAATGAGACTTGGTAAATTCCTTATAAAAAATAAAAAGAACAATTATTAAGTGGATGATTGCCTCTCACTATCGGTACAAATTGAATCCCTTCGATGTGGCGGTTCTCTACAACTCACTTAGGACCCACTATTTCATTGGGTAATCACCGTATCATTTAAAATTTATAAATGCAAATTGAAGAGCAAAGGTTAGTATATTGAGTAGTGTTTAAGAATTTCTTATATTAGTCTCTCTGTATATTCATATCTTTCAGCCTAGACATCCCTCAATTTCCCTCACTGGAGAGTCCCACTTCCCCCTTATCTGTATGATAAATTGATAATGATTTTTGTCCATAATATATAAGGCCAATCTTATGTCATTCTAACAAAGTAGCTCCAACAACTCACCGTTTAATTAGCACCACATAAAAAAGTAAACAAAATATAAACTCAAATTTATCAACCACACGTACTATTTTTTTTTTTTTTTTGAACAAATAGCGTATAGTTTTTTCTCAACTTAACAATATCTTCTTATCATCCTTGCCTCACAAGTGGATAAAAAAGTTGAGAGGTACACGAATTAATAATTAACTCACTCCTCATAACCTTCTATGTAAGTTATTGAATTATACCTCAAATTAACTTTTGTCTGCATGGACTAGATTGCATGGAAAATCAGTTCCTTTAAACTAATATTATTGTCTGAGTCTAATACATTATTTCAGTCACACAAACACCCAAACTACAACAAACTCTCTTCTTATCAAACTCTCCTCCTGCAAGAGAAAAGGAAGATAACGAAATTTGATTTTTACTGTTTTGTGAGTAAATGCATGGCATGCATTGTGATTATCGAAATAACAACATTAAGGAAAGTTTCAAGATAGGACAGAGTGATTAAGATCATTAAAGCTCACCTGGCAATCTCAGAACCACTTAACAAACTCTCGCCTGTCCCAAGTCAATGACAAAGTTACGATGTGTGGCTTACCTTCTCTTTATATAAACGACACATGTTAATTGTCACTCACCAAACCATCACCCAGAAAACCATACCAACCATACTACACCAGACACTCCTCCTAACCTTCAATTTCATCTTTCTCTCTTTCTCTGCATTATAATAGTTCTTGAAACTGGTATTTGCATTTAAGTTTTTTCTAACATGGCTGGGAATGGAGTGTTTGCAGATACTTTGGATGGAGATGTGTTCAAGTACTATGCTGATGGAGAATGGAAGAAATCTTCTTCTGGGAAAAGTGTTTCCATCATCAACCCCACTACAAGAAAGACTCAATACAAAGTTCAAGGTATTTAACCGTTTAAGATGTGAGATATTGTCACATCTTCATTAATTTCCCTTTCTTTCTACCAAAAATGGAAGAGCAATAGTAACTAAGCTTACTGAATGCTAGATGAAATGCTAGTTTCCTCTCTTTCTATATATATATATATATATTTTTTAACAATAACAATGATATATATTCATGCAGCTTGTTCACAAGAGGAGGTTAATAAGGTAATGGATTCAGCAAAATCAGCACAAAAGTCATGGGCAAAGACCCCACTCTGGAAGAGGGCTGAACTTCTTCACAAGGCAGCTGCTATACTCAAAGAGCACAAAGCTCCAATTGCAGAGTGCCTGGTGAAAGAAATAGCAAAGCCAGCCAAAGATGCAGTTACTGAGGTGCATATTTCTGAAAAACAAGCCAAATTGTTGTGTGGTAGTGTGGTACTATAACTATGAATCATGAAGATAACTGGTTCTTAATTTTTTCCATGAAGGTTGTAAGATCTGGGGATCTGATTTCTTACTGTGCTGAAGAAGGGGTAAGGATTCTTGGAGAGGGAAAGTTCTTGGTATCGGATAGCTTTCCTGGAAATGAAAGGACGAAATATTGCCTCACATCCAAGGTCTATTTTCAACAATTGTTTACTATGTCTACGTTTGTGAGGTGTTTTCTAACTTATCTTATCCTAAAACAGGCCAAACATATTTTTATAAATATTTTAATAATAAAAAAAGAAGAAGTCCAAAGAAAAAAAATTCTATGAGGAGTTTTTTAAAAGTTGTATCAGCTTTTTTTAAAATGAACACTTTTTTTTTTAAATGAACAATTTTTAAGTTAAATTTCTTATATAACAATTAAATAGTTTTTAATTTTATTTTATAATTTTTTTTAACTTTAACTTAAAAAAGATATCAAACAATATATTAATATATTACTGGTTTTTCATGGAATATATTTTTGGTGTTACTGTTGCATCAAGATTCAGTGCATTCCACCAATCGGAGCATTACACATTATAGGAAAGAGAAAAAATTGGGCAGGGAAAAAAAAATTTTAGCTGACATGTAATATTTCTATTGGTGCGATATACTGAATCTTTGGTGCAACAGTAGCACCAAAGATTTATTCCTTTTCACGATGCATTGATATAAATCTTCCATTTTAACATAAAGGGTGATGGCATTTAAATGTGAATTTCCGGTAAATACGCATGTAAGATAAGTCTCACATTAAAAAAGAAAGCTAGAACAGGAGTGTTTGGTAGGAGGTGGAAAAAAAATTTCATAGAAAAATAGGATAGGGAATATATTTGGTAAGAGGTGAAGTAAAAATCTGTCTGAAATTTTTTTTTTCCATTTATGTAAAATGGTTGGAGAAGATTATAATTGAATAGGTGAAATTAATTTTTTTTCATGTGATGAAAAAATTAACACACGATACCAGTAAAATTAACTCAATATTTTCAAAAAAAAATTGACCTACCAAATACTTTTTAGTAACTTATCCAAAAAAAATCTTTCCTACTATATTCCCACAAATTATTTTTTCTCCATAAAAACAAATTTCTCATCTTCCGCCCCCTAAATGAAAACTTTATAAGGGACTATGAAAGTGAAGTATCAAGTACACTTTTTTTTTAAGTCTAGTATAAGCGGATCTCTCCAGTGTTTTGACTCTGCCTTTAAGAAATGGTATGGAAGCAATGTAAATACTTAACAGAGAAATAAGCAGGTTTTGGAGGATTTATGAAAAATTTCCATTTCCTTCCTCTCTTTTTACAAGATTCTCGTACAAGAAAAAAAGCTTACCTTTGCTAGATAATAACTATATATGAAATCCTATTTAAATATAAAAATATTTCACAAATCTTTAATAAAATCCTAAACAAATATTGATTTCTTAAGCTGTGAAATTTGATCAGACAATAAATCTTAACATGATAATATTTTTCTAAGAACATATTTTCCTAAAATTTCTACAATAACATAAATATTCATAAATTTGCTTATCCATGATGGATTAATTTTTTAATTAAAGGGCTTAATTTTAGGCATTTATCATGTACTGGGAAATATGCTATTGAAAAAATCTACATTTTTTATTTGTTAAAAATCACACACACTTGTAATAAGGAAACACTATAGACCCACAATTTTTTTTTAAGAATCATTTGGCAATACTATTGATTCTTTGTATAGATGATTGGTTCTATCACCTTAACTCATCCAACAAACACTCTTTTAATCTTTGACAAATCTGACTCAATTCTCTAGTTGTATAGCATTACTCTTGCAATTTCATATTAGGAATAATCTTTTATTTTATTTTATTTTCTCAATTTCGTACTTTAGAATGACTGTTTAATCAATATTTGGTTTCTGTACCATGTGTTATGATATGTCAAATAACTGGGAAACTGGAATAAGCCAAGACTCGAGAGCCTATGTATATTTAAAGTAATCATATGCACTTGAGACACTTTGCAGATTCAGAGTTTGCTTGCCATTAAGTCCTTGTGCATAAAATTTAGGATTGATGAATATTTTATAATGTACGAAAAAAATCAGGGCCAATTTGAATGTGCTGTATAATAATTGGCCTTATTTTTGTGTTAGTCTTTGATTTTATAGTTAGCTGTTCATATATTTGACGTAGGGTTCAGGATTCTTATAAGAACAGAATTTTATAATTCTCTGATACCATGTGATGTAACTAATTAGACTCAACAACTTACTTATAAGTGATGTCTACCAAGGAAGCACGAACACTTGTAAAAACAGGGAGAGTCGTGTCCGACACGCTCCGACACGGCGACACGCTCCGACACGGTGTCGAACACGCAGTCAACTTTTTCCGACACGCGAATTTGACCGTGTCCGACACGGTAAAATGACATTTTCGTAATGTTTTTTTTTTAAAAAAAATTATTTTTTTTTAAAAAATAAAATATATTAATAAAGCTTCCACCTGATCATATCAATTTTATTTTTTTGTCTTTTTTCCCCTTAAGTAGAGAAGAGATCATCTCAGTATCATTGTTGTCAATTCCTATCATGCTCTTGTTGTATCTCCTTCTCTCTGATCTCTCTATCTGATGTTATATCTCTTTCTTATTCCAGTTCTTATTTTTTTTTATTAAAGCTTCCATCTTTATAACGTGTTGATGGGTATTATTAATTTAGTTTCAGTTTTTTTGTTAAATTATTAAATATTAAATGAAACATACACTATATAAATTAAAAATATTATTTAATATTAAAATGTGTCCCAACGGGTTGAAATCCATAATTTTTTAGGATTGACGTGTCGGAGTGTCGTGTCGTGTCATGTGTCGCGTGTCGTATCGGTGCTACATAGATGTCTACATTGATGGTTTTATATTAGACTTCCCTAACAATCTTAAAAGTCAATAAGATAATATATTCTAGGGAAAAGTTCAGTGGTTTACTTCAGAATCACTTATATTCCCGTGGCTTTTTTCTTATCACACCCTGTGGTTTGTAAAAGGGTATGTTTTTTATCACATATACCCATGTGGTTTCTTATTTTTTACAAAGCACAGAGACATATGTGATAGGAAAAAAACCACAGGGACATAAATGATTCTGAAGCAAACCAAAGAGCATTGGTGAAGTTTTCCCTATATTCTATATGTCACAAACAAACACAATATCAAAATCTTTAGTACATTCGATGGTATAAACTCTGCATCGCATTCCATTATCTAAGTAACTTCTAATGACTAGCAAATTAAAGGACCATGGTGAGTTGTCATGTGTTATCTTGTTTTTTTTCTTGGTCGATTATATGGTCTTAAGAAAGTTCCAATTGATTTTCAGATTCCATTAGGAGTGATTTTAGCCATTCCACCTTTTAATTATCCTGTGAATCTTGCTGTCTCAAAAATTGCTCCTGCACTGATTGCTGGAAATTCCATTGTGCTCAAGCCTCCAACTCAGGTAATTATATCCTTCAATGTGAAACTCTTACAAAGCCACTACACATATTCTCACGGTATCTACTAGCTCATGTCATAAAAGTGCTTAGCGGTAAAAAGAAACCACAACAATTATTTTATTTCAGAATCCTTAAGTCTACTATTTTCTTCCTTTCATTATTGTTCCTTCTAAATGGTTATTCAATAATGCATTTCAGGGAGCTGTTTCTGCTTTGCACATGGTTCATTGCTTTCACTTGGCTGGTTTTCCCAAAGGCCTAATCAGCTGTGTCACTGGCAAAGGCTCAGAGATTGGTGACTTCCTTACTATGCATCCAGGAGTGAACTGTATAAGGTGACGATTTGTTCCCTTTTATATGATGCCGTTATATTTCATGTCCCCAATGTCCCATGTCTAAGTAATTTTTCCTCTACTGACTTATAATTCTGTGGTCTTTCAGCTTCACTGGTGGAGATACTGGCATTGCTATCTCAAAGAAAGCAGGCATGATTCCTCTGCAAATGGAATTGGGAGGAAAAGATGCCTGCATTGTACTTGAGGATGCTGACTTGGATTTGGTTGCTGCAAACATTATAAAAGGAGGTTTTTCATACAGGTGAATGGCATATATGAATTAGTACTTCTTTGCAAGGGATAGGGCAGGGTTTGTCCTTTTATTCTTTCCATTCAGCTTCATTTGCTTTTTTTGTGATGAATGGCAATTTGGTAATTTATAATCCAGATACAGTTTCTCAAAATATAACATTCTAAAGGAATTTTCTTTACATAAGAGGCCACTTAACTTGAATTGTTGTTCATTTTTTCAATAAAAGTGGTCAGAGGTGCACTGCTGTTAAGGTAGTCCTGGTAATGGAATCCGTTGCTGATGCTATGATTGAGAAAGTGAAGGCTAAGGTGGCAAAACTAAGTGTTGGACCCCCTGAGAATGACTGTGATATCACCCCAGTTGTGTCAGAATCATCAGCCAATTTCATTGAAGGCCTTGTCATGGATGCTAAACAGAAAGGTGCAACATTCTGCCAGGAATACAAAAGAGAAGGGAATCTCATTTGGCCTTTGCTATTGGATAATGTTAGGCCGGACATGAGAATTGCATGGGAGGAGCCATTTGGACCAGTTTTGCCAGTAATTAGGATCAATTCTGTTGAAGAAGGAATCCACCATTGTAATGCTAGCAACTTTGGACTTCAGGTAAAAAATTTGCAATGCCCTTAATTCCTTCATATAATAGTTTTGTCATTTGTCAGTTTGCTAATAATTTGTATCGACACATTGAACTTGTGCAGGGATGTGTCTTCACAAAGGATGTCAACAAAGCAATATTGATCAGTGATGCAATGGAAACAGGAACAGTTCAGATAAATTCTGCTCCAGCTCGTGGGCCAGATCATTTTCCCTTTCAGGTCAACACACCATAAAACACAATCAAATTCTGTTATTTCACAATTTTTATTTCCAATTCTTAGAAAAGAACCAAAAGCATTTCCATATCACAAAGCAATAAAATGTGTCCAATATTAACAAATGCTTTACTGGCAGGGTATAAAGGACAGTGGGATTGGATCTCAAGGGATTACCAACAGCATTAACATGATGACCAAGGTCAAAACGACTGTGATCAACTTACCAAGCCCTTCTTACACCATGGGCTAGTAATAGCATAGTAATACCATGGGGGAAAAGTCTATTTACAAGTAGTTCTATAAATCATAGTGAGCCTACAAACCGCATGAGTTTAGCATTGCGTTCTCTTTTGTAACTGGGACTCAGATAAATAAATAACGAGTGTGATAGATCTGTCACGTAGCTACTTAATGTGTCTTCTTGCGTACTAATATTTAGCATGATATCAATCTAAAATTTATCTTGTACCTTATCAATAAGTTAGGAATATGATTCTGTTCCAGTTAATTCAAATGCCAAAACAATGAGTTGAGGAAAATATTGGCTTCTTTGTTTCCATTCCTTCCTCAAACATTTTCAACCTTCCCTTTTATCTCATACCTGTTAAGCACACCATATAGGGGTTTAAAAGTTGAGGAGAACACAATTCTTTATTATAATATTTAGTCAACTTAAATACTCAAATGCAAAACTCTCTTGGAATTTCGCTGTAGCAATTGGGTTTAAGGTCTCCCCCTTGTTATCAATGGACTATGTGGTTCTTTCAATAAATTCCCTTCACTGTATCTATATTTTTAGATGTTTTGTGCTTTTTAAAAATTAAATAAATAATTGGTAACTATTACAACTTGGTTTATTTTTACCTGAATTAACAGAGGGGCGTTTGGTAGAAGAAATTTTTTTTTATCTGGAAATCTCGATTTTCAGAAATATGATTTTTACATTCAGTTTACGATAATATCCGAAAATTAAAAATTTAGAAAAATTTAATTTTTCGAAAATTATACTTGTTGTGTAATATGTACCTCCTCAGTTTTTTTTTTTTTTTTTAATGATTTGTGTACATCTTTCTACCAAGCCAAAAATGACTTAGTTAATCATTGTTCTAGATTCGGCGATGAATTAGACGTTTGCTTCCTTGAGAGGTAAGAAGGTGATCCTCATGGTTTAGAGATTGAGGAATATTTAGTCTTTTAAGTTCTAATATTCCATTAGGAGAAAAATAATTTACTTTTATTTGTCTTTTAAAAAAAATTAGTTATTTAGTAGATTCAAGACTTTCTAGCTATGATGGGCTTAATCCCAAATCCTATTACAGAACAATAAAAAAAAAATATAAACCCAGCACACATTACTTTTTAGAAACTTATCTTGACAAATTATATTTTGTATTTTTAATCCTAATTCGTTTATTTAAATTATTTTAAATAAATACTTAATTTAAAATAATAGTTAAATTTAACACACACACACATAATTAAGGTCTTATAGTCATCCAAATTGAAAAGAAAAACCAAAGTTTAAAAATAACTGAAAATCAGAATAAATCGAAATGTAATACAAAATAAGAGAGTTTAATATCAATTTTTATAACAATTTTTGAAACTGTAAGACATTATTTTTCAGTGCTGAATGCTGATGCTTATTCGTGAAAATCAAAAGACTGAAAGTACATGTATATTGTAAGAGTGAAAATACTAGGAACACGTGTCCTCACCAAATATATATTTCCTATTTTCTACTCTCAAATTCGTAATATAATATTTAGTCAACGAATAAAGTCCTAAATACTTCATTAACTTTGTAATTTTCAAATGAAACAAAATTCCAAGAGTTCGCCCTGCTTATTAGGATAACCTTATAATTATATAATATAGCTAATGGAACAAATTAAAGAGATCCCTATAGATGTACTGTTTGAAAGTTAAACAACAAAACGCAATAAATATTAAAATTTTCCCAAATCGTGTAGGGATTTCCATAGCATAATAATTGTAGATTAGTAAGTGGGGGTTGAGGTGTAAAGAGAGCCCTATCACCTGAAGGATAGTGGGGATGTGTTTGCTACAAGACAAGGACATATACCTACATCTTTTGCCGTTGCCAAGCTTTAAAATAAAGCTTTATTCATGTCTAGTCTAGGTAAAATCGTATCAACGTTCTGATCTGTATGTTTTCTTGTTTTCTCTTGACTCACTTGAGAATATTTAAATTGGATACCAATCTGTATTTCAGCGTTTAAGGACATAGGTTCTGTATAGCCAGCATATTTTATACTAATTCCGAAAGAACAAACAATATAATCAATGAGTTCTTATTATTCTTGTTATCTATATGATAAGATCAATGAGCAAGCTGAAATAGTTATTCAACTTTCTCACTGCGTGGGTTCTGGTCTTGATAAAAATAGAATCATGATAGCATTTGATTCAATTGACAATTTGAGTTACTTAGAGCGAATTTTATTTGTTATGAAGGGATTTGACTTTTATTGACAGCACTTTTTGACCAAAAAAGAATAAATGGGGGAAAATGATTTGGATCAAGAGATTAGATTCTTATATATCTATTATTTTGTTAGCCACAAGTAGTTGCACTTAATAAAGTACTAATGAACTTCGTGCATTATTAACTTCACCCTATACTTTAAAGCATCTCAATTAAAATATGACTACAAACTAGGTTAGATTATTGCGACTAAGTATATACTTCTAATGCATACTTAGAGCGGGTCCAATAAAATATTACCAAATACACTTTTCCAACATTGTAATTTCCGTGGCATTTTAATTATTAATTCTCAACTCTTAATTTGGTTGAGTTAGTTGTATTGTGACTATCCACTTCCTAGTTTCGAATTTCCAAATTGCAGCACTCAACTAAAACTCAAACCTCACCCTCAATGTCCATTGAATTCGCCGAAATTGGGGGCTGCGAAAACAAAACGGTAAGATTAAAAAATATATACAATTAGATAGGGCGGCAAAGTACGTGGCAAAGTATATTATTACCAATGTACACTTAAATGCGCAAGACCCAAACCCACGTTCACCCATATTTTTTATTTATAAATTTTTTCATAAACATTACATATCTAAATTAATTAGCTGCATTACACTAATTAATTAAGTTATTGACAATTATTAATTAAAATACTTAATACTTATTAGTTACCTTGATTAATGATGTGTTGATAATTTAATTGCCTAATACTTACAATTTGGATGCATTAAGAATATACAAGCATTAATTGAATTTGAAGATTAGAAATAATATTAATTAAATGACAAACTCATTTTAATGGGCTGTGTTATCGAACTTAGAGCATTTATGATTAAGCAATGCACTTTATTACTAACATTTCTCTTTATAAGTTAAGACGAACAAATTGAATATCCAACACACTAACATAAACCCCGTTATTTAAAAAAAAAAATTAAACAAATATTAACTAGCGCTACTTAATGTTTTCGTAAATAAAGAATTCTAGCGTTTAATTTTGGACATTAAAAGTTTGAATTTTTATTTTTTTTAATATTATTTCTCGGTTTATTGACTACTAGATTAATCTGACTGAAATAAACTTAAGATCATTAATTATGTTCGAATAATTTCTTATTTATTGATCCGCATGTTTGGTTGTGAATTTTTTATCAAGAATTAAAGTTTTTAATTCATTTCAAAAATGATATTGGGGAGAATTTAATAGATTCTCTCATTCTCACCTACTCAATTCTTAAACACCAAGTGAACTATCATCATCTGATATTAATGATGAGACTATTTTAAAATGCCCCATATTTCGTTTAACGTTTTCATTAGATGTATAATTTATTTGTTTTTTTAAAAAAAGGTGTATTTGGCTACACGTGTTTAAAGCTTGATGGGGCAAAAACATATGATCAAGGAAGGCAGCTTTTGGAGGATTCGGATAACACGCACCCTGGTTCCTCAATTATATGTGGAAATGTATTCAATTTCAAGCTGCCTGCGATGCCTACGAGCATTTGCCATTCATTTTATGGTACGTTCATAAAAAATATTATATTATTTGGAAAAAAAAAATCAAAATGATAATTGATCAAATAATGTGATATTTTTATTCAAATATCATAAAATGAATGATAAATGCACTAAATTTTTAGTATATCAATTGCACTGAAAATTTATTCCATACCTATGTTACTCTCTTCACACAGGCTTCAAGAGAGAGAGAATCTGATATCACATATGAGCTAAGCGTCCTGTCATTACGAATCAAAGGGGCTCCTCGACCCAAACCAATAGCTTTGCGCATTTTTTGAGCTCATCATTGACAGTGACTATAATATATGGAGGTGATCTCTTTCAGCACCAGTCCAGCAGGAACATATTTTCGGAACTGGAACTGATAGTTTATATTAATAATTCTATATTATATTTTTTAATATTTTTTTATGAGAATTATTGAATTTTAAGGGTGGATGAGTGAACAATACATAAATGCTCTAATTATATTAAGAAATTCATAGAATTAAGATGATTTGGTGATGTATGTAAAGAATTAATTCAATCTCAAAACTTATATTATTTGATAAAAGTTATATTGATAATTTTATATTATTTTTTTAATACATGCTCTCCCAAATAAATATTTGTAATTTTTCTGTTTTTGACAATTCTCTTTTAACTGTCAATAAATACAGATTTCCAGCGCGTTCAAACTATGGTACTGCCATATATTAATTCACTATATGGTTCATGTACTTTTCTTTTCTTAACAACTTTAAAAATTGGCATGATATTTTTGAAAGAAAAAAATTCTGTGCATACTCCTGTGAGTCGCACTTTGTACTTAGACAAAAGTGATATATGCCTCACTTTCAAATAATAAATATATTGTTAACTTAATGATATATGAGATGACAGTATAAAAGTTTTTTGATACCAAAAATGCCTAAAAATTAAGCTCTTATATATATGAGCGTATATTTTTTACGAGAATTGATACTAGCAAAGAAAAAAAGGACACAAACTTCATAGTTCGTAACTGGAATGGAAATGAGACAATGAGAAAAAGAAAAAGGAGGGGGGGGGGGGGGGGGGGGGGGGGGGGGGGGGGGGGGGGGGGGGAATTGAAAGGATAATGATGCGTCATTCCTATGCTACACTTACTGTGAAATTATCACCGTTTTATTTTTAAGGTATTATTAGCCTATATTTTCAAATGATAAAAACAAAAAATTCTTGAAAAAACTGAATATTTAATACTTTAAAAAATATAGAATATTTTTTAATAACTGTTCATCCATACGTTATATTTTTTAATGTAAAATAAAAATAAATTAACATATATTTAAAAAATATATATAGAAAATGGAAAAAGTGTTTGTCATTTTAAATGACAGAAAGTTATGTCATTTCAAGAGAGATACAGACACAGAAAATGAAAATTTAAATTTTAAATTAAAAAAATCACTCACTTTCTCTTTCTCTATTCATGATCTTCGCTTTTCATTTTTCTGTTTCTATCTCTCAAATGACATAACTTATTTCATTTAAAATGACAAACACCAAACTCATACAAAATTCAATTATGTATATTTTTTATTTTGGGAAACTTGACGCGCCACTGGAACGCTGCACCACGCGTCAGGAATCCAGCTGTGACAACCACCATCAGAAGATTTTATGATTTTTGGCCTTTTTGTGAAAGTGCAAAAACTTAGAATAAGAAATGCCAACAAAAACAAACAAAACTTAAAAAAAGTATTCCTTCATCTTTGGGTATTTAATATCCACTCCAAAATACAGTTTCTATGCAGAGTTTATCCTGAAATGCAATGCTCTCTCGAACTCGTGTTCCCATCTCTCTCTCTCTCTCTCTCTAATGTTTAAGTTTTAAACACCAAAATCCCTGTGCGGTAACTTCCACACCCTCAGACTTCCAACCTTACTTATCCTTAATCATCTCTCATGCAGCCTTGTAGCAGAGAAATGCAAGGGCTTAACTCCCTCTTGAACTCTTCTCAAATTCCTCTCCACAACAACAACAACAATAATAATAATAACCAACAGCAGATCCAAATGAATCACCTCAACCACTTCGAACCCACTTCCCACGATGATTTCCTGAAACAAATGCTCTCCAACCTTCCTTCTTCATCCTGGACCCTCGACCTCAACCCTAAGCCCTTATGGGACATCAACCCTTCCTCCAATTCCGACGAAACGCCACCCTCTGACGCTGATAATGTCGCTTTCCCATACGACGAACAAGCAAACCTGGCCTCCAAATTCCAAAACCACCAGATCAGTGACAAGGCTGCGGCGGCTCTCATGCTCCAACAGCAGCTTCTCATGTCCAGAGATTCAGGGCTTCTCCAGATGCCCTTGTCGTTAGGCGGCGGAGACCTTGAGTCAAACAGAAACGGCGTCGTTGACGGGTCGTCCTTCAAATCTCACGCTCCGGCGCAGGCCGGTGAGGGTTCCGTTCAAGCTCTGTTCAACGGGTTCTCCGGATCCCTCCAGGGCTCTGCCCAACCCTCCGATCAAACTCAGCATTTTACACATCCTCAGGTTCTCTCTATTTTATTTTATCAATAAATAAATAAATAAATAAATAAATGTTATTGTGATGTTGTTCATGTGTATTCATTTTTATTTTCGAATTTGGAATGACAGGGACAGAATTTTGGTGCTTCAGTTGGCGCAACGAACCAGGCCTCGGCTGGTGGTACCCTGGGTCAGCCGAAGCAGAGGGTCAGGGCCAGGAGAGGTCAAGCCACGGACCCACACAGCATCGCCGAGAGGGTACGTTTCTCTAAATTTCTTGGCTTCATGTTTGGTTTCCGAGAAAATTGAGCCCCGTAACACCACCTGTCATTTTCCTCCTAGCAACATTCTTCTAAAAATTATCAAAACGTACATTTTTCATAGAAAATGCGATCGTCAGTGCCTGACCCATAACTGGCGTATTATTAGTACTATGGGTTTCCCATTCTTTTCTTTTCTTTTTAATTAAAAAAGAAAAAGAGAACGCCTTAATAGGACATGAGTCACTTTGTTTTCTTTACTTTTGATTTGATGGGTAACAAAACAAACATAAGTAATATGATCATTGTTTTACGTTTATTGGCAGTTACGGAGGGAAAGAATCGCGGAGAGAATGAAGGCCTTGCAGGAACTGGTTCCCAATGCCAACAAGGTAACCCTCTTTTTTTCTTTTAACATTACAATCAATCCTCAGTTATCTTCGCTTTTGTTGATTAGTAGGAGTCATATTTAGTCAAAGTCGTATTACTATACTTTTGAAAATTAAACTTAAAATAACCACGGTTCATAACTCGTGAGCGGAGCATTCTCCAAAAACAGTAGTCCGTTTTGGTATGTAGTGTAGCACTGTAGCGGCAATTCGGTCATTCCGTGCCTACTTGAAATTTGAAATGTGGAGCTGGAAGGAAAAAAAAGGTTTGGTCCCTAGAAAACAAGTGGGATTTGTATAGTTGTTGTTATGTATAATAATAATAATAATGAGGGAACAGTTTGGTCATAACACATGAACATTATATAATACATTGTACATAATGTATTGGGTTTGGTCATAACATAACATTCCATTGTTGAAAGTGTTGTTTTTTTGGTGGAGTAACAGACTGACAAGGCCTCCATGCTGGATGAGATCATCGATTATGTCAAGTTCCTACAGCTCCAAGTCAAGGTAAGATTCCCCTGTTTCTTTAATTTTCTTTTTTGAGATATATATATATATATATATATATATATATATGAGGTAGAATTTTTTGACACCGCACCTCGTCTGAGAGCCGTTAGATAAAAAAAAATCAACGACTCTGATTAGCAAGCATATGACACCATTGATCTTTTTTGATCTAATGGCTCACAGACGAGGTGTCAAAATTAAAATTTGACACCGGTGTCAAAGGATCCTACCTATATATATATATATATAAACTCTGGTAAAAATACAAAAAAAAATAAATATAATAACCATGATTTCATGTAAAAATGTGTATTTTAATGAGAAATAACTTTTGAATTTTTGTGTGTCATACTTTGATCATTGTATTTCTTAATTTGATATCATACTTCTCAAGTAATATGTTATTTATTTCATGGATTCTTTACTCAAAGTAATTGTTTTAACTTTTAAGTATGGGCTTCTGATCATAAAATTCCAGCAGCGCCTATCTCTGCCTTTTTGTTTTTAATTTTAACATAATTGGATTACAGGTTTTGAGCATGAGCAGATTGGGCGGTGCAGCTGGTGTCGCTCCCCTTGTTGCTGATATATCCTCTGAGGTACCACTTTCATTCCATAATAATCCAAAAAGCTATACCAAGAGTAAAGAAAAAAAAAATTAACAAAAAAAAATTGAGTATTTCCATAAGAAGAAATAAAGGGGAATGCAAACGCATCGAATATTGTCGGATTGAGAAGTCTTGCCACAGGTCACACCTGCTTTTCTGTTGGCTTTGGCTTGTATCAATCAATCAATTCTGAAATTCTCAATCACCACAAAACGACAATCTAAAAGCAGCACGCGTGCTCACTTTCTCTCTCTTCTCTCTTAACACTGTCACGTGGTGGATTTGTGGTTGCAGGGAGGCGGTGACTGTATTCAAGCTGGGATCCATCCACGAAACTCGAACGGTAACCAAACGGCGGCGTCGTCCGCCAACGAGAGCCTCACCATGACGGAGCAGCAGGTGGCCAAGCTCATGGAGGAAGACATGGGCTCCGCCATGCAGTACCTGCAGGGCAAGGGTCTCTGCCTCATGCCCATTTCCCTCGCAAACGCCATCTCCGGCGTCACGTGTCACGCCAGGAACCCCTTGATCAACACCGCCAACAACAATCCAATCATCACATCCAACGGTGACGGACCGTCCTCTCCGGGCATGTCCGTGTTGACCGTCCAGTCAGCTACTGTGGGTAACGGCGGCGTGGACAGCGTCGTCAAAGACTCCTCCTCCGTTTCGAAGTCGTGATGACGCCGCCGTTTGGTTGGGTTGTACCCTGAAATAGAAAGAAGAGCTGACACGCTGATGATGACGTGGATTTTCTCAAGTATAGGAAAATAAGGTGTCACTGACACGGGTGATTCTCACGACGTCGTATTTACCTACACTTTAGCAGATGCTAACTTCCAAATTTCATGCATCGTTCCCTTGCTATCTTTCTGATTCTCTTATATTTTATTTTATTTTTTACTTTTCTCTCAATCGGATCTCTTTTCTTTTTCGAATTTTTGTTACATTTTTCCTTCTGTCGATCTGTCTTGTGTACTAGCGCTTTTTTCTTTTTCTCCCTGTGTTCACCAATCACTACTCTTGTGAAGTTATTATCAAATATTTGCTTCAGGCTTTAAGCCAACCCAATTAACCGTTAATAATTTGGAAGATGGAATCATGGATTTTTTATTTTTTTATTTTTGTTAAATGTGCAATTATTTATATTTTTATGTAATCGAAATCCGAAAGCTAATTGCTTTCGGCTTGGGAGTTTGGGTTCTTCCCTATGCAGCATTGGTTTAGGAGAAATATTTTGAATACTAGATAAATATAATGATTGAAAAGTGAGTTTGGTAGGAAAATGAAAAAAAATTATTTGGTTGATCGAAATATTATCAGAAAAATTTATTTAAATTTGCAAAATTTATGTTCGGGAGAAACTTCGCACCTATTTTTTCGTTTTCTCAGTTATCTCAAAATATCACATCTCAAGTGATATTCTGTAACAGTGAATTTCATTCAAAAATCAACATAAAAGTCATTTCCTCATCTATCTTATTTGTCTATTATTTTTTTCAAAAATCTGAATCAAACGTGAAATTTTTCAATATCCACTTACACTTTTCCATCTATCTCAAAATAAATCTTCTGCCAAACATTACCACAGAGAAAGCGTGAATCAAAATGCGACGACGTCGTGTATTAGGTTAATATCAATTGTCAACGGGCTATTATGCTTTTTATTTGTTTAATTGAATTTAATGACTTTTTTTTTTCTTATGCAAAAGCGAAGTTTGTATTGCGGGTAGCAAAATCTCAGAAAATATTTTAAATATACTACGTGCAAGCATTAACTCAACTTTAGCTTCTTGCTTTCACTGGAAATTTTCTTATAACGAGAATTTGTATTTGAATGAACAAAGAAATAATTATTTTTTCTACTAATATTTATTTTGATTAACTTTAAAACATATTACAATTTTATTTAAATAAATTTTAGTTATTAAATTTTTTTATTTTAAAGATAAAATAATTTTGAATAAGTCTTGTTTACTCATAGGAGATAGTGTAACAATGTGTTGGAATAAGTTTTTAAGAGAAAGAAAAATACTATGTAATATTTTTGTCTTTTTTTTTTTGGTTTTAATAAATAGTATGTTAACATATTGTTGTTGGAAAGGGAGATCTACCATCATATGAGTTAAGCTATGAGCTTGGACATTACATTTTTAACCAATGTAAAATTTTACTACTCACACTTGGATTCTCATCCCAACAACTATAATAATATGAATAAAATTTAAAATATAGTTCAGCTTACCCGTATTTAGAGATAAGTAATTAGGGGGAAAAAATAATTTCTGTTTTAAAGAGTTTAAAAATAAATAAGTAGAAAAATATTAAAGAGAATTATTCTTAATTTTTTCTTTCACAGATCCAATTTAATTTATTCCAAGATTTGGGCGGAATATAAAAAATTTAAAAACAATAATTCTGTTATGCTTTGTTATTATTCTTCTAAAAATAAGAAAGATAATTTTTTTATTATTATCTCTCTCTCTGTTCCTCATTTGCTATTAGGGGTATCCGTGTGCCCGTTTGATTGAAATTTATAAGCATATTTTTATAACACCATTTCATAATGCACACTAAGTAATAAAAATAATGTCATTTTTTAATTATGGATTTTGCATTTATCATGTTGTAGGATGAAAAATAGTCTTACAACCTCCTTATAATTATGTACTCTCGACAATATTTAACTGTAATATTAAAGTTATTTTATTTTTTTCTCCATGTCTGCTTACAGGTTTTGAAAAGATATTAAGAAGGAAAAAAAAAGTAACTTTAATATTATAACTATATACTCCCCGCAGTACTTGTCATCATGCAATATTATTCTTATATTTTCCTTTAATTATACACAAAACGTTAGTTTTTGTTATGTTCATTTTCAAGTTATATATATTGAGAAATAAAGAAATTATTTTTTATGCGGCAAATATACAAATATTTGCATTAAGTAAAATTACTCAAAATATTTAATATAACTAAAACCTTGCTGTGTATATAATTATTAAAAAAATAAACATAAATAAATGTACAAATAGAATAAATTCGCAATAATGGTTCAGCTGTAATTATGAGTGTGCAAAATAACCAAAAAACTGAATCGAACCATGAACCAAACTGAACTGCACTTAAAATAACCGGTTTTTAAAAATCAATTCATGAACCAAACCGATTTTTAAAGAACCAGTTCATGAACCAAACCGGTTTAAGAACCGAACCGTTTTCGAGCCGAACCAAATTGATTTATATAACTTTATTTTTTAAATTTTAAATTTTTCTTTTCTTTTCAAAACCGGGTCAACCTGAACCGATTCCGAACCGATTTTGAACCGAACCGAACCGTTTCCAACCAAAATGAATCACTTCCGAACCGAATCAGTTTTGAACCGAACCGAACCATTTTCGAATCGAACTATTTAAATCAATTCTATTCGATTTTTCAAAAAATTCGGTTTGATTCGACTGATACACATCTCTAGTTGTAATGTGGAATTGAATTTTAATTATTCATGTGAAACGTGCGGATGAGACATCATTCACCTTCACAATTCCTTTAAATTTTTGTCATAAGTCCTCAATTTTTGTCAACTGTTCAGATGTGGAAAGAAATTATTAGATGTGGGGAAAATTTTTCTCAATCAAGGTAGATGCAAATGTTAGAAATAAAATATTTAATTTGTGTTGTTTGGCAAGTGGGTGTTGAGTCTTAGATGTTATGATGTTTTTATAAGCCTGTTTAATTGCGTAATGGTGTTTATAACTTAGTGCCTCATCTAATCATCCTCTGCCAGCATAAGCTGAACTTGATTATATTAGTAACTTTGGAGATTGAGGATTGATCAGCCTGCACAAGTGTATGTTGCTAAAGCAAGAAATGCTGGTCTAAATCAGTCCTCCTTTGATTGGCATAGAGCAACATAAAGGAAACAAAATTTATCGTAGTAAACGTGAGAAGTAAATTTGAGGCTGATATTTTGAAGTAAAATTCCCAATTTCCTTTTACTTTGGTAGTATATTGATAATGTAATAAGTTCGATTGGAATGGTAATTTAATATGATTTCATTTGGATGATAGAACTAAGTGGATCAAATGGGAGAAGAGTTTTAGTACTCCCGGAGCATCAAATTTTAAGTGGTCCAAATTAATAAAAATATGATAATTAATCAGGAGAGAGAGAAGAGAGTAAAAAAGAATTTTTATACAAGTGTCAATCTCAACAGAAGGAGCACATAGGGGCAGGACCACTAAAAATATTTCCATCAAATGGGCCATCAGAAATTGACACTTGTTAAATTTGAATCATTGTTATTATAAATTGAGAAATGCTTTTCATCAATTGCAAGGGAGAAGCTATGCTTTCTTACCGAGACATTAATAAGTGGAGGCTATCATCTAAAATAAAAATAAAAAAAAAAAAAAAAATCTGGTGCAAAATCCTATGTATGTGTAGGAAGGAGGAATAGTATTGCTCCAACATAAGAAAACAAAATTCCTTATAAATTTAACTTCTTAGGTTTTCCTTTTTTTTTCCTAAAAAAAGCGGGATATCTTTGCAAAATAATAACTGGGAAAGATATATAACTATATTACTTAATTCAATTACTAAAATAAGGGTTTGACAAAAAAAACACCAATGGCCAGTAGTCAGTAGATACCGATGGCGATAATAATAATGTAAACAAAACTGAAACTCGATAGTGGGCAACAACTAATGAATCGGGTCTTGCGGAACATGGAGACATTCGGGAAATAAAGTACCAATGTTCGGTAGTTACGCGTGGGAAACACGGACCAGTAATTAGGTTGTAATGTTTGTGCGTCCACATTAGACAAACTACAGCGCGTGAAACACCATCGTGACATCACCCTTTCCCCCCTCGCACGTTAACTAGGCAAAAGTTTTAGAATCCGAAAGGGATAAGAACAAAAGATATAATTAGCGACCAATAATATATTTTTTATTTATTTAATTTGGACCATATTTAAATGACACAAGGTTATGCTATTTTAAGAGAGAGACAGACACATAATTTTTTTTAATTTAAATTTTATATTAAAAAAATCACTCACTTTCTCTGTCATGATTTTCATTTTTCTGCGTCTATCTCCCTCCTAAAATAACATAACTTCTGTCATTTAAAATGACAAACAACAAACCCTATTTAAATTCACTAAAATTTTAAAAATACATTTTTTACTTATTTATTTTAATATTAATTTAATTTTAAAGGATTTTTTTTCTTGAAAAAATATTATTTGACTCAAATTATTTCTGCATTTTCCGCGGTTAGAATTCTTTGCTATGTTTTAGATTTCAATTTCACTTGACAGACGCTTTTCTCTTGCAACATAAATAATGCTAGTTCATATTTCATACACCAAAAGTGAAATTGCATAAATAATTCGCAGCAATTTAGTTTTTTAATAAAAAGTATAGTGATTCATTAGAGTTAACCATTTGTATCGAATATTGGCATAAAGTTTACTTTTTGTGCAACATCATATGGTACTTTTAAGACAATGTATGCGATCAATTATGAATTATATGTTTGAATTTGATTAATTTTTTTATAAATAAATATGCTGCCATCAATATTATCATCAATTACTTAAACAGTAACGAGTGTATAATTCGGTAAAATGCAAATTTCACCGTTGATGTATAAGTGTGCGCTCACTTCAGGAATATAATCAATCAAACAAATACTCTCGGCAGCTTTCTTATGAACACTTTCCATTCCAAATTCTTACCAGCATTGAGTATTGCCATATTCTCACCTAATTAATTATATTCTAAAAATTCACCCCTTAGGAATATTTGGTAATATTCGAATCTGATTAAAAAAATTATTTTTCTATCTTCATAGTAGGCATCCACCGAATAGATAATACAAATATACAATGACTTGATCCTTGGTTGAACTTGAGTTGTATTTCAAATATAATTTTATTGGACATCAAGTTCAGCCATTTAAAAATTGACATAATCAAACACCAAACCTAGCCCTACGATGCATCTATTAAGAGACGCAAATTTGCACATCCTTGCATCACAATTATCGAGTATTTTCTCCAGCTTACTAACTCAATTTTTATATTTAAATTAAGGGGGTTCTAGTTTAGAAAATCAGGCCATCTCCAATCTCAGCGTAGAGCAGCAACCTCTTTAAATTTAACATTGTTACCCATTTTCAAGGAAAAAATTAATGGTATTCACAAACTAGTTAACTGGCGTGTCCTCCATTTTTCTTAAAAAACAGTCGTACAACAAAGGGATTTTAGTTTGCCTTTGGGCTGGGGAGGCCACAGCTTATCAATTTCTCATGAAAGCATACTACAAAGTTGCCACCACCAAAAATCTATTCTTTACAAAATTATACTAAATATGCCTAAAATACAAAACCGCCAATCATTTAAAGAAGAGAGAATTCCAATAACAATTAGAGCTACAAAGAAGGCATCAGTCTGCAATTTATATTTGGCAGAACAAATAACAGAACAGAACAATGTTTTAGTTGAACACAAGCAGGCTGCCCTTACTCAAAAGTGATATATTATGATATATCCATAGCAAACTGATTTTACAAGCAGCAAAAGGGTCCACCACTAATTCTGAATTGCATTTCCCAGAGTGTCCCTGCTGCTTAGTAAGTTGTGAGTTCTTACACACACAAATCCTAACAGAAATTATGTTTTAGCTAAATAGAAGAGCACCCAATGGATACCGGTCGCGGTGGTTAAAAGTGGTTGTTGAATCCCAAGGTCGAAAGTTCGACCCTTGTAGAAAGGCTCATGGGGAGACCTTTGACTTTTACCCCACTCAGGTCGAATTGCGAAAGCAATGTATATATTTCAAAAAAATAAAAATAAAAGAAGACCAACTAAAAGAGTAAAGGTTCTTGTGTCTATTTCAAAGTTAGCTTAAGTGAAGAGAGGCATCTAATTCTCTAAAACTAAATTCCTCATCAGCAGGGCAACCCTCAAAAGATCATTCTTGGATGTCTAATCTCATTAAATTATACAAATAGAAAATATATCCAAAACAATATAAAAAGCAAATTGAAGATGGGAGAGAAACAGAAGTCCCCAGATTTTTAATGTTTTGGTATAACTGATAGTTGGTATAATGGTATTTCATCTATTTTAGTTACATTTCTACTGAGTAGCTAACTGACCATCAGTCCAACTGCTTGCATGACAAACAAAGTATTCACTGCATTCATGGATATATTTGTGAACTGAAGGTTTGGAAGAAAGAAAAGGCACAGAAACAAGTATTTTCAAAACAAGGAAATATCTCCAAAGAAAAGTGGAGTCATAAATCAAACAAAATCTACATATATTACTAACCATAAGACGGATGAGGAATCTTCATCAAATTATTCATTTCTACATGGCAAACAATTATTATTTCCAAGTGAATGCCCAAATTTAAGCCTAAATCGAAATATTTGCACAACTTTGAACTTAAGTAATTTAAATGGATTTCTAGCAATTATGAAATTTTTAATTTCAGCCAAAATTGGAACTATTTTTTATACTATATATACACATGAGGCATCACATGGGAATCAAAAAGATGCCTTGGGAAGAGAGTGAAAGTACAGCTTTAGAAAGCATTCAACAAACACAAAGCTATTCAAGGTCAGACTTAGGGCTTGGCATTAATAAACATTCAGATTTCAAAGAGAGACAAGGGAACTAAATAAAGTTGGTGATATTTCGTAATATGTAATCTCTTTATATAGTTTTTCATATCATAATTTCTTTATGATGAGCTTTCTTCCCGTCCTTGAACAATATGAATTGATCAATTTGCCATACTTGATTATTTTTAAATTCAATATTGCCTCCTTTTTCTTGAATAGGGGCTTTCACCAAACACAGAAAATTACACATAGATCAAAAGCCTCAAACCGGGATATTTAGGCTCATCATTTACCGTTTACAAGAAGATAAATTAGTTAATGCAAATGACTTTGAACTATTTTGCTTAAAAGACTAACCCGGTGTATCTTATTTCCAGTTCTTCCTCTTCACTAATGCATGGATAGTTGGATACCCAATGTTCAGTAGCCACCCACAAGCCTTCATAACATGAACCATGCGAAGCAGAGGGAACTAAATTATTGTCATAGTGAGTACATTATGAATAGTCAAATTGTTGAGTCAATAAATACATGTTTTCAGGTCCAAACTAATTCGCTATAATGCCAAAAAATACCAAGAAGTAAAGCAACACTTAAGATTCAAAAATACTGCAAAGCATGAAAACCATTTTAGAACTTCTTATTGCAACTGACTCAGATAAGTATTCAACATCCACCCACGGAAAGACCATGATGTGATCACCTTTCTTCGACAGGGGCCAAGACGATCTTTATACCCCTGCCAACATGAATAAAATCAACCTAATGAGGGTATTCTTCACTCAAGAGCACTTAGTACTACGACTTTTATTGTAACTCCCAAAGACAAATATTTTACTTGCTATTTGTTAAAAAATTCTATTATTATGATTATTAAACCCAACATCAACAAAAGTAAGAACTCAAAGTACTGAGAGATACTAATATTAAACATAAACATGTATAGAAATCCTCTACCACATTATGAATGTACAGCTTAAAAAACCATGTATAAGCAATCAGGGAAATGACAATGGCCCATTACTACTACTACGGGAATGGTTCACGAAAATCAAGCAGTTGGCTTGAAAGTGTAAGGCTGTGGGAGGGACAACGGACCTCTCCTTGACCCTTTGTCATCCAAAAGTCTCTGAACCCTCTTGTTCTGGCAGTATTGCCTATCGAAATGTTTCACCTGCCACAATATCAAACACCCAATCAAGCAAAGTATCGATTTTTACGAATATAAGATGAAGATTCAATAAATAATAAAACGGGGTTGAAGTTAGGGTTATGTTATGTTACCCAAGAAGATCGGCATTGTTTGACAAATTCAGTCCTGAATTTTTTGCATTCAACCGGGTATAGCAACCCCACTGATGCAATCTCTGTGGGTTTCTTGTCAGATTGCTCTTCCAGGCACGTATAGAAAGCATCACGAGCCTTATTCAATGCCCATCCAAAACAAAAATCCCATCAACATGCAATGCAACTAAAAAAAAAAGAAAAAGAAAGAAGAGAAAACAGAAATAACAGAAAAGTAAAGTGTAGGAGGAGACCTTGTAGCAAGCTTCCCTAGCTTCTGTGAGAACATCGGCGTGGATTTTGTCAGGGTTTGCTGCTGCGTAAGCTTCTGCAGCCATGAGGGAAAACCTGTTGCACTTGCACCGATTAGCTGCAATCCCAGCATGTATGGACTCACTTGGGCCGGGCTGGAATGGGCTGGGCTTTAAGGGAAGTCATATTTCTTTTCCCAAAAGTTATCAGAAGATGTAACCCTTCGTGTTGGATAAAACTTGAAAGATAATTCAAAGGAGTTTTCCTACTGCTCTTTTGTAAAATATATATATATATATATATATATATATATGAAAAAATATTTCTGCAGCCTCCTTAGATAAACTTATCTACAGCTACCCATTTATAATTATGTTCTCCCGGGAGAACATAATTATAACATTAAAGTTGTTTTTTTTTCTCTTTCTACGTACAGCAGCTGCAGAAATATATATATGGGGTTTACATTTCTGCAGCTGCTGTACGTGCAGCAATTAAATATTTGTCATATATATATGTGAAAGTATTAAATACGGGAAATTATAACCATACACATGTCGTTGTTGTACGTAAAGCAACTGCAGAAATGATTTTACCTATATATATTTATTATTATGTGAAAAGGTCTTGAATATTATTGCTATGAGAATCGTCTTCTTGCTAACAATTTTTTTTTTAAGTTTTTGAAGAAAATAAGAGTGTTTATTATTTTATTTTATTTTAAATTTAGTTCATATATTTTTATTAGTAATTACAAAAAATTTATCTAGATTTCATTTTATCTTTTGTTTTTATTGATTTTTATTTTATTTTTTGTGTATGAAACCGAAGCCACTTTGGGTCTCAACTAATCCGAGCAAGGTAGATATAGTTGACAGACCAAATTCTTATAGAATTTGTTTTTGTTATACACAAGACTTAAACTCAGATACTTTATTTTAGAAAAATTAATCTCCTTATCAAGCAGATATGATGAGCGTTGGTTCTGATTTTTGAAATTTTGCAAAAGAAATGGTAAAATTAACAACAACAAAAAATAGTAAAATACTTTTTATAATTATTAATAACCCTGATTTTTATTTAAGAGTATGAAAGTCTTATGCATAAGAAAGAAAGTCACAAACTTTCACATATATATGCATTGTACATCAATCCTGCACAAATATAGTGTATATATGTCTCTCTTAAAATAATATGGACTTATTTGATGGAGAAGATAAGGAGGGATATAATAATCATATTTTGCTCTTATCTAAACTTTTATATGAAAGACTTGGTTCAGGATCGAACAGGATACACACTATTCTTATCTAAAAGTAATTGTATACTCTTCTCGTTGAAAATTCACTGGGAATTTGAGAGAAAATTCTTGCAACCGGCCAATCCCTATCACTAGAACCGCATTAATGCAAGAACGTAGATATCTTCTCCTCTTTGAGTCAACCCTAATTGTGTTATATTCACCCCATATCAAAGTCAGTTTAGGTGATGTTCCAATGAGTCATATAAAACGCAAGTGACAGTATATACGAATTTAACAACCTATTATTCTCCGTCTTTATTACATCTTGTTCACTAATTAATCAGTCAATAAATTTTTAAGTACAAATTCCCAAAAAGGATTTGACTTACATAGTTTGTCTAATTCAATTTTTGTGGAATTAGCACTCTCAATCCACTATGATTAAAATGTGGCTATAAACCAACTGAAGAAGCATCCCATGCCATAACAGACATCTAATGTATTATGACAGGGGCAGGTTATATTTACAAACTTTTTTGTTTACAAATTCTTACAAATTACTCTATGTGTTTTTTCTCGGAGAATATTGATTACATTATGTTATATTCTCTCGAGAGAACATAGTGTAATTTGTAAAAAAATTTAAAAAAAAGTTTGGAAAGAGACAATTCTCCGTTATGATATATTATGCAATGAAGCAACCGTACCGCGTTATCTTTAAAGCTAACAGTATACTAATGGACGTCACTACGTGACTCTGGTACACTATACGAACATAATCGCTATGGCCTGTGGGCATGCGCGATTAGCAATTATTTGTGTGGTGTATGTGTTGTCATTCCCATTTGTACATAGCAATAGGCTTATAATCATCTTTTATTTTTGTAGTACATGTACCTAGCTATGTGCCTAGCTCTCTCTAGTCCTCTTAACACTAATGCAATCTCAAAGAGGGTCTCTTTCCTGCCGGAGAGTAGAGGACATATCTGCCACACTGGTGCTACAATCAAATAGGTTCAAGACTCAAATGCTTGGATCCTCATCTGGAATAAATATAAAAAGCCAACTTATGAAAAGCCTTCGGTATGAAGAAAAGTCCATTAAATATATTTCTCAAAGTTAACAAAGACTCTTGTATTTCTCAGCAAGATAACCTCTGCATTTCAGTAATACACTTTCCACGTGTAAAGTACTTTGGAATACATCACCTTAAAAGCTAGTTCAAAGGGTGAGAGTGCCCAAGATCTTATAAAGGTCACATTAGTTGCCCACACGATCAATGAGGGACTATATATCTCAACACGCCCCCTCGCACGAGAGCTCATTGGACTTGGAGCGTAGATTATGCACAAGCCCAATTTTTTATTTATCTTTTTGTGCCTTTTTATTCTTTTAATTCCACTTTAAAGTGGGGCCGTGAGAATCGAACTTGTGACCTTATAGTCACTCAAACTTTGATACCATGTAAAGTAGCTTGGGATACCACAAACTCTTCAGCAATAATTATTCAGGCCACCTATAGTAACCAATTAAAAAAGTCTTACCGCCACACCACTTGCAAGCTACTTATAGGAACAGCCCCAAACTTGGACAACGCGTCATTATAAATACAAGTGTGCTAAATAGAAAGAAAAAATATTATCTTCTTCTGCATGAAATACTTGCTAGAAGAGGATTAAATTGATCATCCCAATTGTGAAATTGGTTTTGATCAGATCCCATTTGAAGACCAAAGTCAAGTGGTGCACCATAGTCGAATGATGGGGTTTGAAAATCAGGTATGAGGGTTGTATTAGTGTACTGAGTTATTGTATGAAGATGCTGACGCAATTTTATAATTTGACTTAATGGGGACTTTCCCATTAGGGAAATGAGTTAGTGGAGAGAATAATGGTGCTCGGTGATTGTTAACGGAAAAAAAGTAATATAAGTTGCATTCAAATTATTATGTTGATTGACTGAACTTTACTTAGAATATTGAGAAGTCAAAGCTTTAACCCCCCAAAATAAATTTCTTTTTTGTTGATGGAGAAGAAATGGCAGTGTGGGTGACTCGCACTGTTTTTTCCCCATCATAAAACAGGTCATTTTATTCCATCCTATTTTTTGAACTGAGTTGAAAATCTCAACTCATCGTGCTTTTTCGCCGGTCGACTCTTTTAAAGTGACAAGTTAAAGAAAGAAAGTCATAGAGGGAGATAAAATGAGATGTTTTAGGCAATTTTATAAAAATTGAACCGACTAGGCTGGGTTGATTCAGAAACGATAAATCGATTATATAATTGGCTTGATTTTTATATTGGACCGGTCATATAATAGAATTGGTGTGACCCGACCGATTTCTGTAAAAACAGTTGACTCGGCCATATTCATAAAAAAAATTAATTTGTTCTCATCAACTATTCCTTTCTTTTTTTTACTCGCACACATAAATGGTTTGTTTGTTTGTTTTTTCGAAATATTTAAATGATATGTTGCTTATTGAGTTACATAGATTTTTTATTTTTTTTTGTACAAGTGAGTTACATAGATTATGTACCTACAACACTAAATATTATCTTGGTTATGCAATATGTAACGAATTTTGATTTGATTTATAGTTAGAGATATTGTCTACTGAATGTGAAATACCAGCATCACAAGTATTATATGTTTGATTGATCTTTTGTTGGACAATAATGTGTAATTTATTATTTAAAATATTTGGAATTAGTATCATTTTTTTACATGTATTTGAGTATATTTAAAGTTTTTTTAATATAAATTATAAATTTACATATACTTACCGAGTCATGCAGTTGAATCAATGACTCAATATCTCGACCGGGTCAATAATCGAGTTGGGGTTAGTTACATTGATTTTAGGAAAAAAAAAACTTGTTTGACACAATTTTTTTAAGTTAAAATTAAAAAAGAGCTTAAAAAATAAAGGTAAAAGTTCTTTGATAATTATATAAAATTGTTCTTAGGATTTTGAAGTGAGGGAAATGGAATAATTTGTTATTAGGATAAATGATAAAATTTTAAATAAAACTTTTGAAAACGGGTAATAAAAAATAAATATGAGAACTCCAAAATCTTGACATACGGTAAAGAATCACTTCAACTCAAAATCTTAAGGTGTTAGGTGAGGGTCTTTTTAAGACTTTATATTATTCTCTAACACACCCCTTCACACAAGAGCCTTTTGGACTTGAAGTGAGGGTCTTTTTAAGGCTTTAAATTATTCTCTAACATAGACCCTCACACAAGAGCTCTTTGGGCTTGGAGTGTGGATATTGCACAGGCTCAATTTTTGGTTTACCTTTTTGTTGTGCTTTTATATTTAATTCCACAATGGGAGACAGTGAGGATCGAACTCGTGATCTTGTGGTCACTGAAACTCTAAGGCCTTTTTAAGGCTTTATATTATTCTCTAACACATACATCATGAAAAAAGCATTTCTTAGGAGCTTTTAGTTTTTTCTTCTTTACTTCGTTATAAAAAAAAATTTATGACAAAAGTTTTTTTGTTAAATTATGTTTAATTAAACTTTTGTTTATAAAGAAAAGAGAAACTAAAAATAAGAGTACTAAAAATGAAATATTTTATCCAAATTACTTGATTAAACTAATAATAATAAAAAAAAAAACTCAACTTGTTGGATTATCTTGCCCTCAACCTGTTTTTTTTTTTTTTTTTTTTTGATAACAGCCCTCAACCTGTTTTAACTCATCCTAAATGGGACAAATAGTAGCAGGTTAGTGAATTTAAACATATAACACATATTCATATGCAATATTTCGAGTAAGACTTGCTCCATACCTTAGCTTGAAAATAAGACAACATCAAGGCAATCTAGGCAGAGAATCTAAGGTTTTTTTTTTTCGAAAAAAAATTAATAATAATAAAAT